ACATAAATTGCATGAACAGTAAATCATATAAGTATAGGAGATAAAGAGTTTGTAATAATTATGTGATGAATAAATTGATTTAAACAATAAGTAATAATTAACAATTGAGAAACTTAATAAATAAATTAGAGAATCTAATCTTACAAATTAACAATTAAATTTAGAATTATAACAACTTAAAGACAATTAATAATCTATTGATTATTAATAAAGATATGTTTCTTAGGAAGGATAAGAATATAAATAAAAATTAGAATAAATTTAATCAGCCTATTCTATTCTTGATTAATAGTTCAAGAATTTAAAATTAGAATCTGATAAATAATTGAAAGATTATTAAAGAAAATTATAAACAATAACAGATTCACATATTATATAGGAAAGTGAACTTACTAATTTGAAATTAGAAAATGAATAACTAAAAATAAAAAAATAATAGGAATCATAAAAATAGAAAGAAGCATTAGAATAATTGAAAGAAAAAAGTTAATTAAAAATTAAAGAATATAAATAGAAATTGAAAGATCTTTAGAATAAAGATTAATATATAATTGAACTTTAAGAATAAATGAAAGAATTAGAATAATAAATTGAATTGTAAACAAATTAACATAAATAATCTATAAAGATGTTGGAATAACAATATAAGAAATAATATATAAGATTGGAAGAAAATTTTGAATAAGAAAAATTAGATTTATAATAATAAATGAATTAAAATCTGAAAACAAGTATTTCTGAAAAAGATAGAGAAATAACAGGATTAAATTAAGATTTAAAATAATTAAAAATATAATTATAAAATGAATAAGAATAAAAATAAAAAAATAATTCTAAATTTGAAGAACTTATTTAAACATTTAAATAATAATTAGAAGAATAATAATAATAAAATACAGAATTGATTTAAAAAAATAAAACAATGGAATAAGAAATTAATAAGAAAGATTAAAATCTTAAATTATTATTAGCTGATGTAGATGATTTAAAATAATTTTCAGAATAAACATTAACTACTTTAAAAGAAAATTAAGATTATATGAGTGAAATTGAAAGAGAAAAATAATAATAATAAGAAATTATTTTATCTATTTAACATTAATTAGAAATAGAAATTTAAGGATCATTCTCATATAAAAGATTAGGATAAGAATTAGAATAAAGATGTAAATTATATAAAGAAGAACATTGTCAATTATTAGATGATTAATTAAAAAAAGAAGCATAATATTAATAGGAAATACAATAATTAGAATCTAGATTTAAATAAGAAATAGATAATCTTAATAAAGAACATTAAATAATTGTTGAAAATTTTGAAGGTTAAATGAAGAAAGTAAAATTAGAGAATAAATTATAAAATGAAGAATAAATTAGAGCTTATAATTAAATTTAAAAAGAATTATTCTAAAAAAATTAATAATATGAAAATCTTGAAAAATAAAATATTAATTTGGTTAATGAATTAGAATAATATATAAATTAATATACTCTTAATTTATAATAATTAGAAGAATAGAAATTAAAAGAGAAAAATTTAATAGAAACTTCAAATAAAAATTTAAATTCTTGGAATACAGAAAAACATTAATTAATAATGTAAATTGATGAATTAAAATTTAAATATAGATCTATGAAATAAAAGATTATTAGATTATTTATTAGATAAAAAGAATAATTAAATTTATAATTACTTGAAATGAAATCTACCATTTTAAATAAAATAAAAAATTATGATTCAGAAAATAGATAATTAATATAAAGTTCTATTAAGAAATTCAATCATGTATTTTTTATCTTAATTATTATTTAGTTAATTGATCAAAGTATATAATAAGAAAAGAGAGAGAATGAATTTCTAGTTATTGAATTATAAAAGGAAATGGATAAAAAGATTGAACAATTAAAAAGATAATATAAATAAAATGAATAATTAATACAAGAAGAAGCATAAATTAAATTTAAACAAAAATTATAATAGATCTAATAACATGATCATTCTATTGATGATATCAAAAATTAATTAAATTATTACATTTAAGAAAATGATCATTTATCTTAGAAACTTTAAGTGTAAGATTAGCTTAATAGAGAATAATAAAAAAAAGCAGAATATGAGTAAAGATAACTTAATCAAACAATTAAAGAATTAGAAAATGAATTGTATATAATCATTCTATCAATTTTAGAAGTTAAATTCAATAATCTGCTGATTACACTTTGAAAGAGAGATAATTCCTTGAATTAAGATATAATGAACTTAAAGATAAATCAGAAAAGAAAATGGATTAAATCTAAAGAGATTATCAATAGTAAATATAACAACTTGAAACTATAATTTAACCAGTCTAATAAAGAGCTTTATCACCTCCATTACATTAACATACTTAATCATCAAGTACAGGTTTCCATCGTTCTCCTGCTGTCTAAACAAATTTATCATCTGCTAAACGTATAAATATCTTCATTCTAGATCCATATTCAAAACCTCCATAATACAGTAGTCCATCCATAAGAACACCACATAAATCTCCCTCTAATGATAGAACTGATAAAACAATTGAAGAATTAAGAGCTGAAATTTAATAATAAAAAGAGAAACTATCAAGAATGAAACTAAATTTTACAGAATCTTAAAAAAAATCTAAAACATTATCAAAGTTTTGATAAACTATATATATATATATTATTATAATTTAATATCTTAGTGATATAAAAATAGTATCAGTATATTTTTTGGATATACATTTAATTAATTAGTATTTTAATATCTTTAGTATACTTTTATTTAAAATTCTTAAGTAGATATAACATTTAATTACTATTATCATCACATATGAATTTATAATGATTATTAAAACATAATAATTTATAAATTAAGTATAATATTATTATATACTTATTGATATAATAGAATAAATTTATTGTTTAATATTTCTTATATTAAACAAATAATAAGATTGAGATATACAAATATATGATTAATACTAGATATACAAATATAAAACAAATATTATTTGATAATAAGTAGAAATGCAAATTCTTTTAAGATTATGTAAATATAAAATTAAAGATTTCAAAAAAGATTAATAATATATTATACTTATTCTTAAATTCAATTATGAATGATAAAATAAAAATAATTTTATTATTTAATGCATTATGAGTATTTTGATCAAGAGTATTAAATAATCAAGTAAATATATATCATTGAAATCTCTTTAAAACTCCTTTGATGATAAAACTATTTCTTCTTCTAGGAGAATTCTTTTTAAGAGGAGTAAAGGATCTATTAAGTTTCTTTTATTTCTAAACTCCATTATGTTATTTGGAGTTTTCTATGGATGGTAGTCGAAATTAAGTTCGAGGTACAAATTAAGGCATTTCAAAATATTCCTATTCGAATGAGATTTTCATCCATTCATGATTGAGTATATCATAAAGTTTGATTCTTTTTTGAGGATCTATGAAGAAAATCCTTGATAATAGATCAATTAGATAAGGTGAGACATTCTTTTTTGAAAATGTGTAATTACTGGTTGTAATATTTTGAATGATGTCAAAATTTGATTCTCCATCAAAAGGATATTTACCAAATATAAGATGAAAGAGTATAACTCCCATAGCCCAAACGTCAATATGTGGTCCAATTTTTTGGTTATTTCCTTAGAGAGTTTCAGGTGCCATATATCTGATAGTTCCAATATTCAATTTATCCATATTACTATTGACAGCCATTCCAGCAATACCAAAATCAACTATTTTAATTAAGGTATCATTTTTATTAGCAAACATAAGATTTTCAAGTTTGAGATCTCTATGAATTAGTTTACGATTATGACAATACATCATGGCATCACAAATCTATCTAAAATACATTCGTGCTTCTTCTTCACATAATTAACCCTTAGCTTCATTAAAATATTAAAAATACCTTAAGTATATTTGGATAGATCACCTCCTTCCAAATATTCCATTACAACAATTACTTACATATTTGAGAGTGGATAACAATTATAAAATTTGACTATATTTTTATGATTAAGTGATTTCAATAAATAAGCTTCACGAAATACCAATTCAATATCATTTGCATCTCTATTTCTAGTATTGACATATTTAATAGCAACTAAATTAAGAGTTTCTTTATGTTTACCCAACAACACTTTACCAAATCCTCCTTTACCTAATTATTCTAAAATCTCATATTCTTGATGGATGATATTTGCATCAAAGTCTTCCCCTCTTGTGATATATAATTTTGAATTATCTTTTAAGTAAATCAAATCTTCATTAAACAGTTCTACTCCATCTTAAGTAAATACTCTAAAGTGTCTAAGACTTATTTAATGTTTTTATTCACATAATTATCTCAATTCTTTGAGTGAAGTATCACCATAAATACATATTTAAAATTTACGATCACTACCTAATAAAGTGATATTGAGTGTTTTAGTGTTAGAATCTTCATTATACTCATGAAACATTATAAGTGAAGTATTTTTTAATTTATTTTATGTAAAATAACACATTAAGATAAATCTATTATATTAATATTAATTAATTTTAATAAATACTTAATCAAAATAAAACAATAATTGTTTAATAAGAATCAACCTATTGTACAAATGTAATTTTGATTCATTTAACCAAGTCTATGTGATTCTCTAAAACAAATATATATAAAATAAGTTAAAATTTCTGATCTTCTTTAAACATTCCAATTTTATCACTTTAAAAGAGATTAGAATTGAAAAAATAAAAGAACTATAATTTACTTATTTAATGAAACTTATTGCAATTTTCTGAAATAAACAATTAAATATTAAAGCAAAATAAATTTAAATAAGAAAATTTCAATTTAAAAGAGTATTGGAAGCATTAGACAAATAAGATAATACAACAAATAGAATATCATATCTTCTTTAACATCAACATCTAAATTAAATAAAAATTAGAAATAATTAAGAATAGTTGTAAATGATATATTATTAATTATATCATCCTGCAATTACTTATGAACACAATTATAAATTAACTTCTTGTTTTTAAATAGTACTTTTTATATCTCCTATTACATCTAATGGATTTGGAACCATTGATTCACACATCAAAATCTAAATATAATATATTTATTTGATTACAATTTTTTAATTGCAATATTTTTCTAGATCTTATTTAATATTAGCTATGGTTGTAGTACCAGGTAATCGGAGTTATAAAATACGAGTTTGATCATCAAGTTTTGTATTTTTCTCATTTGCCAAATCTTATAATGCCTTAATAAATTATTATCTATCCTATTATGCAGTTGAATTATATATTTATAGATTGACTATGATATGGTCTCCTCTCGCTAATTAAAAGATAGAAGAGTACATGTATTTTTAAGTAAAGCTTCTTGATATTAATGCATTAAAATAATTATTGTTTTATAATATATTTTTTAATTTGTTTTAATTATCTAGATTCTTGATAAAGTGTAGATTTTATTGATTATTGATAAAATATTTGATTTAGTATTGAATAGTTTCATATAATACTTTATTCATTTTCTTATGTTTATAACAGTTGTAATGTGTGTTAATATTAAAAGATAGAAGTGTAGTATGTAAGTCTGTCTATAATATATAAAAATCAGATAATAATTTAAATAGTTTAAAAATAATGGACGAGAACAAAACAGCTGATGGGTAAAAATTATTAATAAATATAGTTCTGAGTAAGTAGTGATCTTTGAAGAAAAAATCACTAAAGTAAATGGAGAAGTGGCAATAAAGAGATATTAGAGAGGAAAGTTTTTAGGAAAGGGTGGTTTTGCTAAGTGTTATGAAGCAACAAATTTAGAGACCAAGAAAGTTTTAGCAGCCAAGATAATTGCTAAAAGTAGTTTAACTAAGAATAGAGCTCGTTAGAAAGTAATTATATGATTTAATGAATTAGCTTATTTCTGAAATAAAAATACACAAAAGTTTACAAAATACTAATATTGTTCAATTTGAACATGTATTTGAGGATCACGAAAATGTATACATTTTATTAGAGTTATGTTCTAATCAAGTAACAATCATACATTTAAATTAGACTTTAAATGAATTAATAAAAAGACGTAAAAGACTTACAGAAATTGAAGTATAATGCTATGTTGCATAAATAATTAATGCATTAAAATATTTACATGCAAGTAATGTAATTCATAGAGAGTATATTTTATTTATTTATATTTTAAGTCTCAAATTAGGAAATCTATTTCTTAATAAATCAATGGAATTGAAATTAGGTGATTTTGGTTTAGCAACAAAATTGGAATTTGATGGAGAAAAGAAAAGAACTATTTGTGGAACACCTAATTATATTGCTCCTGAAGTTTTAGATGGAAAAGTTGGTCACTCATTTGAAGTTGATGTATGGTCATTAGGAGTTATAATATATGCAATGTTAATTGGAAAACCACCCTTTGAAACACCAGATGTCAAAACTACATATAGAAAAATTAGATTGAATTCATATACTTTTCCAGAACATGTTCTTATTTCTGATGCAGCCAAAAATCTAATTACTAGAATTCTTAATTTAGATCCAGTTAAAAGACCTACATTAGATGAAATTATGGCTCATCCATTTATGAATACTGGTGGTTCTATTCCAAAAACTCTTCCACTTTCTACTCTTGCTTGTCCTCCTTCAGCATCTTATAATAAATAATTCTAACCATCCACAAATTAAAGTAGTCTCAAAATGTCAGTAAATGCTATGCCATAAAGATTAACTGAAACTACTCCAAATAATTAAAAAAATCAATAAAGACCAGGCAATGGTTCATCTGATCGTTTTCCATGTATTCAATTATTATTATTATTCTTTAAGTATAAAAACCTAGTTCAAGTGGTAATATTTTAGAGGATAACTTTGGATCTAGTGGTTTAAATAATGCATAAAATGCTGGTTATGGTGGATCCCAAAGACCTTAATCATAAAAACCAAATGATATTAGAAGTAGTCAAAGTTAAAAAACACTTAATACTCCTTTTGGTGGTACTGGAATGTAAGGTACACATTCAGTTAATAATCTTGGATAAAGATAACCATAATAAAAATAAGAAATATATGTTAAAAAATGGGTTGATTATTCTAGCAAATATGGATTGGGTTATCTATTAAGTAATGGTGCTACAGGAGTCTTTTTTAATGATTCTACTAAAATTATATTAGATACAAAATCATTATAATTTGAATACATGGAAAGAAAAGGAACTGATAAATAAGATTTTTGTGAATCACATAATTTAAATGATTATCCTAGAGAATTATAAAAGAAAGTTACTTTACTTCAACATTTTAGAAGTTATCTTGAAGGTGAATAAAATAAATAAGATATGGCGTTTGAAGAATATGATAATAAATAATTAGTTTATGTTAAAAAATGGATGAAAACAAGACATGCTATTATGTTTAGATTATCAAATAAAATTGTCTAAGTATTTATATATATTAATATAATTAGGTTAATTTCACTGACAAAACTGAGATTATTTTATCATCAGAACATAAAATGGTTACTTATGTAAATAAAGCTGGAGAAAGAAGTCATTATCCTTTAGCTACTGCTCTTGATAGTTAAAATACTGAAATGGCTAAAAGACTTAAGGTAATCATATTCATTTACCTCCTTTAAGTATACTAAAGAAATCTTGACTCATATGCTCAATGGCGGTCATACAGGAGATCAAAAACCTAACTAAATGACTGGTACCAATTGGTAAAATTCTGGACCATGAAAAGATTATTTACATATCAATAAATAAGTGCATTTAAAAAAACAATATTCATTAAATAATTATAAATATAATTTATTTACACTTTAAATATCTATTAAATAATAATATATATCAGAATACAATCTAGTAAGTTTTTAGACTTTAATCCCAAATAATCAAATAACATTAATCTTTCTCTGGAATGTATAAAATGTTACCAAATATAGAAGAACTTTAAAATTCCATACAATTCTATAATATTGCATATGTTCCATCTAATTGTTATCTCATTGTATAAATAATATTTCTATTCTTTATTAATATTAGATTATGATCATGAACTTAAATAATAGGAAATCCAGGTTAGTCAAGATTCTTTTTAGCATCTTCATACTAATTATCTAATAATAATTATTCTTATTTTTATTCATAAAAGTCATTGTCAATTTTTTTAAAAAAACTAATTCTATTAATATTTCTTGTCTCCTTTTAAAATTCAGTAATCAAAATGAATAAATCATTTCTTATAAAAGATATTCTATTACTACATTCTTTTATAGTTGAATTCACAATTTACATTAATGTCCATTTTTCTTCTGTTTTTTATCTAACAATAATCATTTTATTCTCACAATAGGATACTAAGTACATTTCAGAATCATTTAAACTTAAACTCAAAATTCTTCCTTCATGTTCATATAAAGAATATTCATATTTTAGTTAAGATGTATCAAAATTGAGTTGATAAACCTATATCTCTTTACCTCCACTAAATAATTAAGTTTCCTTCTTATTTATTATTAAACAATTAATATATCCATTCTGTTTATGAAAATCTTATTATTAGCAAATATCTATATTATCAGAATATTTCCAAATAGCAAGTTTCTCATCAGCAGTAACAAAAGAATTATAAAATTTACTATGAATTATACAAGTTACTGATAATTCATTATTCAATTTTTCTATTTATTTTATTCTTTCCCAGATTAAATTATTTAATTGATAAATATTTATTTTATTACCTTAATTAGTAATCATAAGTAATTTAGATGGATTAAAAGCTAATGCATTACAACTCTCATTTTAGTAAGATAGAGGTTTATATTAAATAGGTCCATATCTAGTAAGATCCTATATAATATAATCTTGATTATATCTTTAATTAGAAAATATTAAATTGTTTTGAACTTATTATCTTAAAATGTTATCTATAAGTTTGATTGGATTATTATCAGTAGTATTTTTATTGATTTAATTAGATTTTACAGTAAATAAATTATTTTAATCTACATTTGATACCATAGATGCAATCATATTAAAAATCTGTAAATTTAATTCTGCATTTTTTAAGTCTTCAATTTGATTGCATTATTATTTCAATATATTTGCTCCCTATTAAAATAGATTAAATATTGCTTAATTAAATTAACAATTAATCTTACGTTAGTTATTAATTTATATGTTATTTTATTGTTAAATTTTGTCTCTTAAATATTAGTTCAATTTTTTATAACTTTTTTCTTTATTCTTAAGAAATATAGACCATTTGTCACAAAATATTTCCAATGACTCTCCTGTTTTATTTTGGCATTTAATACAAAGCGTTAGAAATGAATTTGAGGAGTCTTAATAAAACACTTTTGTTATTGGTTGTTAATGAAAAGTACATAATGTATTTTTTAATGAATTTAGTAATTCAGAAGTACTTGTTTCAATTTTAGGTTCAATTTAAAATAAAGATTCTAGTATATATTAGTATCCTTCTGATAATTTAGATATATTTGTAAAATTTTGAATTTTATGTAATAATTTATAAGAAAATTAAAGATTACATTGTTTGATTGAATGTTTAAACTGTAATGTCTCATTTTGATCCTTAATAGAATTAGGACATCTAAGAGAATAAATTTCATCAAATGAATTACTTTTATTTTGTACATCTTTTATTTTTGATATTATTCGTATCCATTCATTTACACACAAAACTATACTATTTATTTCATATATAATATCTTATTTATATGAATTTAATAACTGTAATAATTTCTCAATGGGTTTAATTTACTATTCAATAATAATTTTTCTAAAATTTTCTTTTTATTCTTTTTTTTCATCCATCTCTCTTAATGCATTTTCATATCTTATTGATATTTCATGTCCTTTAGAATTTTGATAACATTAGTCACATAATAATCTTTAATTATTAGGTAATTGATTATTTAATAGAAAAACACCAATTTTATTTACTTCGCATACACATTTTCTATTAATATAATCTTCTCTCATTTAATCTTTCATCTTTTAAAATATTTAATTACTTTTTATTTATATTAATAATAATCTAATAGCATATTTTATTATATGCCAAATAAACATCAATCAATTAGATTTAAAATGAATATAACTAGTTTTTTGTTATAAATTGTTTATTTTATTTATGTATCCTCTAATATAATATCAAATTAATTGTAAATCATTTTAATTATAAAAATGAAAAAATCAATAATAAGACCAAGTAATCAATTAAATTCTCCTTCAATATCTCACTATAGATCATAAACTAATGGTTCAGGTATGATTGATCAATCTAGGATTTTGGAAGAAAATAGTGAAAGATTTTAAAGAACTTGGAATATATTGGAAAGTGTGGAAGAATTAAAGAGTGTACGTTAGATAGTGAAGTAGGTGACAACGGAGCCATGTATTTAATGTGAATGTTAATTGGGAGGAACTATAATATCTGGTAAAGTTTATAAAGTATCTCCTATGGAGTTTTATTATTGTAATATTGGAACAAGAGGATAGAAATCACCTTTAAATTGTACTATGTTTTGTGATGGAGAGTTTTAGATAATGATTTCATTTAATTCACCTTTTCCAACTAAATTTAATTGTGATTAAGTTATTCGTAGTAAATAATGGGCAGTGAGACATAATGGAGAAGATAAATTACATTTAGCAGTAGTTGCAAGGAAATAAACAGATATAAAATTTTTAGTTCATTTTGGATAAGCAGATTCTTTTAGGAAATTAGTTCGTATGACTAGTGATCATGATAGAATATATATAAGTGATGATATACCAAAAACACCTTAATTTATTGTTAATTAGAATAAAGTATTAGCATTTAAGAAGGTGAATAAATTTGAGATGGAAGTTAGTAGATCAGATCGTTTCTTACAGATATTAAAAATAAGAAATCAACAAAAAAAATCAGTATTGGAAGAAAACTAAATGAAGAACCTTGAATTTAAAGCTAAGGAATGGGCACATAATGAATATAAATTAATTACATAAGCATTAAGAAATAGACATAAGAAGAGAGAATAAAAATATTTATGGTTTGAATTACTTTATTATATCAAATTTGTAGACACACTCTAAATATTTTTATAATAAAGAAGAAAGTAATTAATGAAGAATAAAATGATGGTTATAGGTTTATAATTGAGAATCAAGTCTTTCAAGGATAATAGATAGAAATAGAGAGGTGATATTTAACATAGAGTAATAGGAGATACTGTAATGTCTTTGATGATTTATTGTAAATAGACAAGAAGAAGATTAATACATAATTGTTTAGTTTCTGTATTACCTTTGTTAAAGTGGAGAGCATCATTATTTATGTTTAAAAAGAAAGCTATGATTACAAGTGGAAAATTATAATTAATAAAGATTAATCTTAATTAATTTATAAGAAATGTAAGAGATTATAAAGCTAAGATGATTTAAAAATGGGATTAATATACTTTGAAGATACATTCTATTCCATCATTATAAAAAATGGATAAGAGATTTATTACTTGGATCAAATATTTATATGAAAAAGGATATCAGGTTTATTTTTAGAATTAATTTATTACTTTATTAATGAGAGATCGTTATCGTTCTCATATTAGAGAATAGAGAGAAATAAAAAAATATAGATTAGAATTAAAAGCTGCCAAATTAGAATTGAGATTTGCTAGAGAATCTTTAGATATTTTAACTTTGAGATAAAGAATATTTAGATTGAACAATGATATATATGCTTTGTAAGTGAAAAACTAATTCTTTATTCATTCTGATGTTGAAAGATTTGTAAATTCAATTTTAGAGTAGAGCTCATTTATCTTTTTAGATGAGGATACTAATCAATTAAATTAAGAAAAATAATCTCGTATTAGAGTGAGTTTAAAAAGATAAAAGACAATGAGAATCTCAAAGAATCTTTGAATTGTTTATGTTAATTTTTTATTATTTATAATATCATAAGTGATATTTTAATAAAATGAAATTGTCTATTAAAGATTAATACATGAATTTAATACTACTTATCAATACTATTCACTTAAATAATCTCAAGTGGGTACTTTAGAAATATTGAAATCTAAATCATATAATAAATAGAATAAAAAGTATGGATGGATATCTATTATATAAGTTATAATATATGTAAATTGAATGCTTATCATTTGAATTAACATTGAAGGCTGAATTAACAAAAAAATTGAAATAACATTAAATGAATTATGTAAATTCTTAATTATAAATTAATATCCATATGAATAATCAAAATACTGTTGTTGAATAGACTCAACTATCATTCAATTTAGATACTAAAAATAAAATAGAAAGTAATACAAATCAATATAAAACATAAACTAATTAATTAGAGAATTACAATTAAACATTATAAAATTCTGTTAAATTATAAGATGGAATTATGGTTGATCTTAAGAAATAAAAGGAGACATTATTGACATACAAGAAGATGTATTATAATATATTTGAATCATTAAGACAAATATAATTAAATCAGATGTAAAAGAAGTATGTTAGACTAATATAAAAGAGAGATCTTCAGTAAAGTACTGAAATTAGGATTGATTAGAGTGTTGACTTTAAGGAATATACTTTTGATATATTATAAAATATGATTAATTAAATTAATGGCTTCTAATATGTTTCAATAGAATGATATTAACTTCAATAAGAAAGTCGATGAATTTAACAATCTCTATAAATAATATTCCATGACTTAGAGTAAACAACTTACATTAGAGAAAATGAAACTTACTCATGTTTAAGCTGAATAATAAGTAATTGAAATAATCAATCACTACTATAGTTCAAATTTATGGAAATTGAATACAGTTCCTTTAATGAGTAGAATAAACAGGAATTTGCATAAAAATTTAGATAAAATAAGATGCTTTATACAGAATGCTAAAAGAAATTAAGAGATCTATAATCAGATATTGATAAGCAACCATAATCAAACCTTAACACTGTTGTCAAAAAAACATAGCCATCTTAGATTAGTGGATTAAATTCTGATTTACACTCATAAATTAAGTAATTAAATCATCTGGATTCACGATTACTTGAAGCAGAAGACACTTAAATAAGCATTCTANTCAATTTTAGAGTAGAGCTCATTTATCTTTTTAGATGAGGATACTAATCAATTAAATTAAGAAAAATAATCTCGTATTAGAGTGAGTTTAAAAAGATAAAAGACAATGAGAATCTCAAAGAATCTTTGAATTGTTTATGTTAATTTTTTATTATTTATAATATCATAAGTGATATTTTAATAAAATGAAATTGTCTATTAAAGATTAATACATGAATTTAATACTACTTATCAATACTATTCACTTAAATAATCTCAAGTGGGTACTTTAGAAATATTGAAATCTAAATCATATAATAAATAGAATAAAAAGTAATATATGTAAATTGAATGCTTATCATTTGAATTAACATTGAAGGCTGAATTAACAAAAAAATTGAAATAACATTAAATGAATTATGTAAATTCTTAATTATAAATTAATATCCATATGAATAATCAAAATACTGTTGTTGAATAGACTCAACTATCATTCAATTTAGATACTAAAAATAAAATAGAAAGTAATACAAATCAATATAAAACATAAACTAATTAATTAGAGAATTACAATTAAACATTATAAAATTCTGTTAAATTATAAGATGGAATTATGGTTGATCTTAAGAAATAAAAGGAGACATTATTGACATACAAGAAGATGTATTATAATATATTTGAATCATTAAGACAAATATAATTAAATCAGATGTAAAAGAAGTATGTTAGACTAATATAAAAGAGAGATCTTCAGTAAAGTACTGAAATTAGGATTGATTAGAGTGTTGACTTTAAGGAATATACTTTTGATATATTATAAAATATGATTAATTAAATTAATGGCTTCTAATATGTTTCAATAGAATGATATTAACTTCAATAAGAAAGTCGATGAATTTAACAATCTCTATAAATAATATTCCATGACTTAGAGTAAACAACTTACATTAGAGAAAATGAAACTTACTCATGTTTAAGCTGAATAATAAGTAATTGAAATAATCAATCACTACTATAGTTCAAATTTATGGAAATTGAATACAGTTCCTTTAATGAGTAGAATAAACAGGAATTTGCATAAAAATTTAGATAAAATAAGATGCTTTATACAGAATGCTAAAAGAAATTAAGAGATCTATAATCAGATATTGATAAGCAACCATAATCAAACCTTAACACTGTTGTCAAAAAAACATAGCCATCTTAGATTAGTGGATTAAATTCTGATTTACACTCATAAATTAAGTAATTAAATCATCTGGATTCACGATTACTTGAAGCAGAAGACACTTAAATAAGCATTCTAGATAATCTTCGTAGTTAAAAAGAAAAATTATTAAAAGCCATTGAAGATGTAATACTAGTTACTAATTTAGACTAAAGAAATCTAGAGTGGAGTTAAAATGACTTAAAGACATGCAACCATGATTAAGAATAGGGAATCATATAATAAAGGGATATTGATGACTTTGGTTTGCATATTAACAATTGGAAATATACTTATTATATACTATAAATTTGTTCATTGAAAATACATGAATTAAATATTATATTTATGATATTAAGCACAATTTTCATTTTATTTTATATCAATCAAGCTCTTGCGATATGTTCAGGTATACTAAAAAATTGAATTAAGCAGATGATATACCCTACTTAACCACCAGAAACCTTAGACCTACCTAATCCTTATGTGACAATACTATGATGTTCAATCTATCATTTGTAGATTACCCACTTACTATTGAAATTGCCAAACAACTACAGACAATATACACAATTGCTCCAATTTCAATGCTCTCGGCATCTGACATGCATGGTAATCTAAATGGTATTAGTTCTAAAAATATCTTTTAAAGCCTACACTGCAACTAGTTTTGAGTTTAGATCCCCATCTTAACACTAAATAGAAGGAACTTAATATGATTTAGAAATGCTAATTCATCATTAATTATAAGAAGGATTAGTTTCAGATTCTCAAATGGCCATTGTATCTATCCTATTCAAAATTGATAAAAAGTAATCACAACCATTTTTTGATGATTACTATTTCAAGATATTGAAACATCAAAACACTACCACTCTTACAATTAATTTTCACAATTCCCTTGGAACATAAATTCCTTAAGATTCCACATTCTATACTTATATGGGTACATTTAATTCACATTTGTTGGATTGCAAATAGTTGGTACAATGGTATGTATTAGATACTCCACTTCCTATATCTTCATAATAAGTTGATCAATTTAATTATTTCTTTAATGGCAATTACACCAAAAGAGAAAACATCTCTTAGGAAAAAACAACTGAAGTGATAGAAATATTAAAATTAAAGGGAAAATATTGTGAAAGCCATTTAGCCCGTGATTTTGGTTTGTTCTTAGGCTATTGTGCTATGATATTCATAATTTATAAATCAATTTGACATTTATATATTATTTAATTGAAATTAAATCAGTACTTTAAGAGATGCAAAGTATTTGAAATTCCGTATATGTTCATTATTGATTTTTTGAATTTCCTTGGACTTACATAATTGGATGATGGTTATGTTATTGCCTTTTAAGGTGATAACATCTCCAATTAACTCCAATTTCTATGGATCTTTTTTGGAAAGAGAGGTTGATCTATTGTAATTGATTTATTGAAGTGGAACAATTTAGTATGCACTTTAGCTTTTGGAGATGATAAAGGAGGCATATTAATTTTCTTTGATTGATTAACAAGATCAACTTATTAAACTGTTACTTTTGGTTTAAATGTTGATAATATACGTAACAAATTTACTTAGTCTTTGAAGCCTAACAAAATATTTCTATTTTTACATTATTTTAAAGAAAGAATACGCTTTGATTGACTTTGTGAATTCCCATGTTTGAGTCTCAAAAATACAATTCTTGCTAAATTCTAATTACGATGTTAAGGATTATCAATTTTAACAAATTACATCCATTCCTTACTTGATTTAAAATACCCAAACATCTCTCCTTAACAAGATTTTCGACGAGAAATAGTTTATGGAGTTTCCAAAGGTCCAGATGCACAAGCCTTGATTGCATTTCTTCTGACATATCGTACTCTTGTGTTTATAAACTTATGAACAAGCAAAGGAATTGTTCTTGGCAGAGACTTAGACCTATAATCACATCTCTTGAATTATTTGTACATGAACAGTAAATTCAATAAGAGATTTATATAAATTATTTATACATCCAAAATAATTTGGTAAGAGAGGAATTATAATTAAATACAGATGTAGTGATAATTTTATATTATATATATAATTCATGCGTATATTCCTATTTAATTCTTAGTTAAAATTGTTGAAAGCTTTTTGAATTCTAAATTACTATTCTTTAATAATGTATAAATATTTTAAGAAAATAGAATATCTATATAGATCTATGAATAAATAACATCCTCCCTGGGGTTCTTAAATAGGTGTGGCACATGGTGGTGTCATTGGGTATTCAAATAGTGAACCTAATTATGATTTCAAAAAAATTCACCTTTATGAGGTTCATTATAAAAAAGAAGAATCTGGATTGAGATGTGATATTTTTATGGGATATAAGTAAAATAAATATATATATAGATATTAATGTGTTGAATTTGCAAGAAGGTTTTTTGTTTTGAATTATAAAACCATGTTTACAGATGTATAAAAAGCACCAGACATTTGGGATTTAGAAACTGTTGAAGATTTAACAAAAGAATCTGGTACATTTCCATTTGTTGGATTTAAATAAGGAGGAAATGAGTAAATTATATAATTGAATTATTAGACCACCAAAATTTGGTGATTTATTATTAGCTCCATAAAGTGAACATTAACCTTGGGGTCATGTAGCTGTAGTTGTTGGAGTTGGTGATGGATACATTGATTTAGCTGAATAAAACTATGAGGATGCTGGTTGGATTACAGAAACATATGCTAGAAGAGTAAAAGTAGAATGCAAAGATGGCAATTACTTTGTCACATATATTAGAGTTGGGTATTAATTGGAATTTAAACATTATTCAGATTTGAAGATTAATTTAATGAAAGTTGGGACAAGAATGAGATAATTATTGGTTGGAAAAGAATAATATTTAATTGAGTTTATTATCATACGTATTATTTATTATTAATATCTAATATGGACTCATCAGCTACAACAAGACGTCTTCAACATCTTTCAAGACATTTCAAAGCTTCCAATATAACTACTCCTCCTGTTCGTGTTACTGTTACAGGTGCTGCTGGAAATATTGGATATGCATTAGTTCATATGATTGGATAAGGTAGACTTCTTGGACCAAATCAATAAATCATTTTAACTCTTTTAGAATTACCAATGGCCAAGGATTAATTGGAAGGCACAATGATGGAACTCAGAGATTGTGCTTTTCCACTCTTGAAGGAAATTAAAGGAACAACTCAATATGATTAAGGATTTATGGGTTGTGACATAGCTATATTGGTTGGTGCTAAACCAAGAGGACCTGGCATGGAAAGAAAGGATTTATTAGCTGCTAATGCTCGTATCTTTAAAGAGTAAGGAGAAGCATTAGAAAAGTATGCCAGCAGAAATGTTAAAGTTTTGGTTGTAGGAAATCCTGCCAATACAAATGCTTTAATCACAGCACATTTTGCACCAAGCATACCAAAATCTAATTTTACAGCACTTACTCGTCTAGATTAAAATAGAGCCTAATCCATAGTTGCCTAAAGAGTTAGTGCAAATGTTGAAGATGTTAGAAATATTATTATTTGGGGAAATCATAGTACTACTCAATTTGCTGATGTTAGTCAAGCAACTGTTTAATAAAATGGAATTTCATATACGTATTAATTTATATTTAATAAGTGTTCGAGGATTAGTGGCTGATGATGCTTGGCTTTAAAAAGCATTTGTTGAATAGGTGGCAAAGAGAGGTGGAGCTATTATTGAAAAGAGAAAGGCTTCATCTGCTGCTTCTGCTGCTAGTGCTGTTTGTGATCATATTCATGATTGGTTAATTGGAACTGATAATGGGTATTTAAATAAAATTTATATTATTAGAACATTTGTGTCCATGGGAGTAATTACAGATGGAAAACTATATGGAATCAAAGAATAAGTTTGTTTTTCATTCCCATGCATTTGCAAAGATGGAAACATCAAAGTAGTTGAAGGTTTGAAATGGGATCAATTCTAATAGTCTATGATTGACAAAACATTGAAAGAGTTGTTAGAGGAAAAAGAAATGGCTTTATCTGTTGTTATCCCTAAATGAATAGAACAAAATATAAATATAAAATATAATTATTTATTATTGATATATAAAATATAAAATAATTAAAAAGGTTTAATAAATCTTTTAAAAAAATATGACCACGAAGGAAGAGTTTGAAAAGTATTAAGAATCATTAGAAGGTGATAGTAATGTTCAAGATGATTAGAGTTATTCTCAAAACAAATCTGTCTAAACTTATTTAAAACCAGAAGTAGTTGGACCATCTGTTCTTATCGAAAAAGCACAAACGAGTTATGAATTTAACGATGAAAGATACGATTTATACTCAGAATCTAGAGAAATTTTTTCGAAACCAAATGATTCAAATTCTTAATATTAAGATTAAGAATAAAAAAGTGAAGAACTATATGAATCAAATTTTGTATATTAAGATAAGAAATATGAAAGTTTAGAACTCTAATAACTTAATAACTATTAATATTAGAATTAACTATCGAATGGAACTATAGAAAGATAAAAAAAATTGAGCGAAAATGACCATAGCCTTATTTTAGTAGATAAATTAGACATAATTTAAAATAAAGATCGATTAAATGAAAGTGTTGATATGCTATTAACTATAATTCTTTAGGTAAAAGAGAAGTTTTAAGAAGAAATAAAAGTCTAGGAAAAAAAAGACTATTACATGAATAAATTATAAAAGTTTAGTTAGAAAAAGATTATGAAAAAATTCAAGATTAAATAATTTAAAGATAATTAATACAATTTTATAAGTTAATATTTAATAAGACAAGAAAATGAAGAATCCTTAAAAATTTTATTATCTTGTTTTATAGAATATACTTTTCAATGGATCAATCTACTTGATTTTAAATAAGAAGGAAAAAGTTAAACATTTAAAGAAATATAAGAATTCCTCAAACAAGAAATCATTGAATAAACAACAATTAAATTAGGTATTTAAAACTATTTTTAAAATAAGACATATTAAAAATTTGATTTTATAGAATTTGTGATAAATTTATTAAAAATTTACTAGGAGTTAAAAAATTTACAAACTTAAGAATTGATAATATATTAATAGTAATAAGAAATTTATTTATAATAATTAGATGCTTACTAATAATAATTATTTGATTTCTTAAAAAAAATATCTGAAATGAAGTTAAATAGATATAAATAAAAAATGAATATTAACTTTTCTTTAAAAACTTTTAAAAAATTAATTTCATGTGATGCAAAACCTGAAGTATTAAATGCAATCAAAGCTGCTAAAAGAAAACCTAAATAATTTTTAAATGAATTAATTTTGAATGATGAAGAAATTAAGGATTTTTAGGAAGCAATAGAAAAATTACTAAAAAAAGCAAAAAAATTATGATTACTTTAATACTTCTTATTTATAAAGTCTCAAATAAATAAATATCAATTAAGATCATTATCATCATCAATAAAATCTCCAACATCTTCATTATTTTCTTATTCATCAAGTATTTATTCTTCCTTATGTACTTATAAATTTAATTATTATTCTTGCACCATTTATTAATCTTAATTGTCTTAAGATGATTGAGGTTTATTCTATTATTATTGGCTTTCATCAAGTTCTTAAATTTCATTGAGTTATTTATTAGACTATTTTGTATTAACATTATCTTATGATCCTTAATGAGCAGTTTTTTTCTATCCACTAACTAAAATGGCTCTTTTAAAAGACACATCTCCTGTTTTACCAACTTTATTAGGAGTTGTATTATTAGATTTTTGACTAGATGATCTATTTTCTTATGAATGTGTAGATGTATTTTCTTGCATATAATTCTTTCTTTATGATAATAAACTCATTTAATATTTAGTAGGATTATTTGATAATGCAGATAAATTCTTGACATTTGATTTTTATTTAGTTTAATCAAGGATTTCTTAAAATAAAGTTTCTAGATTATTCTTAGATTTCAAGAGTTCAGTATTTTCCATTTCTAATTGTTTATTTCTTTATTTAAATCTATTTGTATAACCTTAACTAGTCTTTAATTAAGTTGCTAAAGATCTCTATTACTATTTAAGTAATTCAATTTCTTAATCTTTTTCAAGGATTTAATTTTTAAGATTTTATAATTCATTAGATTTTGTTTTAGAATTCATTTATAATAAAGATTCTAATTTAGATTTTAAATCAGAATTATCTTAAAGAATTCTTAATTAAAGTTGTTTTGATTTTTATAATTCTTCATCTTTGAATATAATTTATTCTTAATGTTTTTATGAAATTTAAATAGATTTTTTGAGCTATATAAATGGAGTATATTTATACTTCAATATCTAATTATTTAGAATGTTCAAGTGATTTAATATATTGTCTATTGCTTTCTTGTAATTTGGATTCTAATTCTTTGATTTTGAGTTCTAAATCAGATATTTTCTTTGTCTATTCTTTTAGAGTCTTGTTTGCTTATGATAATTGAGTATCTAGAGTAGCATTTTCCCTTTAATATAAATACAATTAGTAAATACTTTTCAAATTATTTAGTAGTTTATTCAAATTATTTTTTGGCTTCATTCAATATATCATCCTTTTCAAGTAATCTGTTCTTAAAGAGTTCTTATTCATTAGTAGACTAAATTAATTAAAATAAATACCTTTTCTTTTGTTTTTTCTAGGATTTACATAATTTTTGTCATTTCTTCTTTATATTCTTTTTAAGTATCCTTCAATTAATTTTAAAGTTCCAAGATCTGCTTTTAATAAGTTGTATTTGAATCTTCTGCAAGTTTAAGTTTATTTAATAAGTCACCATTAGTCGTATTAAGTTGTTATAATTAAGAATTGAGTGTTTAATTATCATTTAGTAAATTATCTTTAAGTAATTTTAAATTATTGAGTTCATCAGTAAGAGTATTAATATTGACATTCTATTGAGTAATCAGAATCAATTATTATGATTGTTTCTCTAATTATTCATTCAATGATTAGATTTATTAATCTTTTTCATTTAATTCTTTCTATAATTGTGGAATAATTTATTCATGATGAGATATCTTGGTTTCTCTTTCTTTGAGTTAAATATCTTTTTCACTAAGAAGATGTTCATAATGATTAGTGATTTATTGTAACTGAGATTCAGAATTAGTGTTTTCTCCAGATTTAGCTATTAATTATTAATTGAGATCTTTTGCTTCACTCAATTATACTTCAACTTCATTCAATTTACGTTGGAGTGTTTGAATTTGATTCTAGATTATAAATTATATTTACATTAAAATCTCTTTCTTTAGATCTCCATTCCACAACATCACTTTGATTCTTTTCTATTAGTTTAAGATTTTATTATTCAAGCATTCTCACTTTTTCACCAAGTTCAACTACCTAAAACAATATTGATTTTATATATATACTTCTGAATTATTTTAGATTGATCTTTATAATTCTTCAACTTTATCTGTAAGTGTTACTATTTGTCTATGTCTATTTTGTATATCATCTTCTAAACTTTTAATTTTAGTTTGTAATTCTTATTCTTTAGACATATTGATAATTATTAATTATGTCTGAATAATCAGAAGAAGAATCCTAATAATTATAATAAAAAGAAGAAGAACAATAGGATAGTCAAATTATATAATAAGAGGATAAGACTGAGTAATAATTATAGTAAATCCCATATGTTCATATGTTAAATAATAAATATAATGTGAGAGAAGCTGTTCATGCAGGATCCTGGTATTCTAGCAAAAGTAATGAATTAAAAATACAGATTAATTGTTGGTTAGAATAAGCAAAAGCAGAAGTAACTACAGTTGCATAATTGAAAGCATTAGTTGTTCCGTAATATATTTATAATTAAATTAAGTCATGCAGGTTATGCTTATTCTGGTCCAACAGCTGCATTCAGTTACAAATATTTAAAGAAATATCCTCCTTCTGAAAAATTAAAAGTATTTATTCTTGGTCCTTGTCATTATGTTTATATAACTTAATGTTGTTTAACTAGATAAGAAATCTATGAAACTCCATTAGGAAATATTAAAGTAGATCTAGAAAGTATGTAATTAATGATCATATTATTAGCTGTTAAATAATTACATGAATAAGGATTATTTGAATAATCAGACAAAGATGCAGAAGAGGAAGAACATTCAATTGAAATGTAATTACCTTTTTTAGCTCATATTTTGGGTACTGATAATTTTACTATAATTCCAATTATGGTTGGATCAATTGATGCTAAATCTGAAGAGTATTATGGTAGATTGTTAAGTGAATATTTTGATATGGATGATACTCTATTTATTATATCAACTGATTTCTGTCATTGGGGAACTAAATTTGCTTATACTTATTTTAATAGTGCAGATGGAGAAATATTTGAATCAATTGAAAAATTAGATTAGAAAGCTATGGAACATATTGAATTACATGATTTAGATAAATTTAATGATTATTTAAAAGAATATGAGAATAATATTTGTGGAAAACATTGTATTGCCATATTATTACATGTATTTGTATATATTTTATATTGAAAGTGTATAGCAATGAGTTAAAATACACATATGATGGAAACTAAATTTATTAGATATGCATAATCTTGTTTAGTTAGAGATAAGAAGGATTCTTCAGTTAGTTATGCAGCAGCTATTACATTTTTAGAAGATTGAATAAAAATTAATTTGATTAAATAAAACATATATATATATAAATATATACTCATTCGATAATAATGGCTGAGTCATGATTTTATCCTATTTTTGATTTGTTTTATTGAAATTTTTATTATTCTTCCATTCTTGCTTATTATTGTAATTTCATTTGATTTATATAATAATTATTAGCATAGAAATTAGCATAACTATTACTCCTTAGATGTTGATTAGATGATAACATCATATTATTTATTACATTTTATAAAGTGTTTGAATATGGTGATGTATTAATAGACTCTTTAGTTTTGACTATTTACAATTTATAAAAGATATTATTTGTTTCATTAGATAAAATCTCTAAATTAATCATACGATTATTATTTTTAATTGCATAATTAGGTAGATTATCTAAATTCAACAATTTTTGAATATTTTCATTAACTATTTATCCATTATTGTCAAAAGTGATTTCATTAACTTAAATATCATACTTTTTGATTGTATTTAAGATTGCATATTAATATGCATCAATCTAAATAGTAAAGAGTTTCTTTTTACATAAGGGACATCTCCATTTTCTAGGTTACATAGAATACATGGCTGTAATATAGTTTTCTAATCCAAAACATTAGATATGTTAACATAGAGATCCTCTTATAGGTGTATTCATTAAATTAAATGTAATTGCACATGTTAATTAGACAGTTATACTATCTACTTTAATATCATCTGCTTGATGTTTATTCAAATAAAGAGAGATGAAATCCTAACATTATTCAATATTCATCCAATTTTCACTTTGATTAATTATATTGTCTAATAATTACTTTGCATTAAATTACTCTATTGAATAAACACCTAGAAAATATAAATGACCTAAGGATATTCTATATTGACTTCTTTAATCAGGTGTGGGTATACATTCTTTGATTTATAAACAATTCTATGGTAATACTTCAGTAGTAAGGATATGATCATCTTTTCTTTTTTTAAGACTATGATTATTAATGAGTGGTTTGAAATCTTAGATTTTCTTTTAATTTAAGAATAGTTCTCCTATATCAGGCCAAGTGATTTCTTCACAATTGATTTTATTTTCTTATCTTACACATCTGATATTAATAATAGTTTGATCACAAGGAAAATTAAATGCTTTATGATTAATTTAACCAATTTATTGAAAAGGAGAAGGTGGAACTAAAGAATTTTATATTTTGTTAAAATGATCCATATACTTAAGTACACAAGGTGGACATACAAATTCCATATCTTTGTAACATTTATCAAAAGATTCTTTAGATTTTGAAATACAGTTGAAATGCAAATAATTTAAGCATAAAAGGCATTGTATTAAATTGTCTTATTCAATTGGTGGTTTTCCTTAACATACACAATATTCACATTTGGCTTCCTTTTCAGATGGTCCTGTATTTATTCTTCTATACTTTAATTTAACAGAATTTGGTATGCAAATTTCATCTTCAATAGTTTAAGATGGTTAAGTAGTTTATTATGTATTAAGAGGTTATTATTAGGAACAAGGGATATTAGTTTATTGTGATGGTTATTATAATTGAGGATCTTCTTATTATATTGGATCATCTTGATTATTATTTTTATTAATCTATTCTTCATCATCTTCAATTTACATAGGTTCAGGTTCTGATTATGATTTTCTTTCTTATGCAATAATCTTTTAGATTAAAGTTGTTTAAGTTTAAAAGTAAGCATGAATCTAATCATTGATTTCATCTACAATTTATAAGTATTTGACACAATCACAACGCAATTAACTTAGGGAATACAATTCTAGAAATGTATTTATGGAAGATGGTTGTTTGTAATACTATTATATCTATTGAGTTTATAAGTCAGATAGATGATGTTTAGATGAAGTCTTATTAATGAGATCTAAGATGTGAATGTGTGTACTTATTTCTAATTATTTGAGAAGAGTGCAATTTTTCATTTTAATAAATGTCCATTCTTAAATGATGTGGGTTATGTTTTTGGTTGATTAAAAAAAGAATGAATTAATTGGTTATTTGGGGGCATCTATACTCCCCACTAAAAGATTAGTTAAATCCCACAACCCCCACTAAGTGGAATTAAATTTAGAATCTTTTTTTGCATCTGCAATTTTATTATTTTAAAAAACTTGAGAGAGCGCCTTATCTCATGTTGGATGACATTTATCCGTTGTTTGGTTGGAACGAACCAGTTCCCACAGAGTTTAAAGAGATATTTTCAAAGTGTGTAAAGAAAGAAACAGAAATTGGTCATGATTCCAATTCAAGAAAGTGTAGTAGCACATTAGAAGAATCCTTAAGTATTATATATAACATTCTTAGTTGTTGATGAAGATTATGAAATAATAGGAAAAAGTTAAAATGAAAATTCTATATGTCCAATCTGTTATTAGAATGTGTAACTGGGCAACACACAATTGTACTCAAATCATCTGTCACTTTACTTTGATGTCCATACTTAATGTGCTCTGATGTGCAAACAAAAACCAGCTTCATTGGCTTTACTACATGAACACATCCAATCGGCCAAATTTATTAAGCGTGTTCCTGTAGATTATGATCTACTAGACCTTAATATCAAAGCATTCTTAGAGTTCCGAGTATTCCACACAATTGCTCAAAAACCTTATTTACATCTAACACATTCCACTACACTTAAATAAAAAAAAACCACTTCCATTTTAATAGATTATGCTAATCTTAGAGAATACTTTGGTAAGCGTCCTAAATACTAAATACCATTTCTTTAAGGTCGTATTCAAATTGAACTATACATTATAGATACTAATCTCATGTAAGAGGGTAAAAGTGCTCGTACTTATGAATTCTTTTATAATGCAGAATAAGCAGCTATTGGTGATTACATTTCATTAGAATCAGAAGGAGTATGCATATCAATGTAACTAGAAGAAGAATCAATTTAATTATCTATTAAATCACTACAAATTACACTTCCAACTGAATTAACTACTAGTCTAACAAAATAATCACCTAAATCATCACCTATTATAGATAGTTTCTTATTCTCACCTAAATTAAATAATTTTACTCCTTAAGTAGGTCCAATTCAATCAAGAGTTCGTTTTTAAAGTTTTTAACTTGAAGAAACTATACAAAATTCAATTGATGAATGGACAGAGGATTTATAAAATCTAGAATAGATAAGAGGTAATGTTGTTAATTTTGTGAAAACTTAACATGGTAGTAGATTGATTTAGAAATACTTTACAACTTGTACTTAAATGGAATTAGATTAAATGTTATAAGAAATAGGACCTCATCTTCCAGATTTGATGATTGATCCATATGCAAATTATATGTTTGGTAGTCTTAGTCAAAGTTGTGCTCCACATTAAAGATTATATATTTTATAAACTGTATATATATATATTTATATTATTAGATTGGTAATCGTCTTGTTGATATTGCTTGTGATAAGAAAGGAACTCATGCAATTTAATCATTAGTTTCATTGATTTCTTGTAAATAAGAAGAAGAAATGGTTGAGAATAATATTAAAAATAATATTATTACACTTACTCTTGATAGCTAAGGAACTCATCTTATTAAAAAGATTATTGCACGTTTCTCAGAAGATAGACTTAATTATATATTTAATAAATTAATGGATAGATTTATTTAAGTTGTTAATCATCAATTTGGATTATGTGTATTGAAAGATCTTATAACTAAATTTAAAAATAATTTAGATAAATCAGCCATTATTATTAATAAAATGAAAGATCATTTAGATGAAATTATTTAAGATCCTTTTGGAAATTATGGAGTATAACATGTTATTGATGTAATTAATTAATTTACCTATTTTTTATTAGATATATGGAGATCATAGATGTAGTTCCATCATTGATAAAATACTTCTTAAATTAATTTAATTATCTATACATAAGTATTCATCTAATGTTGTTGAGAAATGTATACTTGAAACAACTCCAAAAACTCAAAAAAGATTTATAAAATAACTATCTTAAGACATTATTTGTTTAGAATTAATGAAAAATAAATTCGGAACTTTTGTACTATAAAAAGCTTTATAAGAAGCTGATAAATTATCAGAAACTGATTCATTGCAATAAGCACTTTATCGCAATCTACCTTCCATTTATGCTTAAAATATTAGACAAAAATGGATTGAATACTTATCTAAGAAGTGATATTATAATTAATTGTATATTAATGAAAATTATCATTCGCTATCATTCTCAATGGGGTAATATGAGTACTAAATCTTGTATTGTCAATCCTAACATCAAAGTTGCTCAACTCAAAAAACAAATTGCATAACTTACAGATATAGATGAAAAAGACTTAACACTTTATCTAAATGATTACACTCTTGAAGATGAAAATCTATTATCTAGTTATAATCCAGATGATTGTCAATTTATTTATGTTAATAGAGACAATTTTTAATTAGATGAAGATATTCTTGAAACTGAAATCTTGGAAATACAAAATCGAGGAATCTATAATCGAATGAAAGGCTATGAAAAATTAGGCATTATTCATGAAGATTCTGAAGAAGTTACGCGTAAAAAGTCTAATTAATAACTTACAGTTGATTTTATTAAGGTAACTTGCATGTGTCCATTAATCAGCTAGTAAAAAATAATGATATATCCGCTATCAAAGACCTGTTACCAATCCAATATCCAATAGACATCATAAATGATAGACAATACTCTGGATTCTCTGCCTTCCATTATGCAAATCAATCTGGTCATTCCGAACTAGTTACATTATTTATTGAATTAGGTGCCAACATCAATCTTTCAACTAAGGATAATCAATCACCATTATAATTAGCACTTAAAAACAATTAAATCTCATGTGCCAAAATTTTACTATTTCAACCTCATTGTGATGTCAATTATGTATCTCAAGGCAAGAGTGCTCTTTAATTAGCAGTCTTAGCAGGCAATTTAGAAATTGTTGAACTCATCCTTAAACATCCAACATTTGATTCCTAATCTATAGATCTAAATGAATTAAAAGGAGATCCATAAGCTATTCAATTAGTTGTTAATTTATAGAAATCAAATCAAACCAATTTAATCACTAAACCAAAAGCTCAAAAAGGATACATTAAAAAGGTTAATGTGCTTAGATTTTTTCATTACAAAAGATACTTAACTCTTGATCCAGAAGCAGGAACCTTAACAAGATACAAAACTGAAACTGATTATCCACTTTAACCTATTGAAGTTGTTGCTCTTTCTAATATAATAAGTGTATGGTAACCTAAAAGAGAATGGTATATGAAAAATGATCATGAATATTTGAGTGTATTAAATCATTATTCATATTAAGGTATCTTATAAGAAGGGAGGAATTGAAATCTTAACATTTTGTTCTAAAAGTAAAAATACAATATTAAGTTGGAGGAGAAGTTTAGAAGATTCAATCAAATATTATACTGAAATAGAAAAAAAAATAGCTTAATTATCTGAATTAAGAGATATATAAGGATTAAGTTTATATATAAATGAGAATAGTGAATAATTTAATATAATTTAAGATTCTTCTTTTTAAAATAATGAATATGTGATTAAATAAAAATAATTAATTTAATAATAAGAAGAAGATAATTAATAAAGATTGGATACTTTATAAAATATATAAGATAATAATTAATAATAATAATAATAATAATAANGGGGTAATATGAGTACTAAATCTTGTATTGTCAATCCTAACATCAAAGTTGCTCAACTCAAAAAACAAATTGCATAACTTACAGATATAGATGAAAAAGACTTAACACTTTATCTAAATGATTACACTCTTGAAGATGAAAATCTATTATCTAGTTATAATCCAGATGATTGTCAATTTATTTATGTTAATAGAGACAATTTTTAATTAGATGAAGATATTCTTGAAACTGAAATCTTGGAAATACAAAATCGAGGAATCTATAATCGAATGAAAGGCTATGAAAAATTAGGCATTATTCATGAAGATTCTGAAGAAGTTACGCGTAAAAAGTCTAATTAATAACTTACAGTTGATTTTATTAAGGTAACTTGCATGTGTCCATTAATCAGCTAGTAAAAAATAATGATATATCCGCTATCAAAGACCTGTTACCAATCCAATATCCAATAGACATCATAAATGATAGACAATACTCTGGATTCTCTGCCTTCCATTATGCAAATCAATCTGGTCATTCCGAACTAGTTACATTATTTATTGAATTAGGTGCCAACATCAATCTTTCAACTAAGGATAATCAATCACCATTATAATTAGCACTTAAAAACAATTAAATCTCATGTGCCAAAATTTTACTATTTCAACCTCATTGTGATGTCAATTATGTATCTCAAGGCAAGAGTGCTCTTTAATTAGCAGTCTTAGCAGGCAATTTAGAAATTGTTGAACTCATCCTTAAACATCCAACATTTGATTCCTAATCTATAGATCTAAATGAATTAAAAGGAGATCCATAAGCTATTCAATTAGTTGTTAATTTATAGAAATCAAATCAAACCAATTTAATCACTAAACCAAAAGCTCAAAAAGGATACATTAAAAAGGTTAATGTGCTTAGATTTTTTCATTACAAAAGATACTTAACTCTTGATCCAGAAGCAGGAACCTTAACAAGATACAAAACTGAAACTGATTATCCACTTTAACCTATTGAAGTTGTTGCTCTTTCTAATATAATAAGTGTATGGTAACCTAAAAGAGAATGGTATATGAAAAATGATCATGAATATTTGAGTGTATTAAATCATTATTCATATTAAGGTATCTTATAAGAAGGGAGGAATTGAAATCTTAACATTTTGTTCTAAAAGTAAAAATACAATATTAAGTTGGAGGAGAAGTTTAGAAGATTCAATCAAATATTATACTGAAATAGAAAAAAAAATAGCTTAATTATCTGAATTAAGAGATATATAAGGATTAAGTTTATATATAAATGAGAATAGTGAATAATTTAATATAATTTAAGATTCTTCTTTTTAAAATAATGAATATGTGATTAAATAAAAATAATTAATTTAATAATAAGAAGAAGATAATTAATAAAGATTGGATACTTTATAAAATATATAAGATAATAATTAATAATAATAATAATAATAATAATAATAATAATAATAATAATAATAATAATAATAATAATAATAATAATAATAATAATAATAATAATAATAATAATAATAATAATAATAATAATAATAATAATAATAATAATAATAATAATAATAATAATAATAATAATAATAATAATAATAATAATAATAATAATAATAATAATAATAATAATAATAATAATAATAATAATAATAATAATAATAATAATAATAATAATAATAATAATAATAATAATAATAATAATAATAATAATAATAATAATAATAATAATAATAATAATAATAATAATAATAATAATAATAATAATAATAATAATAATAATAATAATAATAATAATAATAATAATAATAATAATAATAATAATAATAATAATAATAATAATAATAATAATAATAATAATAATAATAATAATAATAATAATAATAATAATAATAATAATAATAATAATAATAATAATAATAATAATAATAATAATAATAATAATAATAATAATAATAATAATAATAATAATAATAATAATAATAATAATAATAATAATAATAATAATAATAATAATAATAATAATAATAATAATAATAATAATAATAATAATAATAATAATAATAATAATAATAATAATAATAATAATAATAATAATAATAATAATAATAATAATAATAATAATAATAATAATAATAATAATAATAATAATAATAATAATAATAATAATAATAATAATAATAATAATAATAATAATAATAATAATAATAATAATAATAATAATAATAATAATAATAATAATAATAATAATAATAATAATAATAATAATAATAATAATAATAATAATAATAATAATAATAATAATAATAATAATAATAATAATAATAATAATAAATAGATATATCTATTAATTTATCTCCTGTAGAAATACCTTAATCTATAAAATTATGCTTCTAATATCTTAATTAATATTCTGTTATTAAATAAATTGGTTAAGGAGCCTTTGGAAAAGTTTTTCTTGTTAAACATAATCCTACTTAAAATATTTATGCCATGAAATAATTAAGCAAAAAAAGATTGATGCAAAAAAAATAAATAAAATTTGCTATTACTGAATGCAATATTTTAAAATAAGTTAATTCACCATAAATTGTCAATCTTTTTTAATCATTTTAAACAGTTAATAATCTCTATTTAGTTATGGATTATTGTGGTGGTGGAGATCTCTCTTATCATCTTTGTAAATACAAGACTTTTGATGAAAATACATGTAAAATTATTACTCGTTAAATTATGAAAGCCATAGAATATTTACATAGCAAAGATATTATATATAGAGATCTCAAACCAGAAAATATTATTCTAGACAATGAAGGAAGAATCAAACTAGTAGATTTTGGTCTTTCAAAATAAACAGAAGATGGTAAAACACGTACTTTTTGTGGTTCTCCTGCTTATTTAGCTCCTGAAGTCTTAGCAAAAAAAGGAGCTGTACAAGCCACAGATGTTTATGGAATTGGAACAGTGTTATATGAATTACTATTAGGAGATCCACCATATTTTAATGAAGATATAGACACTTTATACAATAGCATTCGCAATGACAATCTTCATATTCCTAATAAATTAAGTAAACCTTGTTAATCTATTCTATTTGGATTGTTGTAAAAAGAAGCCAATAAAAGAATTGGTTGCAAATAGCCATCCTAAGTAAATTGGAATTTGATAAAATTACATGAATGGTTGGAATGGGATAATCCTGAAGAAAAAGTTACTTTTGGACTTAGCTAAGAAAATTTAGATAGTATAATTCGGAAATATACTCATGTATAATGTGTTATTAATATATTAGAATCTTGGAGATACAGATTACAATGAAGAAAATTCAGGTATAAATAGAATAAATGGTTGGACTTTCGTAAGAAAGAGTTGATAAATTTAATTAATTTAAATTTAATTAATTGTTCTATCATAAAAATAATTAGTATTTTTAAGTTAACAATTAATATATATATACATAAAGAGTATAAATTTTATTAATTTATGATTCAGTAAAAATATATTATAATGAAAATTATATATAAATCACTAAACTCTAGAAATTGGCCTACTAATTGTATATTATCCAGGCCCAGGAGATTATGAGATTCTCAAACTACCAATTCTTGATCTTGTGAATGAAATTCCCCTTTTCCGTAATGTAGAACCCAATTCATAAGTACCTGGTCCTGGATTGCATTATTAAACAGACTTAGGTCTTGAATTCATATAATCCAAAAATTCCTTGTTCACTTTATAAGCTTTTTCAGGTTGACTTTTAATAACTTTTGCTTCTGATATATTATAATTTCCAGGTCCTGGAGTTTGTTAGTTCCCATGAAAGATAATTCGTTAACCTTTAGGGAAAGTAGGGCCACGAGATTTTTATAATTAACTTGATTCATTAATGATTAAGTTTTCATGGAAGAACTGCTATTTAGGAAAACGACCAGCCTTTCCAAATGTTGAATGTAAATTTTTTCGTTTAGACTCTTTCATTTAATTTATTAAAATGCTACTATATACCTTTATAGATTGGGTTTTTACTATAGGATCTGCTATAATAGCAATACTCTTAGGATTATATGTCAGTGGAGCAGCTTGTCTTTTAGGATTGCTCTTATATTTACTCTACCCTTTCATTATTGAATTCTCTTATAATATTTTAAGTGTTAAATAGGACATCTGCATAAGAAATATGCCTGAGATACCAATTGTCTATCATGAAAATTACAATATTACTGCATGCGGTATTGAAAAATGGCATCCATTTGATTCATGCAAATATGGGAATGTTTATAAATAAATAAGGGAAAAAATAAAAGCTTAGCATTTTACTCCATCAATATTATCAAGAGGAACTTTTCTATATCTAGGCATGAGCAGATGGTATTTGCTCAAAATCTGTTATAGTGCATATGCCTCAACATTAATTGAATTACCTGTATTCTTTTTGCCTGGAGCTTTCTTGAGATCTTGTCTTTTAGATTCAATGCTTCTTGCTACTAGTGGTAGTATTTATGCTGCCAAACTAGCTCTTGAAAAGGGTTGGGCAATCAATCTTAGTGGAGGATATCATCATGCCTCTCTAAATAGTGGTGGTGGGTATATATATATATATTATTATATTCAATTAGATTCTGCATATATCCTGATATAACTTTGGTAGTCAACTACCTTAAGAGATGTTGCAATTTAAGGAGAATATTAATAGTAGATTTAGATGCTCATTAAGGAAATGGTTATGAAAGGGATTTCCTTCATGATTCTTCAGTTTATATTATAGATTTTTATAATTCTTATATATATCCTGGGGATCATGAAGCTGAATAAGCAATAGATTGTTTTGAACATGTTGATAGAGATACAACAGATGAATAATATATAAAAATACTTTAAAGAGATCTTGAGAAACATATCAAAGATGATATGGAATTTATTATTTATAATGCTGGTACTGATATTATGGCAGGAGATCCCCTTGGAAATTGTTGTATATCAGCAGCTGGAATATAAAGAAGAGATGAAGTAGTATTTAAATGGGCTAGCCATAAAAAAATTCCAATTCTTATGTTATTATCAGGTGGTTATTAAAAAGAAAATACATTTGCAATTGGAGAATCGATTTTGTAATTAATTACTACTTGATGAAAAATAATTATAAATAGATCAAATTATGTATTATATATTTTATTATGGTAATACCAATCTGATATCATGTCCCTCAGTCTTTTTTGATATACAATTTAAGAATATCTTACCAACTTCATTTCCACCATCACTAACATTCAGAGTCAAAGTGTCTAATCTTATTGCTTTTTAACGAAAAGATTGAAATATTAGTATTTCCCTTTAACTCACATTCAAATGGGCATAACCATTACAAGATAAAGTCAGTTTCTATAAACTATTACAAATGGACTCATGTCTATAAATAAAATCTAAATAATACTCTAAAATTTGATCTATCAGAAACATAATATTTTAAACATTGATTTTCAAACATAATACTTAAATATTTGGTACCAGATATAGAAAATCAGAGACTACTTTAATTGAAAAACTTTGTGCAGTAAATTTAACAGATGCAGATTACATATTCAATAGACAAATATTTCTAAATATTTTATAAATTTGAAATACCTTTCTTTTGCTTATTTGAATACATCATTAGTCAATCCTTAATTATTCATTAACTCACCAATATTTAAATGTCTTAAATTACCACTATTTTTATTAAGTAGATCTACTAATACTGAATTATTTATCTTATTATCCTAATTATTTAATATTAATAAAATTACTGATATACATAATTATTAAAGTATATTATTCTTTGTTAATAATCTAAATGCCTTTTTACTAAATCCTAATACTCCTCTTATATCCACCTAAGTTAAATACTTCTATTTTTCTAAAAATGGCAATAAAGATCCATTAGTCAATTTTCTACATCCACGTATTTTTAATTATGTATAGTTTGTTAAATAACCTATATTTATAATTAATTAATTAAACCTAATATATTTAGACATTCATCATCAATAGAAGTAAAGTCTAAATTCAACATTATTAAATTTGGAAGTAAAGAAAATAATGATGCAAAATGTGATTGATGATATTTTAAACTAGCTAAACCAAGAGATCTTAAATTAAGTTATGCTAATTCATCTAATTCAAAATTAGATATTTCAAATGATATATTATAACTATTAAAGAAATATTTAATTTTGTTTACATATTAAGTGAAAGCACTCTTAAATTATTAAAATGTTTTAGAAATGCTGTCATCTTATCTCCTTCAATTATTGTATGTAAATTTAAATGTTAACATAATTTTATTGATTCTACTTGATCTCCTATTAAAATTGTTAGTTTTTATAAGTGAATCAATAAATTCATTTATTATGCTTAATCAAATTATTTCAAAGTGATTTTTTTTATTGTTGTATTTATTTAGAAATTACTTTATTATAAATAACCTCTCTCCATTTGATTTGTATCAGCTAATTAATCAAATGATATTTTTTCAATTGTTGGTTATCTTTGAAATTATTCATCTTTATAAAATAATGCAAAAAATAGATAATTTTAGATTGATTCATTTGTAATCTTACTCAAATTTGTTGTATCAAGTTGAAATGTTTTAAGATTTCTCATTTTCTCATAAAAATGATTATGTAAAAACTTTGAATCTATACTAATATAATTTTATAATTAAATTTACTTCTACTTTGTTTAAATGATATTTGGTCCTGTAGCAATCAATTTCAAAGTAATTAATTACTAAGAATATTTTGAAATATAAGAATAAAACCTTTCTTATATAATTAGGTCATAATTTAACTAGATCTTCAATTTTTTCACTGATTATGGGATTTATCTTAAAATTTGCTTTAATTCTTATAGACTTGTTGTAGAAATGATTAAATGCAATTTATCTAACTTTAACCACTTATTCAATCCCAAACTTTTATTTGAATCAAATATAGATATGCTAATTTAATTTTTAGTCCTTAGAATAATACTTGGAATATATGTAGCAAAAAACTAATCTATCCATTATATTCGTTTTAATTCTTAATATGTTAAACAACTCAAAATCATATCTAATATATGAAAAGGAATCTCCAATAACATTAACTAACTAAATACAATAATTATTTATTAAATTTTATCACTTTATACTATATTGTAACAACTACAGAATCTCTTAAAACTATCGTAATATTATGATAAATCATAAATTACAAATCATAATTTTTATTATAATAAAGTTTTCATTTAATAGATAATACTTATATTACTAGAATAATATATTATATATTTTCTAATCAATTTTAAGATAAGTTTTTTTCATTATCAAGATCATGGTATCTTCTTCATAGCATATTTTGGTAAAGATCCAAATTCATTTCCTTAATCATAACCACCTGGTCCAGGAGTCTCATTCTTAGGATTCAATGGTGGTCGTTTACTAGTACCAAAACCCCAACAAGGCCCTCCTAATTTATCTTTAGGTTTGTATTGTCCAGGTCCTGGAACTTCTAAAGTAGAATTAAGTTCCTATCTTCTAGATGTTCCTATTCTTATAATTATATTTCTGAAAAATTATACTTTGCTGATTATGGTCTTTACATAATTGGACGTTCATATTAACCTGGTCCTGGTATCTAATCCTTTTAAGCTTAGACAGGATCATATTTATGACCTAAAATTTTAACTTATGGACCTTCAACCATTTTGGAAGGTAAATCATAAGTACCAGGTCCTGGTACTCCTTTCACGTCGTTCAGCGGTCTTCTAGTAGCTGATCCTACTCTGACCATAGCTGATTAAGGACGAATAGTATCAAGTTGTGGTTCATATTCTCCTGGTCCTGGATTTGGATTAGCAAATTATAATCCTCTCATTGACTTGCCAATTTTACAGGAAGGAGGTCTTTTAATTTGTTATGGATCATAAGCTCCAGGTCCAGGAACAACAAGTTATTGTGTAATTTGTTCCTTCCTAGAGACCAAAGTAAAGCCCTTAGTTTACACAGATTCAAATTATGATTAATAATTGTATTGTCCAGCTAATTATTTAATGAATTGATATACGTCCTGGAACTTTTCCAAGTTCATTGTCATATAATCCTCTTCTTTATGAATTACCAAAACGATATTTAGGGGCTGATTCAGGTCTATCCTATTTGTAGGCTTGTATATAATAAAAAAAGTAATGATACCTCCTGGTCCAGGAACTTTTTCAGAATGTGGATCATCTCTCTTTGATCGAGGAAACCTATTATATAATAGATAGAATTACTTCATGGTTGGAGCATCTAATTATTTACTTAATTAATATTCTCCTGGTCCAGGTTATTAATCATCAGGATGTGTTCCATATTTACCACCAAAACTATATAAAGGTGCTTGTTTGGTCGGTTTTACATTATAGGCTCCTGGTCCAGGTTAAAAGGATGTAACAGATTATTGTTTTTTGCCAGCAAAAGAAAACTTTGGTCCTTTGAGTAGGTTCTAAGTTATATAGAAGTCATACATCAGAAGAAGCATATGCTCCTGGTCCTGGAGTGAAACTTGATTAAAAAGTTTATCTTTGTGCTTGTGGAATCCTAATATAAATGAAGAATTGAGACTTGTAACTGGGGGGAGTGTATTTTTGTTTTTTGTCTCCAGAGTATTATCCAGGTCCTGGAGTATCAGGTCCTTATTGAGCTTCATTGGATCTTTTACCATTTCCAACTGAATATGCTGAAACCATTATATATATATAATTAAATATAATTCAAATATGCTAAAATTATTGTATTGCAGTGATTCTGAGTGATGAAATATATTACAGATAGTAATACTGAAGATGTTTAATGGTTTGTTTGTCAACTTCGTATTTGGATGGTACTTTGAAATGACTCAATTATTCAAAATTGTATTTGATTCTAGGATGAATATATAATAAAAGATATATATACCTTTATTGAAAGATCATTTATTCTTAATAATCTTTCAAAGTTCTTTTGCCTTGTGATGCTTCTCTGATAGCATAATCTAAAATACTCCATTTAACTAAGTCATTCATTTGATCCAATAGAGTACGTAAATAGGTTGGAAAATTGTTAAGTGGATTACCATTTCTATATTTAAATTTTCTAGCCATTTCATTAACTTATTGAAATTATACATTATAGATTTCAACAACTAAATCTCCCAATTCTACAAGTTCATATTCTTATTATTCAATAGAAAACTTTTTGTTATCATTAGTAACTTCTTCATAGAGATTCTATTGAATATATTGAGCATAAACAGAATTATTTGTATAATCTGAATAAGATTGTGGATCAAAATGATCAGCACGTTAATAAATTAAACAATATGCATTAGTTTTTGATTTACCATCTCCATAAGAATCACGTAATACTTTTTCTTCACTTACTTAAGTTACATTGATATCATTAAATTTAAACCATAATTTTAATGATGGATTATAGATATAAGTATAATAATGACCAGATTCTGCTGCACCTTCATGGATTAAAATACTTTAAAGAAAATACTTATATTTTTTCATTATAGCATATAAATCTTCAATCTTCTAATTAATTTAATCCAATTATAATTGAAATTTCTATAAAATTAATTGTATACTTAATCTACATTATTCAATTCTTTATTGCATTATTTCATCATCTGGTTTAACATCTTTTACATATTTAGTAGCTGTATTTAAAATAGTTAACATTGAAATTCCTCCATAATTTTAATATTTATCCATTTGTAATAATAATTCTGCTTATTATATTTTAAGTTCATTTAATTATTATTATGTTTCAATAACCTTCTATCTATTTTCTAAAAGAAACCTATCAGCATAAATCTCTTTTTCAAATCTAAATTCATCATTTAATTTTATTAATCCTCTCTCTGGATCATATCCTACTCTTTAAATTTAGAATAACAAAGAATCAGGTACTTAAGTAATCCAAATAGTTTTTTCAGCTAATTCAATTACTTCACTTCCATTACGATATCCTTCTATTGAAAATGAATTATTTGCTTCCCAAGCTTAATATAAACTCTTATTTTTAACATTTAATATAATCTATAAAAATATTTATTCTTGTTCTTCACTTTAATTTCTTTAATTTGGATGTGTAATATATTCTTTAGTTTTTCCAAAGAATAATCTATTAATTATAGTTTAATTTTAAGGTTATGATTGTAATGGTTATTATTCTATTAATTTAGTTTTATTTTCATCCAATAATATCATAGATCTAGTTTAAAGAATTCCTGATTTATTTTGATATTATTCTGATTCATGTTATTCACCATTTTCATTATACATTTCAGCATCCATTATTTTATTCTCATGATATTTTAATCCTTCATCAATACATGTTATAAATTATAAATTGAACTCCGCCCAATCTTTTTAATCACCCAATTAAAATCTATTACCAAATTCATCAACTACATTTAAGAATACTCTATATGGATCTACATACTTTCTATCTGTATGAACTAAGTAAGCAAATAGTCTAAAATAATTATTATTGAAACCTCTATAAATGTACAACTAAATCAATTGATGACTTTATTCTCTTTGCTTTTGCTTCATTCTTATTTAATAGATCCTCAAAATTCAATTAAACTGGATATTTAAAACTCAATATCTCTTTCACAAAAATTGGATTATGAAAATATGTCTATATCAGAGAATTCAAATAACAAACTAACATAAATATCACAAAAACCATTAGCTAAATTTTTCAATCCTACAGGTGTTCCCTTTTATCGCAATCTCTAATCAGGAGTCAAAACATCAAATGACAATTCTCTCAAAATTTAGGATTGGGATTGTTATTATTCTTTTATTGGAGACTAAACATTTTTTAGAAGCACATCTAATATCTCTAAGTTTCTATATTATTTGCATATTTATTAAGCTTTGACAATCTATTATTAAGTGAATCCCATATTCAAGAATTATTGAAGCATTTTAATAATATATATTAAATTATTACAAACAAAAGTTAAACATAATAAAAACAATAATAATATCATCTTACATTTGAATTTTATCATTAAAAAAAGAAAGTTATTATATTCAATAATAATCTTAAATTATCTTATATAACATCAAACATCCAAAATTTGATTTGTTAAAATTTTATGTGTTACCCATTTTTCATCTAACAAGTCTGATTGAACAAAATATTCTTTTACTTATTGAAAACTAAATGCATATTAATTTCCTTCCTCTTTTAACAAATCATAATTGATAAATATTTCATTATAATAGAAATCAATTTCCTTTAAAAATTTCAAAAGTAATAATGCATTTTAACGCTAATTCAAAACACTTAAAGAAGATATTACTCTTTGCAAACCTTACACATTCTTAATATTCTGAAATTTTTAAAGTTGCAATATATTTTGAATTTTTATTTTATTTTCAAACAATTATAGTCCTGAATAACACAGATACATTTAAAAGTTTTCAACTAATTATTTAGCCACCTATAACTGATTGATTAAGGATTACTTATTCATCATTTATCATTTCATTTCTTTCTTATGGAGTTAATCTTACACTATTGTAATGAAATTGACTCTTATAAAAATTGGGAAACATTTCTGAGAGAAATTTTTGGTTACAATCCATATCATCATAAAATATTGCAATTTCTTCAGTATTTTAACGATAAGTTCTCCAATTCAAAATATGATATGTAATATTTTCTTCCATATCATCAAAATTTCCTCTTAAAAACCATTTATTTGGAAATTTTTGAATCATTAAACTTTGATGTAATTGAAATATTTCTTAGTCTTTAAGTAGATTGTTTAATTCAGATTTATTGATACTATAATCAAGTTTTGTTTATAACTTCTAAAATTAATCTAAATCAAAGAATTTATGTAATTTCTCATTTATTTTTTGATAATAAGATTAATTGAAATTAAGAATACTTTCAACTAGTCTGATATGCTCTTTTAATTGATATTCTTCTTGACTCAAATGTAATGATTTCACTTCTATATCAAAATTGAATGCCTTTTCCTGCACATAGAAAGACTCTAATTATTATCTCCATAATTTTATATCTTATTTTGATGAATCAATCTATTACATAATAAAAGTTTTGTAATTATCAATTTCGTATGCTAATTGTTCGATTTATTATACTTATTTCTGAATTAACATTTTCCCTAATTCAAGTGATTATTGCTTTTGTTATAACATCTTACCCTTTGCTTTATCAAATGGTTTTGCATTTTAAGGTAAAGTCTACATAGTCAAACATTATTGGCATAAGAAAATAGTTTTTACATCTTTAGTAACATCTTAAACATAAAATTGAACAGGAAATTTGTGATTAAATTAACAGGGAATTTAATCAAGATCCTTTTGAAGTATTATAGAAAACATTATTTAAAGAATTATCCAAAAATTTATAATAATTATTGAATTTATAGAATATTAATGCTCTAGGGTACTCACAAATAATTAACTAAGCATACATTAAAATGATAATTAATAAAACTTAACCTAAAATTACTAACTCTATTTTTATTCAACTATAAATCACTCTTGATTTTATTAATAATAAATAAAATTATTATTTTGTTTTGATTCTCTTAATAATGATAATCTTAGAAAGTGAAAACAAGTATAAATATAATGAAATATGATTTATACGAATAATAGAATCTATGTTAATCTAATATTATACATAATTATAAAATTGATGAATATAAATTTACATATTATATTATCTTAATTTACTCAAAATTATATTAATCTTATTAAACAAAAATATTTGTTACCACTTTAGTAATAGGATTTGTAAATCTAATTAATAAAAAAGATCAAAGTAAATTTTATTAATTATGTTTTTGATTTATATTTAGGAACTATTTATATCTTAATTACATAATTAAAATAACTTAAATATTAATAAAAGAGTATTCCTAAATTATCACTTTAATAATTTATCATAAAATATGTTGCTAATTTTTATACTTTAAATTGTTTATTTAATAACTATTATTTTCAATATTTACTTATCCATTTATTTATCAAAATAGTAATAAGAGATTATCATCTTAGATATAGCTTGCAGGTAGTACGAAAAAGCTTAGGTAAGTTTTATTTTAGATAATCGATCTTAAAAATAACCGATCATTTATATCTGGAAGTAATTAAATTAACTGAATATAAATATAAGAAAATTTGTTTTGGCTTATTCCAGCATTTAACATTTTATGTATTAATTTAATGATTTTCTTAGTAATTACTTTTATTTAAGAACAATTCACAATTATTTTAGTATTTGAATTAAAATTTGAAAACGAGTTTACGGTAGAATTAATTGAAACTAAAAGTTAAAATAAATGTAAGTTTCATAAACAACATTTGTTTTTGTGAATATAAATTATATTTAAAATTAATTTATAATTAAATTCATTATTATTACATTAGATATTATGTAAATCCTTTAAACTATCGAAGGTAAAGTATTTAATATAGATAATTAAATTTCTATCTAAATTTCTATCTCAAATGACATGCAAAATTTAATATATTAAACAATAGAATATTTTTTGAACTTTGTAAAAATTAAATATAAAAATTAATTAAAATAAAATATTCTATTGATTGAATTCATAAGGTCAAACTTGAATTAATACAGTTTATTATTAAACATAAATATGAAAACCTTTGTTGTTTTTGTTCTCTTTCTAATTGGATATTCATAATAGAGTAGATAAGAATGTTCATGCAATTAATTGTTATCACAAGTTGATTGTTTTATGAGTTAATTAAAATGTAATTGGAATTCTTTTAAGAAGTAATGTGAATATAAAACATCAAATACTTAATCACAAGAATAATTTGAAAAATATTGTGATCAATTTTTAAATGATACTTGTAATAAACTTAAACCTTGTGAAACTTGTGTTTCTAATGGACCTTGTTAATGGTATTAATCAAAATGCTCTCATTTCACTGGATGTACAGCATTTAATGAAAAAGATAACCTTAGATGTTAAAAAATATCTGAAAGATGTATAACCAATGGAATTCATTGTATAGAAATAGGAATTTGTGATTCTTATTAAACAGAAATAGCTTGTCAATAAGATATGAAATAGAAATGGTGTTTTTGGGACAAGATTACTAATAAATGTAGATATCCTTAAAAATGTTAAGAATTACCAAATACATTCACTTAAGATTATTAATGCAAATCTTAGATATTCAATTGTAAATCCACTTCCTTAGGAGGTTGTTAAGATGTAACTATATTATATGCATAACCTGTTAAATCATATGATCCAAATACACCATAAATTCATTGTTAAGACTTCAAAAAAGATTCTGAATGTATTATAAATAAAGAAGGAAATTCATGTTTTTGGATAAATAATTAATGTTTAGATAAAGTTTGTTCTAATGCACCAAATTTATTCACAACAAATTAAGACTGTTAATCATTTTTAAGTTATTGTATCACAAAAAATGGGGGAGGATGTATGAACAATGGAACTTGTTAGGTTGCCAATGTATAATAAGCATGTGTTAAAGATATATAAGGTATTGATTGCTTTTGGACTGCTAATGGTGAATGCGTTAATAAAACTTGTGATCATGCTCCCATTACTATAACATCAAATTATGATTGTGATTCATTCCTAAAAGGTTTTTGTGTTGTTAAAGAGGGTGGTGGTTGTAAAAATAAAGAATGTGAAGATCTTACTGGAAGTACACATAAAAGCTGCAATACATAAAGTAAATATTGTACAGTGGGACTCAATTCAAAATGTGTAAAAATAAAGAACTGTGAAGATACAATGTTAGAAGATGCTTGCATTGAAGGTTTAAATGGTCCATGTTTATGGATTGTTAATAAATTCTCTAATGATTAATCTTAGGGAAAATGTTATAGTTACAATTCTTGTTAGAGTATCTAATGGAATACAGATAAATAATGTAAGTAGATTTCAAATTAGTGTACCACTGATGGTATCAAATGTATTCCTATAACATCATGCTCAGAAACAAATACGAATGGGGGTTGTGTTACTGGAAATGACGGATTGTGCATATAAACTATCACTGCACTTTATGAAACCAAACCCGTTTGCATGACTTTTGAATCTTGTTCTTCAGCATATTATTTAAGACATGAAGAATGTTAATAAGCAAATTAAAAGTGTACATCTAATGGATTAACAGGGTGTATACCATTGGCTGACTGTACTGCATATAAATCTTACGAGTCATGCAATGTGAATAATAATTATAATCCTTGTGTTTGGAATTCAGTTTAATAAATGTGCAGGGATTCAATTTGCTCAGATTTTAATTATCAAACGCATTAGTAATGTTATTAAATTGTTACAAATTTAAAGTTAAAATGTACTTCTGATGGTGTTTCATGTTTAGCTATATCAAGTTGTGTCACTTATTAATCCTAATAGGTTTGTAATAATGCAAAAGCCACAGAAGGTAGTTGTATTTGGAAGGAATAAGACAAATCATGTTAAGTAAAATAATGCTCAGATATTTCAGCCCCAAGTCCTACTAATTGTAGTTTAGAATTAGGTAGTTGTACATTTGATGGTTTTAAATGTATTTAATGGCAATTATGTTCTGATTATTAGACAAAAAATGCTTGTAATACAATAGGTTTGGATGGTATCTGTTATTGGTCTTTAAGTGGAAAATGTTAATTAATGACATCTTGTTCATCTGCTAATGAGGATGAATAAGCTTGCCGATAAGCAAATTAAAAATGTTATTTTAATTCAGAAAGTAAATGTTTAGAACACACTTGCAATACATATTAAATAATGAAGGGAACTTGTACTAATTTTTAATCATGGGATGGAAAATCCTAATATTTTTGTAAAGAAATTGATGGGAATTGTACCCTTATAGATCCAAATATTTTTAATTAATCAGAATGTTATAAACTTTCAAATTATACATATACTTGGAATGAAAAAAATTCAAAATGTTCAGTTTGTAATACCTAAACTAAGTCATCTAATAATACTAATATGACAAGCAATAACTAAAGTAGTAATAACAATAATAATAACAATAACAATAACAATAATAACAATAATAATAATAATAATAACAATAATAATAATAACAATAATAACAATAATAACAATAATAATAATAATTCATAGACGAATGATACAACAAGTAATTAATAATATACCAGCTCTTCCTATTTTATAACATACTTTATGTTATTTATTCTAATAATTTGAAATTTTTATTATTCATTTTCTATTTATAAAATCAGAATATATTAAATTTTCACAATTTATAATATTCAAATTAACATACTCAATTTAACCTCTTCTAAACATTTAAGCGTGTCTTGATTATTTGTATCGATGACCAATGATTAAATAAACTCAAATGTTATTTTTTTACACTATTCTCTAATTTATTTAGCAGGAGATTTCATTAAATTTCCTATTGCAGTAACTAATTTAGCTATTGTTTCTACATCTCTTTATTTATATTAAAGAAAAGTGATAATAGCCTCTGATAACAACTCACTAGCTTAGTCATTCAATCCATTTCGCTAATAAATACCAATTGATAAATTTAGAATAAGATTACTAAGTAATAGAACAGTCTATATGATATAAAATGTTTTACTTTTTCATCTGTATCTAGGAGACTCAAAATGATATCTTTAACTATTCTTAAATGATATAGGATTGCACAAGAGTTTGTATTATGTTTTAAGCAATTACATAATGTTTACAAGGCTAATCTTACAAGAACAGCATTTATAGGTTGAGTATTGACTATAGTGAAAATATTCAAAAATAAATTCATTCCTTTTTCTAGACCAGCAAATAATTATTCACTACTATGGTGAAGACAAAATAATCTAAAGAAATCATAAACTGGCAATAAATATTGGGCATCCCATTTTAACAATTTCTAAATAAAGATAATGCTAACAGAATTTTCAATATTAACAGTTTTTTAAACTTACACTTGTCCTAAACTTTCAATTCCTTTATTAAAAATTAAAGTTTCCTTCTCTGTTAATTTAAGTTCTTCTGACATTTGGGCATTGAATTCAAATAATTTCTTACTCAAACCTTGTAAATTCATATTTTCATAATAAGTGCATTATGTATAAGGAATATATTAAAAGTCTATCTACTATTTAGCCTATTATTATTGTAATATTTATTATTAAGCATATTATTCTTTCATAGTTTCTAACTCTGATTTCTTTTATCTTTAAGATTACCCAAAAGATGTATTCTTTTTTAAGAAATTTACAATTTATTAAAGGTAATGTTTAGAGTAACCCTCTCTTAAACAAAATTTCTCAGCAGAATCATAAAAGCTTTCCCCTTCATTATATGGTAAGAGCTTTGTAATTCCATGATCATCTTCAACATCAAAGACATGATCATACTCTCCAGCTTCAAAGTATTTATCTCCAGGAAAGAACTTCTTTGAGTTTGCCCCTTTACCACCAATCACATCTCCAATCAATTACCAATTACTTGAAGCAGCACTCCACATATATGCTTCAGGTTTATTTCCATTTCTAAATAATCTTATTTCCCCTTCTTTCTTTCCTATCATAGTATTCAATTTATCAATTCCTGGTAATTTCTATACTTCTTCTTCAGACATTCCTCCTTCTTATTTAGCATTCGATAAAGAGGCTTCCTATTCTAACCCTTCTATTTCAGCCTAGGTAGCAAATCTATTTTTATCAGTGGTAAATACTCTGACCTTTCCATCACTTGTTCCAATTATTATATCATTAAAATTATTTATAGCTACAGTCCACACTGTATCTGGTAATTAAATGGTTTATTATGGAGTGCCATCTAAATTCCAGATTATTACTAATCTATCATCACCTCCACTAATCACTTGATCCATGTGAATTTTCATAGTAAATACAAAACTCTTGTGTCCTAAAAAGGTTTGAATCAATTCTAAATCTTTTGACCAGAGTTTAATGGTTTCATCATTAGAGCAAGTTATATAGCCTCCCAAGGGTGATAGTAATATTTCTCTAATGATATCCTTATGAGCCTATACACTCTTAATTTTAGTTTCCTTTGACCAAGAATGTAAAATACCATCTTAGGATCCAGTAATAAAATTTAAATTTTCATCTCCATATACTGCCACACCATATTTATGTCCATTCAATCTATAGATTTATTTCATTTAACTAATATCCCATATAATAGCAGTAGCATCCCATGATCCTGAGATTAATAACTACAGTTTATGATGATTGAATGTACATTTTCTGAAATGCTTTTTAAAGAACATACTTATTAATCATGTCCTTCTAAAATACCTAATGGATTTCCTTCATTGTCTAATAAATAGATTTGGTTATCATGTCCAACTGCATATCCTCCATTTACCCTTGCACAAGTGGCATATATGTATTTCTCAAAGAATGATATCAAAGTCACTTATTGGTACTAATTATCTTTCATTTCATACAACTTAGCAGTTTTATCACTTGAGCCTATGATTAGGATAATTTAATATGTCATTACATGTTAATAATTCATTTCCTTAAGTTGAGATTGATCTCACAATACCATTGTGTGCAGCGATTGTTTGACTTAATTTATATTGTAATGCTTCCATTATTAATTAATGATTTTATATTTATTATTTTAACTAATTAGTGCCTATGTAAAGATAGATTTACTAAAGTCTACACCTAATCATTATAATAAACATTTAAGAAATGATCTATTGATCAACAATTTCAAGAATATGCAATATACTGGAATAATTAAAATAGGGGAATAGGATCTTGAATTGCTATTTGATACAGGTTCTTCTATTTTTTGGGTAAATTATAAATACTATTAAGGTATTTTCAAATACATGTCCCTCATAATCAAAGAGAGCTTCGTTTGATTGTCAATCAAGTCCTAATTGTTTAATGACATAAGAATAATATAATGTTTAATATGGTTAAGGGGAAATAGGAGGTAACAAAGCATTTGATTAGTTACAGATATCTAACAATATGACAATTACAAATTTTCAATTCTTAATAGTGAATTCATAATCTAATATAGATAATTTGAGAGCTGATGGAATTTGTGGATTGGGTTTACAAGAATAATTTGGATTCAATTCATTAATCAATATGCTTTATGATTAAAATTTAATTAAAAAGAGAGTATTTACATTCTTCTTGAATTCAATACCAGAATAAATAAATAATTCATCTGTTTTATTCTTGGGTGGTTATGATACTCGTTACATGAGTTCAGATGTATAATATGTTAAATTAGATAAAAGTGATTAATGGTCAGTAAAATTAAATAATATATAAATGAATAAAAAAGTTCTAATTAATGATGTATCAGCATTAATAGATACTGGTACTTCTTTGATAGTAGTACCAACTCATTAATTTACTTAATTATTATCAAATTTAAGAGATCAATACAAATAATTTTGTTAATATTCTTAATATTAAATAAAATGTTCATGTCCTGATGGTGATTTTTCACATTTTCCTGATTTTGAATTTAATTTAGAGGGTGATTTGAAATTAATATTAAATCCTAATGATTACATTTATATGGATGTATCAGTTTGTGTATTAGCATTTACAAAGAGTTCTAATAATTATTGGATTTTAGGTGATACATTCATAAGAAAACATATAACAATATTTGATATTGATAATAAATAAATTGGATTTGCTAAATTAGCTACATTTGAGAAATAAAGTAAGTAAATTTAGATAAATGATTATTTGTATATATTTAAAGTGGTTTGTGTATGTATTTGTGTAGCAATAGCATTAATATGGATAATTAGATAAGTAAGTTGTTTAGGTGAAGCAAGTCATGAAATGTATAAATGATAAGTATATAATAATAATAATAATATCATTATTTTTTACTATAAAGAGCATCAGTTAAATTATCAATTGCTTCTTTTAATTTTGAAATTTCAAAACTTGATGTTTCTTTAAAAATAAATTTATTTTTGAATTTCTTTGAATCTAATCCTAATACTTTTATAAGATCATCTTTATTGAATCTATTTTTTTTATCATTCTTATTGAATAAGAATAATATTGGAATTCCACTTTTTTTAATTAAATCATCATTAAGTACTTCTTCAATTAAATGTCTTTATAAATGAAATCTCATCATATTAATTTGTATAATACCTGTATTCTGAATCACTTGTATCAATTACATATATCATTGCTTGTATATCTTAATAAAGAATTCTCCAATTTGATCTATGACGACCATTACCAGACATATCATAAACTAAACAATATTTTCCTATTTTTGGACAAATCACATAATGAATCTCCATAGTAGGTGTTGGGAATATTTCCATTCTTTAACTATTAGAAAGTGTACGTAATAGACTAGTTTTACCTGCATTATCTAATCCAACACAAATGGCACTAAATGCAACTTACATTTATTAAATTAATGAGTAATCGTAAAACATATAGTAATAAATAAACTAAAATCTCATTGGGTGAGATAGATGAAATGTTTAATGATGCTGAATTCAGTTAAGCTGTTAAAGACACATTCAAAAAATAATCTAGTACAGTTCGTCATGATGGACCAATCTAAACAACAAATATGTTTTATTAGAAACCAACGATTTCATAGATAATGAGATTGAGAGCTAAAGGATCTCATACAGGAACACGATGTCCTTCATTAAAGAAAGAGGAACGTAAAACTAGATGGGCTAGTTTAATAAGTGAGGGTAGAACAGAACATCATAAAAGAATACCATCTGAAATAGAGAATATTCCAATATGTGCATAATATGAATAATATAGTTATCTTTGTAGAGAGCATGAATAATTAATTTAAAATTTGAGTGAATTACCATAATCAATTAAAATGATGCTTTACTCTAATATGTATGAAGTTCAAAGAGCTAAAATGTGTGAAAATAAAACTATTTTAGATGATAAATTCATATTTACACTATTCAATACACTTTAATAATTGGATAAATAAATAATTGAACCTTTACATTAATAGTAGACTAGACCTGTACTTAATTTTAAAATGAATTTTGTTTAAAATGCAGTTAATATAATATCAGAGACTATAATATAAGGTGTAAGAGAAGCTTTAAAACATGATACTAGATTGGGTATATTTATGGAAGGCTTTTGTAAATTTTGGATAGTGTTGATTGATATTTAATTGTAATGGATGGGTAAGAGTTGTGCTGATTACATTGAAGCTTAAGTAAAAGAATTTAAAGAATAATTTAAAGAGGCATTAGCTTAGAAGATTAAAGTGGAAGATTAAATGATTTAGATGGATAAAGAATTTAAATCTATGGAGGCTTAATATATTCGTAAACATGAATACTTATAATAATAATTATTATCAGTTTAATAGGAATTTCAAGATTATGTTGTAGCAGTATAATAAATGAGTGATCTAAAAATAGCAGAGGAAAGAATGAATTCAGTAGGATTGAAGGCTTTAGAATTGGAGAGTATGTTCAAACAATATGATAAGGTAGTTTCTTAACATTCATTTGTATTTTAAAAAGACATTAAAGAATTGGGAACTGCTTTAATACAATAGAAGAAATAAAATTAACCTCTTCCAATGAAACACTAGGAAGCACAAATTCGTTTGGGATGTTAAAAATTACCAGAAGAGAATTATTAATTATATTAATTGAATTCAATTGGTATATTTATGTAAGTGCATCCATTTTAGATATTATTTGAAATTAATAAAGAATTAGAAATGGATTATCCTATGTTATTAGGTAATTTTTTGGATTATTTGTCTCAAATTGGAGAGTTTTAATCTCATGTTTGTAGAATATTTATTGATTGGGTTGGAGAGGAAGATAAACTTAATGCAATATTAACATATTTTAGTGAATGTGATCTCGATTAACCAATTAATTAATTATATGCTATCATATTTGGAATTCGTGAACATCGTTAATTAAGTTCTGTATCTCTAAAAAAATTAATAAAATATTATAAAGAATTGTAAGAATAACATGATTATTAATTGAATGAGAATTTTACAATTTAAGAAGCATCTCCTTATTTTTAATTATTATTTTCATAAGAATTTAATGAAAAGATTACTAATAGTTAGAAATAATAAATGACATTATTGGAATTATTATTGATGTTGGCTTAACATTTTCTAATGATTGAAAATAAATAATGGTCTGGATGGTTATATAAATAAGAAATAGAATCTGAGGATTTGGATATGAATGTGGTACTGTATTATTATTATAATTATAATAAAGATCAAATAATTTATTGAGTTACGTAACCAATTGAATAGACCACTTGAAGATAGCCTTAAATTAGTGAGACAACTCTCATTGCTCCACCCTGACTTATTTTATAAGAGTAAGTAAGCCCCATTAGAGAGAATGAAAGCATCCGTACGTAAAGTGTAACGTAAAAACTCACAACGATCTCCTCTCAAGAGATCAAGTATTACTTTGATTAAAGCTATAAGTATGAAAAAGTGATATATTAATTATATAAAAAAATGGGGAATACTTTGATTGAAGATAAAGGCAAAATCAATCTGATGAAAGCATTTGAAACTTACAATACAGAATAAGAAATTGGGACTCGTTAGACTCTATTCTTTGAGAATAAATTGTTTAAGACATTGAGTTATAAATGGCATCAATAAACTCTTCTATTGAAAGTACATCTAATGCGTAAATAACTCACACTTTAAGAATTACATATACATACTCAAAATTTCCAATATCTAATTGAATAATTGGAACCATATCCAAATCTAATGCCATTCCACAATCTCATTAATTTTGGTAGTATGCCTAAACCGCAACCATCTGAAATGTCTCTTGAATGCAATAAAGAATATCTGGCAGTTTCTAGACAATTCCTTTACTTAACATTGGAAGAACGATTATAATCAAATTACAAATTACCAAAATGCTTATTAAACTTTTATGCTTTACAATTCTTAAGTGCAGTAAATACATTACATAGACGTAATTTATATCATGGACATATACGTTCATCTAATGTACTTCTAACAAGTCTTGATTTTCTAATCCTGGCTGATTTTGCATCATATAAACCAACCTATTTAAATGAATTAGAAATAATAAGAAACATTTATAAATCATCTATATAGAAATGTACTTTAGCACCTGAAAAGTATTCTGATTTATAAGAAGTTTAATATCTTAATAATTTAACAAAAGCATAATTACTTTCAATGTAAGCTATGGACATGTTCTCAGTTGGATGTGTATTAGCAGAAATCTTTACAGGAGAAAGTCTTTTTTCACTTGAATAATTATTATAATTTAGAAAAGGTGAATATGAACCAATTATAAAGATTGATGGTATTATTGGTGATTTAATTCGTAATTTAATATCAATTAATCCAGAAATAAGATATAATTCAGAATAAGCATTAAATCTATTTTGTAATGAAATTTGTTCAAGTTAAACATATGAATTATTATAATATATAAGTATAGCATTAAATGTAAATGGTTATTTTATGTAACCAGATGCTAGAATTGCTTTACTTAGAAAAGTAATTTCTACAATAGAAAGGAAATAATTCATATATACACTTCCATTGCCAATATAATTTATCAATTTAAGTAAATTCAATTAGATTTGTAGAGATTTTGAATTTCCACGTAAAATGGTTTAAATATAATTTACTAGTGGTGTAGGTATGGATGAAATTATAGCAAATTCTCTTGAAAATTCAGGTAATCTAATTTAAAGAGAATTTAAAGAAGTACATTAAATTACATAATCAGTTTCATTATAAGTTTCTATGGTTCAAAAACTTAAATAATCAATACAAAAATAACCTGAACTTTAAGGATCTAGATAAAATTTAAGAACTAGTACATTTACAAATATAGATATTAGATAGAATAATCAAGAATATATTATAGTTATTTTATGGATATCAAATTAAATTAGAAATTCTAGATTCATGTAAACAAGATTATGTGGATTGGAATTAATTGAATTCTTATGTTAATATATTGATGATGAACTCATTTATTATTTTTTAATGCCATGTTTGGGAATACTTTGTGAAGACTCAGATTCTTAAGTATAATATTATGCTTTTTCAATTATGTTGAATCTATTGAAAAATATTAAGAATCCACCATAATCATCTACTGATACACTCATTTTTAAATTATATATATGGGAATAAATCAAGAATAGAATGAATGATATGAGTACTAATCATCAATTAGCTCTAAAAATTGGAGATATTGCAGAAATCTTACACAAATATAATAGATTAGAAGAGAAAATATTATTCTTATAAATTATATAAAAGAAGTTTTAGGAAAATAGAATAAATGAACTTACTATTATTATTTCAAAGATTTATGAAGTACTTAAATATTATGAATGTAATCAAACTTTAGAAATTCTAACACTTCTTATTTCTCAATTCAATAATACTACTCTAAAAATAGCATTACTTGATGTCTATTTAGAAATATATAAATATTATTTAAATACTGAAAATAGTTAGTTACTTCTATATTGTCTATAATTGAATACCAGATAAGAAAGTGCTTTATTTCGCATAATTCGTTTTGTTAGATAAGCTACTGAAGAATAACTCTTGGAATTTAACAAAGTGATTTAATATGTGAAAGAAATATCTCCTTTGATTTTACATCACAATAGATGGATTAGAGAGGAAGCCAAAGAATTTATCATTATCTTACTTAATAGATATAGTAGTAAGTAAATATTCTTTAAATTTCATCCACATATTAAAAAATATTTGAAATTAGATGTTCCTATAATCAATCTAGAGATATTTACATCACTTATACAAAAACCTATTTGTTCTAAATGGTTTGATTAGAAAAATTAAAATGAACCAAGATATCCAACATTAACAGAAAGAGAACTCTATAATTATAATAATTATTATGAAGAATATTTTAAGAAATCAAAGAATATCTAAGAAATAGCTATATAATAATAAATTTAAAAGGCTTAATATCCAATAGCCAAAATGAATTAACGTGTTAATGATTTTATTGAAGCTGCTTTTAGAGTAGGTTTGATGTAATTAGATTAAAATAAATGGGAAGATTTCACAAAGAAGGGTGGTAAAACATGGGAAGATTTCATTCAATATATTAAAAATAATAATGGATTTGATTTATCAAATAAATAGGATAATGTATTAACTAAAAAGAAAGTTAAATATTTATAAGAATTACATTTATAATTACAATATTAAATTCCTCAATCAAGTACTTAATGGATTAATTTATTCAATTATAATATTATAGCCAATTAGATTTATATTAAATCATCTTAATAATAAATATAAGATATTCAATTTTAAAGATAAATCTAATAACCAATTACTAGACCATTCAAAATTAGTAATTAAATTGTAACTACAATTTCTGAACATAAAGGGATTGTTACATCTTTATAGAAATTTGGAGATCAAAGAAGATTCATATCTGGTTCTTATGATGGAACAGTTAGAATATATGATATGAAGAAGATTGAAGAGGACTTTACAAATGGTAGTGTTGCTTAGATACGTATAAGTGAAGGTGATGTTTAAAGTAGAATCTCTGCTTTATGTGCATTAGAAGGAACTGATAGTTTTGTTGTTGGTACAAATACTGGAAGTGTTAGTTTATATACAAATGATCGTCATACTAGTACATTTCTTAAAGGGGATTCTGAAATTAGGAAGATTGTTGATTAAGAAAATACATTTATGTATGTAACTGAGAAAGGTACTCTCAAAATTGAAGATATTAGAAGTAGGAATGGATAAAGTTTTAATATTGGTAGATAACGTGGATTAGTATCAAGCATGGTACATGATAATTATACTACTTTGATTGGTACTATTAATGGTTATTTGATTTTATATGATATAAGAAGTACTATGATTGTCAATTTATTCTAATTATTGAATCATGATGATTAAGCATTACCTATATTTAGTTTAGCTTATATGAATAGAGTTTCTTAATTTGAGGGAATGAATAATGATAGTTAAAAATTAGTAGGTATTGGATATTAATCTAATAATAATGAAGTAGGATTTTGGGATTTAAATAAATAAAATGAGGATTTGAATCCAGCACTCTTTTTATATTGTTCTGATAAAAAACATCCAATAATAGAAACACCTAGATTATAATCTGTATTAAAATCAGAACAATTTATAAATCATAATAATAATTTATCAACATAATGTCATTATGATTTTCTGAATAAGAGTTATTAAGTTGATTTAATATCATATTTAAAAGATCCTTTGACATCATCAGAAAGAGTAGCAAAAGATCGTTGGTTACGTGGTACAAAGAATCTTTATATAAATTTGAAATCAGCTTTTGAATGCAAAAGTACTGTGACTTCATTGATTTGCTTGACATCACGTATTGATAATTAAAGATAAGAAAATACATTTATTACTGCAAGTACAGATAGAAGTATATAAAGTTGGACATTAAATAGTGATGTTTCTAAATAATAAGACAAGAATAATGATAGAGTATTTAATTTATTATATTTTAGGAATTCCAAACTAATATAATAAGTTCACCATATAATTCAATTAGAAAATTCAAGTAATGTCCAAGTGGAGATGTTTATGTAATTTAGGATTATGAATTCAAAAACCAAAGTAATTCTGGCAATTCTTTTGAGCATAAGGATTGCATAACAGATATGATATATTTAGATCATGATAATAGTTATTTGGTTACTGCAAGTAGAGATCATACAATAAAGATTTGGAAATGAATAAAAATATATTATAATAAGTAATTAAATAGATGACAGATCTATGTAAAAACTGTAAACATAAATAATTGAGATCTCGAATGATAGGTAAGAAATTCTCATCAAACATTCTTAATCAAATCTAATAGATAAAATCACCAAGAAATATTGAAACTCCATATATCAATGTTATTGAATATTTATAGAGTATTCATTAGAAAAAAGAAGATAAACCTAAAGAGATTATTCTATATCACCGTCTTAAAACTCATACTTCAAAATAAAAAACAGAAGTATAAGTAGATGATGCAGCTTAAACTACATCTCGTTTGGATTAATTTCCATTAACATAATACATTCCTAGAGGTGCAGTTGCTAATAAGATTATGAGTAGTGCATTTTATAAAATGAAACGTATGTGTTCATATTCAAGAGAGGAATCTAAAAGAAAGAAAATAGAGATTGGTCCTATGTTTAATTAAGTTTCGAAATATGTATAACCAATGAGACCAGGCACAGTTAGAAGTGTTAATTCGAAGATAGATGAAAGATTGGGATCAACATTGATAAGTGCAAGACAAGAATTATTGAGACATAGCAAATCAGAAATGCATTTAAGATTGCCTGTTTCTAATAAATTAAGTGAAGTTTAATCCTTAATGAAGAGAGAATGAATCAATTAATTATTACTTATCTTATTGAGTAATTTTACAATAATAATATATATATGTATTATCTAAATTATGAGGTATTACGGAGTAGATATTAGCAATTTACACAATTCAACATTCTCGACCAACTTGAACCAATATATCAATCTCTTAAGGTAATAAACAATATTTTGAATTAATAAAGCTTTCCTTAGAGTCCAGAGATAGAAATACTTTCTTTTAGGATAAGGTGCAACAATAACCTGATTGCTTCTAAGTTAATCCTATTTATGGTTTTGCATAATAAGCAAATGAATTATATGGTAGTTATGGACAACCAACTTAACTTTGCTTCTATATGCATCGTCAAAAGAGGTATCTAATGATTGGCACTCAATTATCAGTGATTATCTGTATTGAGATTGTAAATGGAAGAGTAGAATCAATTTAAGCTATACTTAATGCAGGTGAACGATAAGGAAGATATGGATCTGTATTAGCAATTTAATGTTGGGAGAAATATATGTTAGTTGGTTTTGAAAGAGGAGATATTTAATTATATGAAGTTAGTAGGAAATGGGAACGTTTACATCATGAATCTAAATTACATTCTGGTAAAGTAATGTAAGTCTTATTCATACCATCCTCAACTATTGAAGCACTTTCCTTAGATGAACATGGAGTAATCTATAAACATGCATTTACAGTAATGACTGTAATGGATAAATACATAGTCAGTTATTCAAAAGATAAAATCTATAAGAATGGCAAAATATATCATATTAAAAGAAGCACTTAATAACCAAAATAAAAGTAATCTTCTTGGTGGAATAATGCAAAAAGTATATTTAAAAAAGAAGATGAAGTCACTGAATTAACAGATCCATCTGTTAAACATTCAAGTGATACAGATGGATAATAAACTAAGTTTGCTTTAGATATTAAATTAATGCCTGAAGCTATGACTTAGTAATTAAATCAAAATATATAATAAGTAGTTATTGCTGCTATATTATATTCTAATCGTGTTGAAATACTTAAATTTTATAAAGGTATTATAATATTTATTAATTTAGGTTCATTGAAATGTGAAATTGTATATACTTTAAAGAGAAATACTTTCTCAATTGATATTCCTTAATAAGATAATACAGAAAGTGGAGAATTATCTTGGGGTGAAGGATACTTTTAAAAATCTTATTAAAATGCCAAATTATTATGTATAAGATGGGGTGATATATTTCATTTAGTGAAATGTATGAATATAGAAGATGAACTTGAAATTGTTGAAGGGTAATATAATTAAATAATTAATTAAGTGCTGTTTATAAGATGGAAAAAGAGAAAGGTAATATAATAAAGAGTTCATTTTTAACAAATAATATCATTTATGCATTTTCAGATTCAAGTTGGGTTGCTTTAATTCATACAACTTAATTTCAATTTGCTAAATAAGAAGATGGAATAGTAATTTTGGAACCAAAAACTAGAATGTTATCTAAAGAAGATGTTGAACCTTAAGTGGCTGAAATTTCTGTATCATATGAAGGTCCTAGTAAACCTTGTTAAGTATAAATATATGAAAATGGTATTGTTTCATTAAGAAAGAATAATATTTTAATAGAAAGATTATAAACTTGGAATGAATATTTAGATGATTTAATTGAGAAAAATTAATGGGAGAAAGCTATGCATTAAGGTATGCTTATATATTAAGGATAAATTAAAATACTTAGTGAAATTGCATCATCTCTATCAGCACGTTCAGAATAAATGAGTCAAATGTTTTAAAAGATTGCTTTTACTCATATTATGTTTGCTCTTAAACCATTAGATATTCCATTATCTTAATAAGAAAAAGAAAATAAAATTAAAAAAACAATCGAATTTTTATTAAGAGTTGATAATATGTCATATGCTTTAGTTGTATTAAAAGATTTCTTTAAAGATATATAATAAATGAAATTATATTTCACTTGTTTAGATCCTTTTATTAAAAATAAATAAATTGCTGCAATTCCTGAATCATTCTTTATTGATTATGTTAACTTTTATTAAAATGAAAAAGAAATGATATAATAATTAATATTATAATTAGATTTACATCAATAAGAACCAACTCTTCTTATTAAGGTGTGTATGGATTATCATTTATACAAAGCTATGATATATTTATGTACTAAATAAGGAGATTTTATAACTGGATTAATGAAATTGATGGATCTTTGGGAAAATAAATGTTAATCAGAATAAAAAGAACATTGTCATATAGAAAAAGAGAAATTACGTCAATTCAGAATTAAATTAGGATATAATATATTAGCATATGTTCGTATGTGTGTAAAAGGTATCAATATTGTAGGAGAACGTGTACCACATAATATTTATTTTGATATGTTAAGAGGATTAGTATCTTTCATTTTTAATACAGAAAATCTTAAATAATTTATACTTATTGACATTCGTTTATCACTTTAATTGCTAATTCAATTTATGTAACATCACATATATGCTAATATTAAATCAGCTACACTCCCAGGAGTTAAATTTGACATTATTGATCATGTCCCTGAAATCTTGAAATTGATGCTTAGTGCCATAGAAAATACTAGATAAGAAATCAAAACTAAAGAACATTATCAAATTATATATAATGATAAGACCTAACAATATCATTAAATTTCATTAACTGAATAACTTAATCATTTCTTGTTATTCTACTCTTAATTGTTAATGTAATTCCCAACTTAATTCACTAAATAATTTAAAGAGAATTTATTTCTAGAACTTCTCTCTTCATCATATTTTCAAACATTGAAACAATATAATTTCAATACCTAAGAAACTGATCCTATTTACTTAGAATCCTATGAAGTCAATAAAAATGCCTATTTAATTCATATCTATGATACTAGTTAATTGAATGATCTTACAAATATATTCAATGAAAGTGTACATTATCCTGAATTTCATGCTTTTCTTATATATAGATAAAAAGATTATCTTGTTTGCATTTCTAATTATTTTCTAATGCAAAATACTATTATGAAAAGAAATGTGTTTGAAGTTATTGAAAGACTCTTAATTCATTCTGATGAGAAATTTCTTCTAGAATTATAAGAATATATTATAGATAATTGTGATTCATTAATGACTATCAGTTAATAATATACAAATAGAATTTTCAAAGAATATTTTCATGATGAAAAATTGTAAATGAAAATTATTTAGAAACTAGAGAAAACACCTTAAAATTAATTACATTATCTTAAATAATACATTAAAAATGAAAAAGCTTCTGATTAAATTAGATTGCTCTATCTTGAACTCTTATGTTAAAGAGCCCCTAAAGAAGTATTAAAGGATGTTTAAAATGGAGATTTCCCTTTAGATGATGCTATGGCAATTTGTGAAAAGTATAAGGTTTATAATGCTGCAGCTTATTTACTTTAAAAGAATGGAGCAATTTAAAAGGCTTTAGATATGTTGACATTGCTCTTTATCAATAGATTGAAAGATTGTCATAAATCATTTGCCAGATCAAAAACTATCTCAGAAGCTGATTCTGAAGACATATTTGAAAAATTAAATTATATTATTGATCTTTGTTCAAAAATAGAAGATGATAATTATTGGTTTTAATTTTTAGACTCCTTTTTTAAATAACATAAATTAGAATAATTGACTGATGTTAAAGTTCCAGAATCCTTAAGAAAATTGCATGGAGACATTGTATCAGAAGTATTCTTAGCCATGTCTAAATGTATAGAATTAGAGAAACTATTGAATGTAATATTTAAATTATATCTAGAAAATGAATTAACATTATGGTTCTATACCATTAAGAGTATTTCTTAAGACCAATAAATCAATTTAAGAGAAATTTGCCTTTGAATTACCTTCCTACAATATTGCTATGAGATAGACTGATGTCACTTACAAAACTTTAAATAAAAAACTCTTCTAATAAATGAATTAAGGAGTATGTGTAGATAGATTTTGTGGAGAATGCAATGATAGAATCACTAAATGTACCAAAGCTGTTGCTTTTTAATGTGGACATAGTTATCATTAAGAATGTTATATTGAACTCCATGGCAATAATTAGAAAAGTTTTAATAGTTTGAAATTAAAAAATTAAAAAGTTTTTTAAGAATGCTTTATTTGTTTAGAAAATAATGAAAAATACAGTAATTATATATTCATTCTAGTTGCACATTTGATTATTTAGGCTAGTTTGAGAAAATAGAAATTAGATTTTGATAAACATTTACATAGATAAGCTAATGTAGTACCTGAATCAAAGCAAGTTGTTGTACAATACAATAAAATAGAGAGAAGAGAAAAGGCTATAAAGAAATTAAAATAGGATGATTTTAACAAAATGTATATAAGAGAGGTATAGATTAATTTAATTTATTAGTCTTCATTAAATTGGAAGAATTGGTGAAAATAAAGAATAAAAATTGTGTAAGAACTTTGAATTTTATCTTAAATTAATTTATTTAATGGGTTGTTGCCAAAATTCACTAAGATGTTAAGATGAACTACATTTAGATCATGTAGGCTTCTAAATTTCTCCCAAATCCTTGAGTATGGCTCCTCTATCTCATAATCTAATAAAAGGAGATACTGATGAAATCATGGAACATTTAGATTGTTTTGAAAGTACTTGTGGAGAAAATGGTTTACTCGAAAAGCTTAAATTAAATAATATTACCAAAACTAGTAGTCTCAACATAAAGGAAGAAGTTATTATCGATTTACGATAAGCTCCTAGTCCTTCAAAAAAACAAATGTCTTAAAAAAATTTAAACAATAAATTTATAGGAATGCTGTGATGGAAACTCTTCCAATTTTGTAGTTAAACTTATCATGAGTATATATATCATTGATATACGATCTCTTAATTTTGATTTTATTAATTTAAAATCAATTTCTCAAAGCTATCAAAAGATAATGGGGTGTTGCTAAGATAGACCAAATAATATACTCAGAGCCAATGAACTGAGACCCCTAACTAAAGCTCCATCTCTTATCCTTACTCAAAGAGCTCAAGTTATGGAACCAATGAAGATCTCCATTATTGGAGACATTGATAAAATGGATTTCATGGATGACTTCCCTTAACCTATGCCATCCATCACATAAATTGACTCTAAATTTGCTGCCAAATAAATCTCCTCCCGTGAATTAAAAGAAACTAGGGACTTGGTAATTGATTTATTCACTATTGTTTTAGAAGTTAACATAATTATCTGAAACGATCATAATTGATATGAGATCAGGTACATTCCTTCAGAGCCCACTAAAACCAATGTCAGAGAGACGTTCCAGCAAAAACTTAAATTAAAAATTCATTGAGATGCTTTGATAATATCCTTTCATGTGAATATACATTAAAATTACTATATAACACTCCAACATATCATTTCAAAATGTAAATTTCTTCACTGATCACTAAATATAATAAGTTTCTTGATTCAATTAAGCATTTTCCCTCATTTTTAAAAACCAAATAACATATTGATATCTCGTTTAAATAAATTTCAATTTTCAACTAAAAATATACCTTTTATTTAATTGATTATAAAATAACCATAAAAGCTTTATTAATAAACAGAATTTTTTTAATTTACATAATTTTCTATTATAAATGCTTTAGAGTATCCTTGTACTCTTAAAGGAAAGCAACAGTCATAGTATAAAAATAAATTATGATAAAAATCATCATAACTAAAATAAAAGTCAAATGATGGCCTTAATTAAATTATTATATAATAAATAAGTATATAATAAGTATATAATAAAAAGATAATCAATAATTCTTTATATTGATAACTAAATATATTTTATTATTAATAAATAATATATATATTAATTAATAATAATTAATATAAATTAATTATTTATATTATATAAATTAAGATATAATTCATTTCATTAATCTATATTATTATTACTACCATTAATTATATATCTTTTAGGAAAATAAAAAGGAGCTTATTATTTTAACAAGGATTTAATATCATAATTCTCTTCTAAAATCTATTAATAATCTGTCTATCCTTAATTTTTAATTATAAATTGTCTTCTCTCATTTAAAATTATAGAAATCTTTTAATAATCTAAATTTAAATTACATCATCATGCTCCTATACTCCACACTTCTTACTAATTAAATCTAATGAACTTGTCAATCGAGCCTATAAAACCATAAGTTTTTTAAGTTATAATTCTTACAACTAAATGTTAATAACTTATTTTTTTTCTTAACTTTAATCTAAATTTAATAAAATTAAAAAAGATACCATCTATTTTAATTTCTTTCTAATTCAAATTAAGAGATGTATAAGCATTTTCATAAGTTTTAGCTTATTCATTTAATTTTTTATTTAAATCCAATAATTCACTTAATTATTATCTACTTGTTGACAATTGAATTTCATATGTACTTTTTCTTTCTTTTTAATCCATAAAATCTATAAATTCTTTCTTCTCATTATAATCATTATTTTTGATGTCAAATACTCCTTTAATCTTTTAATATGATTATTCTAAATTTATTAATTTTTCTCTTTATAATTTTTCTTCCTTTTCCTATGTTTCTTTATTCTTTTTGTTTTTTGTTTCATCCTCTTTTTTATTCAATCGTTTCCTTAATTTTTAAATAGAATCATTAGCTTTATAGGTAATCTATTAATCACTAATTTAAAATATTTTATCTAAATGTTATTTTTCATTTAAACTATTTTTTATTTGAAGTAATAATGTTGTTTAATGTTATCTCTTTTAATGATATACTCTTAAAAATTCATCAAATTGACGTTTAGCTAATTGAATATTTTCTTAACTTTTTTTAATTTCTAATTCTTCAAATTTAATTAATTTAGCTAAGTTTCTTGTTAAATAATTTAAAAATCGAATATATTCTTCATTTTATTACTTATTATCTCTACATACTTTCAATATTTTCTTAACTCTTATTTTTTTTTTACAAGATTTCTTTAATTCTTTTTCTGCTCTTTCTATTTATTATTTAAGATCTTTTTATAATTATTTTAAATCTTCTAAATTATTCATTTCTTTTTTTAAATATCCTTTGTTGAAATCCATTATCTTTAACATCTTATAAGTTTGAGCTAGTTATAAATTATCATAGATGATTTAATTCAATTTTTATCTCATCATTCTTGCTTGATTTTATAACAAATTTAATTAAGCTGTTGAATGTTATTGTATATTTCCTTTGACAATAGGAAATATTTCAGTAATTTTATATACTTCATGAGATAATGAATTTGAATGAAATTATCTCATTTTACTTTTTTATTTTTGTAATTAATCAAGTATTTGCATAGTCTATTTACCATCATTTGTTATAGTAGTTTAATTTAAATTAATTATTTTGGATTCTTCATTAAGATAATTTGAATCTATAAAATCTGAAGTTATAAACATCTAATTATTCTTGTGATTATCATAGGATTAATCTTATTTAATCATCAAATCATTCTTATTAGATACTGGAGGTAAGATAACAGCAGATGATCTAAGGTATCTTGAACTTGAAATAGTATTAAATTCAATTTATTCTCTTTTTTATTTTTTTAAAACTTCCTCTTATCCCTTTTATTACAATACAGGAATTTAGGGAATAAGTTACAATTTTGTTTCTTATTCTTATTTTTATTCATACATCTCTTTTCGTTTTCTTTTAGCTTCAAATGCAATTTTAAGTGCTTATTCTGTAAATGCATTCTCATCTTCAACACTCATATAATCTGTTGCAGAAGAGAAACATTATTTAATAACAGTAGAGTAATCACAATTCTTATCAATACTCATACAAGCCCATGGAAATTATATCCAAATCCATCTCTTATAATAATAATCTGTAGATTCTCTTTCATTTGATTATAATTAATCTTAAGATAGATTATCTTCTTTTTATTATATGATTTTTTTTAATCTTTGATTAAGTTCTTCAGCCAATTAATCCAAATTATCAGGAAATTCTTCTTCATTTTCTGTTTGCTCAAAAGGTTTAGATAATAATGAAAGATAATGTGTTCTGATTAATTATCTATTTTATTGTATTTCTACATTCAGTGATTCCATTTTAGATAATACTGGAGCTGTTTTTGGTTTAGCAACACGTTTTAAATGTTTAGTTGGATCAAACTCTTTTAATTCAGGTGATTTATCATAATAAAGATCTAATTTTAGTATTTCTTACAGTAATCCAATATCATATAAATCACTCAATACACCTATGATTGGAGGATGTCTAAAAATTGGAGTGTTTCTAGTTTCAAAATCACCAAATTCTTTAAGAAATCTTGATATTTATAAAATGATTCTAAACATATCTTCAGATGAAGGATGATAATGAATTTAGAAACCTTCAACAGCTTTATTGTATTCTAAAACAGGATCAAATCCATTCTCTTCAAGAGATTACCAATATCTACATAAATCATATTTATTTGATGGATTAAAAAGTAGTAAAAAGTTTTCAATAATACTTATTACTTCTTTTAAGGAGAAATAGTTTTTAGCACTATATAATTAGAATGTTTATTCTTCTAATTTTCTAATGGAATTGGGAGTAATCTTATCAATTGTTGTAGCTATATTATCATGTAATTCTAACATTTCTTTAACATCAATATAATATGTATTTATGATTACTTTTTTAAAGATTTCATTATGAATTATCCATAATTCTTTATGTATCATAATATATACTTTAAAAAAAACTAAAAATAATTTCCATTCTTTGATAGTAATATTACAAACACTTTCAATTTCTGGATAAGTCAATCCTTTTTATGTTAAAGCTAATACTAATAGTATTTTTTTAAATTTAGCAATTTCCATAATATTTGCTTATGAAAAGTAATCTAATTGAAATGCAAATAAATCTTCTACTATTTTCATAGATTTGAAATGATTCAAATTAAGTGGTTACAAGATTTATTCAACAATACTTTAATCAATTTCCTCTTATTCTACAACACCTTCTGATGGATATGGAATGAATACAGAAAAGTAAGATCTAACAAAAACTGGTTGATTTCTCACTTTATAACTTAATTGTATGAATATATCTAAGATATTTTAAGGATTCTTATAATTTAATATAAAAATACTTAAATAAGAAGATGTTTCCCTAAATGATGATTGACTGTCTATTTCATTACAATTTTGTCAGATACAATAGGTATTACATGACAATCAGGTTTCAACAATTTCATTGATGCTGATTATCTTTCAGCAGTTACAATTACTTTAATATTAGATGGGAAATATTTTGGCAACCAAAAGTTTACATTAGCTTCTCTATGCATATCAAGTATTTCTCTAAAATTATCTATTCCTTCAAATACTAAAATAACCTATATCAATAAAATAAGTATAATACTTTATCATAAATGATTGGAGCACCATTTATAATTTACTATTCTAATTATCTACTACAAATTTCTAACCAATATTAGAAATATCTTCTTAACTTCTCTTCTAATAATTCTACTTTTTATTTTATATTGAGTGCTTCTCTTAATTTAATTAGAATTCTATAGATGGCATAATAATAATTGCTATTTTTGCCTGATTAAGTGGCAAAATGTGGAATTATGAAATCAGGATATCGCTATTATTCACTATAATCTTACTCCTTTTTTATTTCTAGAATGATATTCCATCCATTTTACTAAAAGCGTTTTCTTACCAATTCCATCATCTGCTTCTAGAACTAAGGGTGTGTTAGTGTGTAGAGTTTTATCTTCTTCCAACCAAGATTCTATTTCAAGAAAATAACGATCTAATCCACTTGCTTATCTTTAGTAATAATAAAATTATGTACTGATTTTTGTAGTACTCCACTATCACATCATTAGAGCTATAGACTAAGTAATTAAGAATACTCAACAAAGTTCATATTTTCATTCCTCATAGTTTCTAATTTGGATATACGATTTCGATCTTAGGGAGTTGAAGCTTAATGAGAATAAGCATCATCCATTATAAAAATTTTACAAATAATGAATATAGAATTTATCAACTTTCATTCAAACTCAATTCCTTATAAAAATTAATCAACATCTTGATCTCAAAACTTTAGAAAGTAATGAATTTCCATCCTTTTTCAGGTTTATTTTATTTAGTATGTATAACTAACTTATTTGGAAAAGATTATATATTATCAATCTCTTAGTATTATATTTCCTAAATAACTTTTTTATCCAAAGGTGTTAACAAAGAGATTTTTTATTAAGACAATCCAATATAGATATTACCTTTTATATCATGGATTTTCAATTTCGAGAATGTTGCTTATAATTCTCTATGTACTTCCAACTTATATATATTCATAGTAGCCTCTTTCTCATAATAAATATTTTTCAGAAATTGATACTAACACAAATATACCATAGATTTCTTTTCTGTTTCTAATTATAATAATTAACTATTTATTTGAGTAATATATTTTTTAACTTCCATTTCCCATTCTTTAGGTTCTATTTAATCAAATATCTCACTTTTTAAATACTTTTAAATATTCTCATATTTCACATCCTATTTCTTTATAATAAGATAAAATGCTATATAAAGAAATAACTTTTAACGATTCAATAAGAATTTAAGTTCTCTAATTTCTTCAAAGAATTAAAGTACAAGATACTACATTCTCACCCAATCTTGATATATTTCAACAAATTCATATTTTGGATCTAAATATATTACTTTTCTAAATAATAATTTCTCTTCATTACTATTTGTCCAAAATTATTCTATTTTATTTATTGAAGAATTTAAGATCCCATTAACACTTATTTTATGTAATTATAATATTACTTCATCATCATCTATTACTCTTCTATTTAGATATTTATCTTCCAATATTAATTTGAAATCTTAATAATACTTTAATTACATCTATTAAGCTAATACTTTCACTATTTCAGCAGCTCTTGTGATTTCTTATATATATATTTTTTCACATTAATTATCAATTAAATAAACATCAATTACCTTTCCATTCTTTTATTAGATTTCTCTATAATTTTCAGTAACTACAGCAACATTAGTCTCTTATATTGTTGATACTCTAATTTAACTATTTCTAGCTGAAAAATAAGCATCTAAAATATCAGAGACTCCTTATTAAACCTTTTATTCAGGTTTTTATAAATAACTTTTGAATTATCTCTTGATTTCAATATCAACTTTTTTATTTAATTTTGGTAATTCATAGAAATTATCTGGTAAACTTAATAAAGATAGAATAGATTATTCATTAGGTTATAATTTCTCTGGTTATTTTTAATTTAGAATCAATACTTATTATATCATCTTTTCAATTGCTATCATTCTTTCCTCAATTACTTTTGTTGAATGATTATTAAGCCAATGATAAGAAGATATATCTTCAAATGTCCCATCAGGATATCTCTATTTAAATATATTCAATAATTCCAATGCTCTTGAAAATCGAATATATATTTTTAATACAATTCTATCTATCTCTATTTCTACAATGTATATTGTATATTTATTAATACTATAACTGAATCTCTCTTCTGTTCCAACTACTTTTACTGTTATTGGATCTATATCTTATATTTATGATCTCTCCTTAATATAATTTATAATCTTTTATATTTATTTGATTGATTTCTCTTTTATTTCTTTATTCTAAGCAGTAAATTATATCACATTCTCTTAAATTACTATACTAAATAAATTTGTAAAATATTTAGTATCCAATTAATCTTTAACTATTGTTTAAGAATCCAATTTATATTTCATAGCTTTCTTAGTTTTACTCTCTTATTCTTAATACCCTATCAATACAATATCTGTAAAAATGTAAAATATTACATTCAATTCCTTTCCTTCCTTAATGATACTTGCAATATCTTCATAAATAATCAATCTATCCTCATTTTCTTAATAAATGCTATCATCTTCATATTCCTTACTTAATTCCATCACTCTAGCCCTATTCATGAATTTATCCATAGATTTATTATTTTCTTCATTAAGTCTCTCAAATTCTTATTGTAAATACTATATATTTTTCATATCAGGATGATTACTCCTAGTACCCTTCTTGAGTTCTTTCCAAAACAAAATGTATTTTGGTAATCTTTGTACAGGCTTTACCAAAAAATCCACTATTTATAATCCTCTCATATTTTATCTATTCTTCAAACTATACTCTAATTAAGGTTGCTTTTATAATAACTATTTTAAAGCTTTCAATGATTCATTATAATTCCTACAATAGCTATAATATGTCTCAAAACCTTAGACCTCAACATTATTGAATATTACGGAATTTGCATTTAAATTTACAGTTTTACTCTTAATCTAATCATAAAACTTTTAATTCTCCTATCTTATATCAGAAACATTCATAAATATTTTATTAATGTATTATTCGTCACTCTTTATTGTTAATTCATTCCTTAAGGTTTCTCTAAGCTATGTATGCTATCAGTTATACTTACTTCCTCTAATACACCTAAATCATTGATATAGTTCAATTCTGTAAATAAAATCTCATTTATAACATGTCTTCGAAACCTCTCCATCTTATTTGCTTTTTAATTTTTCTTGAAATGATTCAACATTAGGTCCAAACCCTTTACAACACGCCTCACTTTATTCATATCAATATATAATTTAATATATAATTTTCATTTTTCCAAAACTAATGATCATATCATCTCTTAACGTATGTCAGAAATCTCAACTCTTAAACAATCGGACTTTATCAAAATACTAATCTCAATCTCTTTTATTAACTCAAAATACTTATTTAATAATTATATCCCTCTTATTTACATCTATCAATCATTTGATTTTTTCAAATATTATAGGTTATGTTTTAAATATTGGACTTCCCTCAAATATTAATCTATGTTCTATCATTAATAATCTATCCTACTTTTTAATCTATTTTAATAATATCAATATATCTTCCAATTCCTCATTAAATTTCTTAATATATTTTTCTAAAATTGTTGTGTCCTTTAATACTATTCAAAAAATGATTATAGATCCATTTCATTTAATTAAAATCTAAAATTTATAGAAAATGATTGAAATTAATAGACTTTTTATTTTTTTACTATAATCAACTATGACTTAATCTTATAAATTATCAATCTCAATCATACTTTTATATAATAATTATTGAAAACTTAGAAATTTTTTATATTAAAAATAGATATGGGCTTAGAAAAATAATTTAAAATTACAAATAGATATGAATGTAGAGTAATTAGATAATAAATGATATTAAAATAATTAATGCATTCATAATCAAATAAGTTTATAAGAATTCCTTATATATTCTAATTAAATTAAATATTTTAATTTTCTTAATAATAATTAAAATTTGTTTAACAGATTATCAATATTAGTATTTAATATAAATAATAATATTTATGATATACTAAGTTTGAAAGCAATCTAATAATTAGTAATTAATATGATATAGTAATTTGAATGAAATCATATTTATCTATTTGTATGACTTAATTTGAATTCTTGTGGTATTGTAACTCCAGGTTTCCATTTTGAGGATTTCTTAGGTTCTTCTTTCTTTTTATTAGCTTATTAGACTCTTTCGAAATAGGTAATGAGTCCTTTTTTATTGAATTCTGATACTTTTACACTTTATTATGCTATTTTTTTATTTACTTAAGGTTTAAAAGTACATAATTATTGACTTTCATTTTGGACATCTTTTTAATATTAAACAAGTTTTTCTTATTTTTTAGTTTCCCAATATCGATTTCTTTATTCAAAAGGCATAGTAAAATCACAATATTTAGTTTAACTCTTTGAAAGATTAGGTTAAAATGTTGTTTCATTTTCTTTTGATCTTTCCAATTCTAATTATAATCTCAATTATTCTTTTTTTGATTTATAAAATTGATCTAATGTATATAACTATTCCCATCTTGGAGCAATTCCAGATATTGTTCTTTTTCTTGTTTATGATTAAGATTATTCTTTAATTTCAGGTGTGACTGATCTAGGTTTTGTTAATCTTTCTTTGGCATCACCTAATTTCTCAGCAATTCTTAGAGATTTTCTAGATAACATAGGTCTGAATGAACATTGCTCTGTTAATAATTGTTTGACTTCTTTTGGCTTATCAATTTAAATGATAAGATTGACAGTATCCTTGTTCTATTTCAATGGTTGTTGAACAATTTAAGAAGTCTTATCTTTTCCATTAAGAGAATTTAACTTTGCTAATTCTTTTTCAACCAAAAATTCTAATTCATCAAGCATTACGTTAAATTTTAATAAATATCATTATTTAATCTTTTTATGTACATCTGAATTCTCTTCATGTTCAATCAAATATTTGATACTCTGAAACTTTCTCTTACAAAGCATACAAAACTTAACTTTCAATAATTCCTTTTTAATTTATTCACTCAATTTAATTAATTCATTCACTTTCTCAACATCTTTAGTAGGTTTTGAATCTGAATTTTATGCTTAATAAACTTGATTAGTAAAATGTCTAGTAACTTTCACTTTACCACTACTTTGTGTTGTCTCTTCTGGATGAAAATTCCTATTCTTTACAGAAAAGCTTCTTTCAATATTATTACTCATATAAATATATATTAATATTGTATATATATTCATAATAGTTCTACATATATATAAATCATGCAGTCTTATAAATAGATATTTAATCAGCCATTCTAATTTTTTAATCTAGCAATACTTATTTGGCTCTAATTACACTCATCATTGAACCACTTTAATCCAATGCTAAATCTGTTAAAATAGTTTCAGGTACATTTTATATATACATAGGTTCTGTTGGAGTATTAATATTATAACATGATTTAGAACCATTGGCATCATCAGTAAGAAATATATTCTAATAATTTGGATGCCAAAATATAGTGTCTACTTGATTCTGATGTAATTTAAATATTTCTGTATCTAATTTTCTAATATCAAACAATAAAGTTTGTTTATCCTTACCTGTTTTAGCAAAATATGTTCCATTTCTATTCCATCTAACCTTTTTAACTCCTAAATTATGTCTTTTTAAATTAAGTATTTCATCTCAACTAGAAGCATCCCATAAACGAATTATTTCATCATCAAATCCACTAAGTATTAAACTATTCTCTGGATTCCATTAAACAGTATAAACTTCCTTACCATGTCCAATAAGTGTTTCCTTCTATTCTGATTAGACATCATATAAATATATTGATTTATCTTAGCTTGGAAAAGCAATTTTATAATGATTAGGTGAAAAAGTTCTCTCTGTATATAAGATATTTTAGTTCCCAATACTTGTCTCTATTCTAATCCTCCTTATCCTTTTTCAATTGTGTAAATTCCACCATTACTACCAATTCCAAATATTTTATATAAGTATTCTTAATTTAATTTACCTACTATTGCTTCATCATTAAAAAATTTCTTATAAAATAATTTTCAATCATTTAAATCAACTATAGACAAGTGTCCTTATCGTTTTTAATTATTAATCTTATTATAATCTTAAGCAAATCTATTGTTTTTTACTAACCACTAAAAAACTATATAGAATGCATACTTTAAGATTTGTGAATTTGAGTATCTTAATGACATCATTTTAATTTTGATCATTGATGCATCCTACAATTTTTGTTGGTATACTATACTTAATTTGATTTTAGACAAGTAATTCATTTTAATGACTAGGATATCCAAAGAGTCTCTCTTTTATATTTTAGGCTGCCTTCTATTGAATATCCCATTTGAGATCTGGCTTACCTATATTCATATAGTAAATGTATAATATATATTAATATAGCAAAAATATAATAAGTAATCATTAATTACTTTATTATTGTAATGCCTTCAACTCTTACTAATACAACTTCTCCCATTCAAAAATAGTTTCATCTAAATTATCCATACAAATTTAAAATGCTCCTTTACCAAACAAATTCATTTAATGATACAATGGCCTTACTATAACTTTAATGAATCCAATTTCATTTTTAGACATCACATGCAACTTTGATATTATATACTCTATTTTACCTTATCCAAATCCTTCATAAATGGTTATTGAGGATAACCTTTTTTCCCTTCTTCTGCATACTAGGCACGATATTCCTAATTGATTTTATCACTCCATAATCTACTTTATGGCCATTTCCTTGCAGTACCATTAAAATCAGCAGTATGAGTAATCATTCCACACAATAAAGATAAATCTTCAGAATCATTACCATATTATTCTATTCTAGATTCAAATTCCTTTAGCATTTTGAAATGATCCTACATATCAGTTGATAAAATGTTTGAAATTAGTTATTTTCTAAAAGTTCTGAAATCTTAATCAGAAAAATTACAAAGTATATTAGTTTAACTATCTCTTAAGATTTTAATGGTTGTTGCTGCATGATGTTATTCCAATATCTAATAAAAGAGTTAACACAATAAAAAATACCACTTTGTCATGGTAACGAATTGCCAATTGACTCAATGAATTAGCTTCATATGCATTAGTCTTACCTGTATGAGCAACATCATGACATAAGGCTGATAACAATAAACAAAACTTAGTAATATTATTAAAAAATTATTAATCTAATTGTTTAGTCAATGATTTAATAAAACAATTTACAGCTTGCATTACTGCAACTCCATGATCAAAATTATGATAAGGATTATTATTCATATTATATTGNGACAAGTGTCCTTATCGTTTTTAATTATTAATCTTATTATAATCTTAAGCAAATCTATTGTTTTTTACTAACCACTAAAAAACTATATAGAATGCATACTTTAAGATTTGTGAATTTGAGTATCTTAATGACATCATTTTAATTTTGATCATTGATGCATCCTACAATTTTTGTTGGTATACTATACTTAATTTGATTTTAGACAAGTAATTCATTTTAATGACTAGGATATCCAAAGAGTCTCTCTTTTATATTTTAGGCTGCCTTCTATTGAATATCCCATTTGAGATCTGGCTTACCTATATTCATATAGTAAATGTATAATATATATTAATATAGCAAAAATATAATAAGTAATCATTAATTACTTTATTATTGTAATGCCTTCAACTCTTACTAATACAACTTCTCCCATTCAAAAATAGTTTCATCTAAATTATCCATACAAATTTAAAATGCTCCTTTACCAAACAAATTCATTTAATGATACAATGGCCTTACTATAACTTTAATGAATCCAATTTCATTTTTAGACATCACATGCAACTTTGATATTATATACTCTATTTTACCTTATCCAAATCCTTCATAAATGGTTATTGAGGATAACCTTTTTTCCCTTCTTCTGCATACTAGGCACGATATTCCTAATTGATTTTATCACTCCATAATCTACTTTATGGCCATTTCCTTGCAGTACCATTAAAATCAGCAGTATGAGTAATCATTCCACACAATAAAGATAAATCTTCAGAATCATTACCATATTATTCTATTCTAGATTCAAATTCCTTTAGCATTTTGAAATGATCCTACATATCAGTTGATAAAATGTTTGAAATTAGTTATTTTCTAAAAGTTCTGAAATCTTAATCAGAAAAATTACAAAGTATATTAGTTTAACTATCTCTTAAGATTTTAATGGTTGTTGCTGCATGATGTTATTCCAATATCTAATAAAAGAGTTAACACAATAAAAAATACCACTTTGTCATGGTAACGAATTGCCAATTGACTCAATGAATTAGCTTCATATGCATTAGTCTTACCTGTATGAGCAACATCATGACATAAGGCTGATAACAATAAACAAAACTTAGTAATATTATTAAAAAATTATTAATCTAATTGTTTAGTCAATGATTTAATAAAACAATTTACAGCTTGCATTACTGCAACTCCATGATCAAAATTATGATAAGGATTATTATTCATATTATATTGAGTTTCCATTTCAATTAAAAAATTGATCATTTTATCTTATGGTAATGCAAACATTTAATTAAAATTATTTCTCTCCAAAATTGACCATACTATTCTTTATTTCTCTATTGTAGATTTAATCTAAAACTATTTATAAAATTATTACTAAATGAATATTAAAATCCAAAGAATCTAATTCATTATCTTCTTCTTTAAGTATTAAATGAGACTCATTAAATTTATTTGGATTTATTTTCATAAACCTTCTCTCTTCCTCTCTTTATTTAAAAAAGAAACTATTCTTTCCAACAACTTATTCCTTATCAATTTTTCTAAAAACCAAAGTTGGAGTCTTCTAACTTTGTTATGCATTTGAATTAAATTCCTATATTTAAGGCATGTACATCGCAACTACAGAATTTCTTATATCAGGATTAAATTCTTCTAATTTCTTAATATAATCCATAGTTTCTGTCTATAACAATTATTGTCTAATGGTCTTTCCATTAGTAGGAGGTTGTGTCTTTTTTCTAACCCATTCATTTTCTGAAAGGATTAAAGTAAATCCTTTGAATTGCTTTTCTTCTTTCCTTATGAATATTTCATATTGTTTATTTTAGTCTTCCTCCTACTAATTCAATTTCCATTATTAATTACTAATATAATTTTCAATATTTTGAAGCATTTATTGATTCTATGTAAAGATCTACTTATATGTTGTATCAATTTAGATTTTTTCAATATGAAATTATATTTTAATCTTTTGTGACAAAGCCCTACTTAAAAAGCGTAAACGACCCTATTTATCAAAATCAATCATAAATAAGTTTTTAGATCTTAAAAAATACTTATAAAATTGCATTCTTTCATAACATTATTTAATAAACTATTAGTATCGTTAATATAATTGATTGACAGTATTGTAAATCAATAAGTCTTACTATTTTCTAAGATCTAAATTAGTGGCATAAAGATATTGAGAGGAAGAGTCCTTAAATTTGAGAGTAATAACATTAGGTTAATTCTCAAATATCTCTTAGATCTAATATTGTTTATTAATTGTTTAAAGAATATTATCAATTAATAGATACTTTGAGCATCTTACTATTTCCAGACCAAACTCCAATATTGTGTCTCCAATAGATAAAATACTAAAATATTAGACTTTGATTTGTTATGAAGTATATATTACAAATTGAGCTAAATCTATTAAGGAATCCATGTAATTATATTTTTTAGATAACATAACAAATGATATAAAATTTGGATCTAATTGCATAATAAAATATTAGAAATCTGTGAGTTTTAGTATATAATTATGAGGATTTGTGTAGTATTATTTGATAGTATTCAAAGATTGAACTTCAGTTATTGATTGTAAATTAACTAATTCATCAAGGACATCTTTAGTGATATGGAATTCTTCAAATTTATCATCTTAATGAATTTGAACCTTTTAATCTTTGAGAAGTATGAAACTATAAGATTGGCATCCAATAAGTTAATTTAGAAAGGTGTTTAGAAATGCCTAGATATCCTTAGGTTCAACTTTCTCATCCATCAATTCAAGGAGTGAATTCATATAACGAGAATACCTTTGCTAAGTGTAACGACAATATTACCTTTATTTATTAATAATTTGATTAAAGTAATTCTATAAAGGAATAATCAATGTCTTCATCTTAATCTAATGAATTGAGTATGTTTCTTAGTTGTTCAATTTTAGACTTAAATTCTAAGGTAGTCTAATTCAATAATAAATAATACAAATTTTACATGTTTATTGGAATATTATTACATACATTTTAATTAGATAATTAGTTGATCCATAAGTTAGATGGTTTAAGACTATGTGAAATATGAATAAATCTAAAGTACTTATAATTGTTATCCTTATTTTTTTGATGGACTAAAACCTTGAGTATGTGATTTAGAACGAGTAATTTGAAATGAAGACAAGTATGATAGTAATTCTGATTTGATTTTGATGACTTCCTTTTATTTTGATAAAAGAAGCATTAGGGTTGGTTCTTTAATGGTTAATTTCTACTTGATGAGTCTTTTCTCTTATTATGAGATTAGACCTTCTGATTCCATATCTCCTAAGACTTGAAAGAAGTTTAAGTAACCACAAAGACTGGGTGTTTGAGAATCCTCTTATTTCATTTATTAATTAATGAAAAGAACAGTTGATATTTACAAAGCAAATGGAAAGAAACCAAAACAGGCGATAGGTAGCAAATCACAGACGTCTTATGCAGCATACTTGAATAGTGATGTTAAAACCATTGCTAAATTGTACTGATTGTTAGCATTTACATGAGGAAAGAAAATCTTACCCAAATCACCAACAATTACTTTATCAAGAATCTACGTATAGAATAGACACAAAAATCCAGTGCCAAATAGCTTAAGACCAATTTTTCTTAGTTACGATAACCAAGATCTGCTACAATTGATACAAAGAATTCTTAAAAAAGTATTTTGAGTTCTTTAAATTTTAGAAATATCTAGACCTTATGAATCATTATAACCAAAAAGATAAACAGCAGTTGAATCCACTTAGAATTTGATTAAACAATATACTAATTAAAAATAGAAAACCAATGTTGATAAAAGAAATTTATGGCACAATTTTGTAACAGAATCTATATTCATATTTTACAGCTTAATAATTCCATTATTGATTAATAAGTTCGTAGAGCTTAAAGTTCTAGTACTCATAACATGAGATAAGAACCAAAAAGTGATCTCAAATATAGATCTGCTTAATCTTTACATTATAATCCTGATTTCCTATAATTCAAACTATCTTTTAGTGCAAGAACAAGATAAGGTCAATTAGCATCCAATCCTAATAAAACTAATTAAGATACATTTATTTGTGAAACCAATATTGTCTCTGATATGCATTTATTCTCAGTATGTGATGGTCATGGATAAAATGGACATTTTGTATCATAATATGTTAGAGATCAATTTACAAAAATACTTAAAAGAGATCATTAATTAAAATAACATCCCAGATAAGCTATTGTTAAATCTATATCTCTTTTAGCAAATCTAATTAATTAATAACCATTTGATACTTAATTTAGTGGATCTACTATGAATACTATCTTAATTTAAGATGGTGGACATTTAATCTGTTCTAATGTTGGAGACAGTAGAGCAATCATTGGAAAATTAGGAAACAATTCTAAATTTAAACCATTCCCTTTATCAATTGATCATAAACCATGTCTTGAAAAAGAAATGAATAGAATACATATGCATGGTGGTAGAGTAGATACTTATTATGATGATTAAGGTATCATTCATTAATCCATTAGGTAATTCGATTGGACCAGCTAGAGTTTGGGTTAGAGATGGAAATTATCCAGGATTGGCTATGAGTCGTAGTCTTGGTGATTAGATTGCACAATCAGTTGGTGTTTCTAGTGTTCCAGGTAAATTATATTAATTTCTATATTTTTAGAGATATTTGAATATTAATTGACTCCTTAAGATAAATTTATTATTTTAGGAAGTGATGGAGTGTGGGAATTTATTGATAATCAAAGTGTAGTTGATATTGTAGGAAAGCATTACGTTTAAGGTGATCTAGAAGGAGCCTGTGATGAATTAATGTAAATATCTTATAAAATGTGGACTTTAGTATATATTTGTATAATTAATATAGGAAGATGATTCAGTAGTAGATGATATTACCTTTATAGTTATATTCATAAGCTGATTATATATTATCATTAATTGATATTTTAATTTAATCATATTAATAGATATGTGATTATTTATTTTTACTATAATTCTTTTGTTTAATGATGTTAATTACCTTAGAATTATTAAAATTTTGCTCTTGAATTTATTAATAGATTTAATACAAAAAAACTTAGAGATTAAAATTACAATTACTAAATTTAATCATATTTTAATAAAATATTTAATGATTAATAATCTTATTTAAATAAATAAATCATTTCTTGAATTTGATAGAATTAAAAAGGTGTTTTTCTTCTTATGATAGCTAACACATATGGATTACTTATCTATAATAGAAATCTGCCTTAACTTATTCATCTATTTTATGAAAACAACTTATTAATCTATAGTAATTCTTAACTTCATATTACTAAAATATTAATTAAACTAAAATAAATACTTTGTTTCTCATTTAACCAATTAAAGGTTCAAGTACTGATATTGCTTATTTATAATCTTATAACTTTATCAAACATTATGCCTTATTACTTGATAAAACTAATAAAGAATTCCTTTTGGCTTCAATAGCAACAGGATTGCTTTCAAATTTTTTAGGCCATTTTTCTAGAAAATTTAATCCTCTTTAATATCTTAATAATGCACTTTAATATTATTGTTTTTCATAAAATTAATTTCCTTCAATTTTAAATAATTCCATCTACTTTAGACGACTTAAAAGATATTAATATATATTACTTTTCTAAACTTGTTAAATCTATTGGAAGTTCAGGTTATGTTACTTCTAATATATCAATTTTGAAATATTTTTATAAATTCTAGACTGGAATTCCACTTGCAATTTCTTATTCTGTATACATTTATTCATTAGATAATTTGAACCAAGCAATATCACCTTCTTTCATTGTAAGAAAAGCAGATTTTAAACCTTATATATAAGGAATGCTAGATGCCATTGATATTTTAGTTGCCTAAATATTATTAGTACCCTTATTAGCAAGATTTCCTTCTAAATCTCTTTCTTCACATTTTAGTTTAATCTTTGATTTAACATTAATTTATTTAGTATTTTCTGTTGTTTCATTCTCAAAAACTATATATTTGATTAGATTTGAATTGATTTCTATTTATTTATATTAAGATAGTATAGAATCCATGTCTAATTTTTCTGGTAATTTTCTCTCTTTAATAACTGGAGGATTGGCTGGAGATGTTTAATGTTACAATTCTAAATCGTCTATTGAAAACCAATTTGATTAGTTCATTATTAATTATTCAACAACATTCTAGTCAAATTTATATATTATTAAAAAAATGAACTAAATTCAAAGTCTAAACAATTATTATATATATATTTAATCAGTCTTACAAAAATTAATCAAAAGATATTTTTTATAAACGATTAGTATGTCTATTTTATTTTGTCACTCTATCAAAATTCTTCTTATCTTTTTTTGTATCTTCTTATAATTCTGAGAGTTCTGTAATAATATGATTTAATTGATTATTTTTAATTAAATGTCTTAATGATAATTATCCTAATGATTAACTTGATTAATGAGATTTAATTCCTTTTGATTTAATAATCTCTGAATCTTTATATTTCTCTAATTCCCCTTAGATATCATAACTCTTTTATATTCTCCAATCTCTAAGTATTTTTTATCGTAATCTCTTCTCCCCTTCTATTGTACCCAATTACAATTTTGTTACTAATTCACGTTCATTAGTATAAGTTGTTTATTTATGTTTTTCAGTGAGGTTCTTAAATCTTTCCTTATTCGAATTCTAATCCCATTCCCAATGAGCAAATCTTTTTAGAACTCCTTTAGCTGTTTACATACTGAGTATATAATACATTATATATACTTAGATTACTTCAAATATTATCTACATTATTTTTTTGACCAAAGTTCACTTGTCAACATAGAACCTTATTTTTAATGTTGATAAATCCCACTCACAATTGGTCTTAATTATTCATCTTATTCTACTTCGGCCTTTTGAAATGAAAACTTTGCAAATGTTAATGGTCTTGTAGTAAGTGTAGATGTCAATTATTCAAACATTTTTTAATGATTCCTTAAGAACTTTTACTGAATCCGAAATTATTCATTGCTTGCTTCATCCAAAATAATATCATTCTATCCCAAAATATCCTTTATTCTTAACTTTAAAAAGTTTCAATGAATCAATACCTTATTCCTATTTTTCATATAGTAATAAATTATATTATTAACAAATTATAATAAAACTGAATAAGAATCAATTTAGGATACTATTTTAATATGATTTATTAATACATTATTAAATTAATCATATAACATTCAATATCTATATAATATCTATCTTTTAGTTCCAAATTCACTTTAATATATTGATCCTTGAATAATAATAAATTAAAATGAATTATATCTAACTACTGATATTTTGTTATTTAACTTATTAGATTCATAAAATTGAATATATCTCATCTTTTTTTGATAATCCAAAATTATAATTAATAGATGTAAATTTGAATGGTAAATATTAATATAGGTTTTTTAACAGACTTAATTTAATTTAATTGACCATAAATGGGTAAGAAGATTAATTCATACTATATTATAGTGTAGAAAGACAATCTACTCTTCTAAAATTAATAATGAGTAAACTATTAAATATTAAACAATCAAAACTCAGCAATACTTTTAATAAAAATAGAATGGAACATTAATATAATCATAGAAAATATAAAATTATATTTTAAAAGTGAGTAAGTCAATTTTAGAATTCGTTTATAGTTCAGATAGATGGCTTTATTTAAATATTCTAATAATCAAATGAATAACAATATTCTATAACCAAAATATTCATAATTCCTCTAAGTTATAATTTATTATACAGTATAAATGAGAAAATCTAGCATTAAAAATTATTTTAATTATTATATCCTATAGTAACTTTACGAAGATAATTGGTTGAAAAAGCTTAAATCCATAAAGATTATGAAAGTTGTTTAGTGCTCAAAGTTTAGATAAATAATCAATCAACTTATAAAAAATAGATATACTTTTCTGATTCACTGCAACTCCATAAAATTAAACATTTATTTGTATTATAGTAATTCTATAAAATATAAAATATAATTATATATCTTAGTCATTAAATAGATCTCAAAATGTAGCAAATTTCAATTATTGTTTAAAAATGAATTATTTACTTTTAAAATGGATTCAATTTATATTTCTTAGTTAATATACTATTGATTATTATAAATATTAATAATTTATTAAATCTTAAATGCAATTCATTTAGAATCAAATTAAGGTGATTTATCGTCACGTTCAAATACACCAAATTTTGATTTCTGAGATCCTGTAAATGCATTATAAAATACTAGTAATGACACAGCTAGACTTACATTTAAGGTTCTCTTTAGATAATAATTATAGGTATTTTCTAATCTTGCTTACAAAGGAATAGTTGATGCCCTCAAAGAATCAAGGATAGTTATAGCATCTTAATCCATAACATAGCCCAACACTATTCCTTAACATTAAACATTCTCTTTCGTTAAATGCAAAACAAGCTTATTTGCAGACACATCATATACTAATAAACCTTAATATATTATATTTATATTAACCTGTATCTGGATAATAAGTTGTTACTCCTGTCAAGACTTTTAAGGCATCAAAGGATCCTTCAAATATCATCTTGGTTTAATCACGCAATATTGTGTACTCCTAATTTTATAATAGGTTCTTTAAAATAGTGTTAGATTAAGTATTATGATATTTATTAAGGTTAATAGAAATATGGCCCATCTTTTACCCATTATCTCTTATGGTCATTCTATAGTTTAAGCCAGATCTAATAGAATTGTAATTAAGACTCTAAGCTTTGAGTACTTGCAATGTTTTTTTCATATGCTATTTCTATTTTATAATATTAATATCATGAATTAAATATACTTTTGAATTATTATTTCATTTTATTGAATAATTATTAATAAATCAATCAATTTAATTTAATAATAAGTATTTGCTAAGTAGAGTTCTTTCTTAATAATGAATAGAAAACTGATGAGGAATTATGTATTGTAATTTTTGATGTTATAATGTTTATTGTTGAATGATCATGGGAATATTNTTCTATAACCAAAATATTCATAATTCCTCTAAGTTATAATTTATTATACAGTATAAATGAGAAAATCTAGCATTAAAAATTATTTTAATTATTATATCCTATAGTAACTTTACGAAGATAATTGGTTGAAAAAGCTTAAATCCATAAAGATTATGAAAGTTGTTTAGTGCTCAAAGTTTAGATAAATAATCAATCAACTTATAAAAAATAGATATACTTTTCTGATTCACTGCAACTCCATAAAATTAAACATTTATTTGTATTATAGTAATTCTATAAAATATAAAATATAATTATATATCTTAGTCATTAAATAGATCTCAAAATGTAGCAAATTTCAATTATTGTTTAAAAATGAATTATTTACTTTTAAAATGGATTCAATTTATATTTCTTAGTTAATATACTATTGATTATTATAAATATTAATAATTTATTAAATCTTAAATGCAATTCATTTAGAATCAAATTAAGGTGATTTATCGTCACGTTCAAATACACCAAATTTTGATTTCTGAGATCCTGTAAATGCATTATAAAATACTAGTAATGACACAGCTAGACTTACATTTAAGGTTCTCTTTAGATAATAATTATAGGTATTTTCTAATCTTGCTTACAAAGGAATAGTTGATGCCCTCAAAGAATCAAGGATAGTTATAGCATCTTAATCCATAACATAGCCCAACACTATTCCTTAACATTAAACATTCTCTTTCGTTAAATGCAAAACAAGCTTATTTGCAGACACATCATATACTAATAAACCTTAATATATTATATTTATATTAACCTGTATCTGGATAATAAGTTGTTACTCCTGTCAAGACTTTTAAGGCATCAAAGGATCCTTCAAATATCATCTTGGTTTAATCACGCAATATTGTGTACTCCTAATTTTATAATAGGTTCTTTAAAATAGTGTTAGATTAAGTATTATGATATTTATTAAGGTTAATAGAAATATGGCCCATCTTTTACCCATTATCTCTTATGGTCATTCTATAGTTTAAGCCAGATCTAATAGAATTGTAATTAAGACTCTAAGCTTTGAGTACTTGCAATGTTTTTTTCATATGCTATTTCTATTTTATAATATTAATATCATGAATTAAATATACTTTTGAATTATTATTTCATTTTATTGAATAATTATTAATAAATCAATCAATTTAATTTAATAATAAGTATTTGCTAAGTAGAGTTCTTTCTTAATAATGAATAGAAAACTGATGAGGAATTATGTATTGTAATTTTTGATGTTATAATGTTTATTGTTGAATGATCATGGGAATATTNTTAGAATTCGTTTATAGTTCAGATAGATGGCTTTATTTAAATATTCTAATAATCAAATGAATAACAATATTCTATAACCAAAATATTCATAATTCCTCTAAGTTATAATTTATTATACAGTATAAATGAGAAAATCTAGCATTAAAAATTATTTTAATTATTATATCCTATAGTAACTTTACGAAGATAATTGGTTGAAAAAGCTTAAATCCATAAAGATTATGAAAGTTGTTTAGTGCTCAAAGTTTAGATAAATAATCAATCAACTTATAAAAAATAGATATACTTTTCTGATTCACTGCAACTCCATAAAATTAAACATTTATTTGTATTATAGTAATTCTATAAAATATAAAATATAATTATATATCTTAGTCATTAAATAGATCTCAAAATGTAGCAAATTTCAATTATTGTTTAAAAATGAATTATTTACTTTTAAAATGGATTCAATTTATATTTCTTAGTTAATATACTATTGATTATTATAAATATTAATAATTTATTAAATCTTAAATGCAATTCATTTAGAATCAAATTAAGGTGATTTATCGTCACGTTCAAATACACCAAATTTTGATTTCTGAGATCCTGTAAATGCATTATAAAATACTAGTAATGACACAGCTAGACTTACATTTAAGGTTCTCTTTAGATAATAATTATAGGTATTTTCTAATCTTGCTTACAAAGGAATAGTTGATGCCCTCAAAGAATCAAGGATAGTTATAGCATCTTAATCCATAACATAGCCCAACACTATTCCTTAACATTAAACATTCTCTTTCGTTAAATGCAAAACAAGCTTATTTGCAGACACATCATATACTAATAAACCTTAATATATTATATTTATATTAACCTGTATCTGGATAATAAGTTGTTACTCCTGTCAAGACTTTTAAGGCATCAAAGGATCCTTCAAATATCATCTTGGTTTAATCACGCAATATTGTGTACTCCTAATTTTATAATAGGTTCTTTAAAATAGTGTTAGATTAAGTATTATGATATTTATTAAGGTTAATAGAAATATGGCCCATCTTTTACCCATTATCTCTTATGGTCATTCTATAGTTTAAGCCAGATCTAATAGAATTGTAATTAAGACTCTAAGCTTTGAGTACTTGCAATGTTTTTTTCATATGCTATTTCTATTTTATAATATTAATATCATGAATTAAATATACTTTTGAATTATTATTTCATTTTATTGAATAATTATTAATAAATCAATCAATTTAATTTAATAATAAGTATTTGCTAAGTAGAGTTCTTTCTTAATAATGAATAGAAAACTGATGAGGAATTATGTATTGTAATTTTTGATGTTATAATGTTTATTGTTGAATGATCATGGGAATATAGATCAAATATTATGTTTATAAATCAATCAATCATATACAGGAACGTAATCTAAATATAAATTAGGTTTGCATTCTACAATATTTGGATTTAATGATAATTCATCTACATTTAACATTTCCAAATCCTCTATTACTCGTTTTTAACTTCTTTTAACTCTTTTTTATGTTTCATATTAAATGAGTTTCATTTCAGGAGAAGGTGATTTAGTAATAATCTTATCATCATTTTCTCTTGATTACTTTTATCCTCTTTTTTTGTCTCTTTATTCACTATTTAATTTCCTTGTTTCTCTTTATTCACTATTTTATTTACTATTAACACTTCTCAATATTTCTTTAATGTCATTAAAACCATTAATTGTTTATTTTTCCTTCTCTTTTTTTTCTTTTCTTTATTTTTTTTCACTTTTTTCATTTTTCTCTTTTTTTTCTTCATTTTTCTATTTTTTTTCTGGATTTTTCTTTTTTATTGAAATTTAATTATTAGAATTTTATTCATTTTAATCTTATTATTTTTCTTTTTAATCCTAAAATAAATCATTTATTTTCTAATGTATTTCTTAATCACTATCATCATCATTATTATTATTTAATCCAAATGTAAAAAACATGGTTTTTGATTTATCTTATTTTTTTTCTGATTTTGGTAGAGTTGTTTCAGGTAAAGCAATTTCATTAGGATTATATTTATTATTTTTTTATATAGATTCTCTATCTTTATTACTAACACTATCTCGTCCATCAGAATTTGATCTTAATGTTGAAAGATGATTATTAGCAATCCTTTTTCTTTATTTTGGAAATTTTGGTAATCTTATATTTGGTTTATTTTATATTTTTGGTTCAATAGGTTCTTTAAATTCTTTATATTCTTTCATATCATTAAATTCTTTATAATCTATAGTTAATTGAACATCTTTATAATCCATTATTGATTATTATTCTTTAGATATTGTTTTCTTATTATCTTTTTATGATTCTTTTTATTCTTTTGATTATTATTTCCTTTCTTTACTTTAAGTTTTTTTCTTTGATGTTTTTTTCTCATTATCATTTTCATTATCATTATCATCTTCTTCTTCTTATCTTCTTTTTTTTCCTTTATGCTAATCATTAAATATAGGTTTATCTCCAAATACATCTTCAAAATTTTCATCATATTTAGCCAAAAAGTCAGCTTAACCCATTTTAGGTAATGGTTTCTTTCTTGAATTGTAATTCTATAATTGTTGGATATTTTATTTCTTAAATTATGGAATTTCTTAGTGTTCTGGAATTTCATCTTGATCCTCTTCAGAACCAGAAACATCTTCAATTTAAAAAGAGCTTCTATTATGTGAACTTGCAAATATTTTATTTAAGAAATTCATGATATATATTTAAGCTGAAGTGGACTATAATATATTGATAAAATTATGGAGGCTTTTTAATTAAAATTATAACGAATGAAAAATTACAAATAACAACTATAATACTTATTGTAAAAACCTATTGCAAGTCCTTAATTCAGATAAATATTTCTTGAATGTGATCAATATCAAATGATAGTTTAAGTACTAATAGAAGCAAAATCAGATAAGATTAGTGTAGTTAAAGAATAATTAAAATTATTTGGATTATTGGCTGAATGTGCTAATGAAAATTTAAGTCCTCTATTACCTATGATATTCACACATTTGTTAAAAAGAATTAAAGATTTTGAATCAATGAGTTGTGTTTGTACTCAAGTGGCTGAAATTATAGGAAAAATAGTGAAACTTTGTTGTTTTGATGGAGATGTATTAAGTAGTATTTTGAAACCACTAATGAATCATTTAAATTAGAATGCATAACATGCTTTATGTTTGACAAGAGTAGTCTAATTTTTATCATTTGAAATCTTAGAACAAAATGCTTTATTTTTATTTCGGAAATTCATATCATTATTGAATCAACAAAATGGGAAAGTAGAAATCTTAGAAGGAATGGCTGCAATAATTTTAAGTGTGGAAGAATAATCAGAGTATAATAATAATTAATTTATTTTAGTATCTTTGCTGATGAAATAATTCCACATTTATAATAATTATTATAGAATTAATAATGGTAAGTAAAGAAGATGGCTTTAGATATATTATATTCACTGGTTGTATTATAAAAAGAGAAAATATAGGAACATTCATATTTTAAGGAAATAATGTATGAATTAAAATCAAATAAAGTAATTATTAAAATAAATTATATTAGATAAAATAAATAAGAGATTCTGCAAATTTAATATTGGATGTATTATAATAGAATAATTAATAATAATAATAATAATAATGTTCATCATAATCTTAAATTGATTAATAAGTTACGTCTGTTGAAAGATAAACTAATTATGTTTGTTAAATTAAATCCTAATCTTAACCTTAATTATTTATTAATACAACAAATAAGTAATCATATTCCAATAATGCAATACCTCAATTACCATAAACTCCTTCTTAACAATAAATTAATAGATTATCTTAAACACCTGCTTAAAATAATAAAAATAACACAGATGAAAAACTATAATTAGCTATCGATGCAATCTAATTATTAAGTGGAATATTAAAAACTAAAGGTATTTGTGATTCCACAGAAATCTAATAAATAGATTCTATATTGAATAGATTAAATGAAAGAGATAGTTATAGATAACCTACAATGAAATTTTCTTAATTTAATGATACTGAGACATTTATTAGTAAGGAAGCAGCTGAGATCTTGAGAGAATTTAAAGAGAAATAAAGATCAGATTATTTAAGATGATTATATAAACTATTATCTTTTATGAAATCGCGTAAATATTTAATTAATAAATATCCAAAAAACTAAATCATGTCACAATCCTATTTTTCTGGTCTTATGAGTTGGTATATATATATAATTGAATAACTTAGGATGAAAAAGCATAATGGTAATAACCAATTAGTTATTGGTCAGAGATCCATCAGTCTATTTATCATAAAGATGTATTTGCATGATCGACTAGTACAGAAATCCTAATACAAATTGAATTCAAACTAATCAATTCAATTCAAGGATTCAATCGAATAAATATGTTAAATCTCAGAATACAATTAAAAAAATAATTTCGAAGAAGTACAATATCAGTTTTATTTCTTAGAAACTATTATCTTAACTTACTCTTGTAGATTAAGATGAAATATTTGATACTATTTGTATTAGAGGAGATATGATTGAAATAATCACTTTGTTGAGAGATTGTTCTAATGGGAAGGCATTTACAGAGTAATTGAAGATTATTGAAAATAATAAATAGTTAAAGGTTCAAGATGCTAGTTGGTTTGATTCTACTCAACCTTAAAGTTGTATTAATTGGATAATAAATGAATTTGAAAAGTAAGTAACTTTGCTCTATTATAAACACATTAATTTCATTAATCATGAATGTATTTAATAATATTGGATAAACAATGGAAATAATATAAGGAAGAAAGTAATTGATTGTATATCAAGTGTCATTAAAATAGATCAAAATATTTTTCTTTAATAATATTCTAATTTCATTAAGGATCATTCAATAAATCTTTAAAACATTCTTAATAAGTTTAATGATAATTAAATTGAATCCATATTCTATTTACCATTACATAATGCTTTAACTCTTTAAAGTGTTTGTGAAAAATTGGTGCTCTAAATAATTAGAGAATCATATAAATAATCAATATTATAGGAATTAGAATGTTTAACAAAGAATGATTAAAATTTGCAACCACAATAAGTATCTTAATAGAAATTAAAAAAAAAGAAGAAATAAAATAAATAAAAGAAATTAGTATAATAAGCAACATAGAATTAATTGCCTATTGTTATTTAGAAAGAGTAAGAAAATTTAGATGTTATTACTGATGATAATTAAGACACTGAAGATTGGATTATAGTTACTAAAAATAAAAAATAGAAATGTCCTAATAATATTAATCCAAGTTGTTCAAATAAAGAAAAATAATAGAGTATAGAATAATAAGAACAATAATCTTAGATATAAGATAATAAGATTTCAATGGAAATTGAGGAAACAAATAAGAGTAATATTCAATAATAATTATAATAATAAGATAAAATATAATAATAAGAGTAATAATTAACATAATTAGATTAATAAATATAATAAAAATAATCAGATTTATAATAATAATAATAATATGATTAGAATTTAAGTACACCTGAAAAGAAAAAGTTAATTAGAAAGAATTTAGTGTTACCTAAGAAAGTTGAATAAAATGAAGAACTTATTGATGAAAATCTTATGAATCAATCCTTTTAATAAATGATAAAAAAATTAGATCTTGATATTAAAGAATTTATAGATTAAATAAGAAGAGAAAATGATTAACAATTTCCAATTAGATAGTTAATTTTTAACAGAATTCAATTCACAATTTAATTATTATTTAAAGATGCTGGTGTATTTCTATTTGGATCATGTGCAACAAGATTGGCACTCCCTGATAGTGATATTGATATTGGAATCACTGGTCTGGAAACTCATTTATTAAATTAAAAAATGGATATTATAATTGAATTCTTATGTAAAATGAATTGGATTAAACGTATAAAGTATATTCATTTATTTATGTTAGACCTATCTATCCTACTTAAAATACTTTACCTCTTATAAAATTATGGGTTGATCCTAGTATTCCATTTAGAAATGGAAATATGAATTTACCTAATATAGATCTTGTTTGCCAATCATAATTAATTTAAGTAGATATCAGTTTCTTTGGACACATATAGCATTAAGGATTGATATCAACAGAACTCACTTGCTATTGGCTCTAAGAATATTAAGAGTTAAAAACTATCACTCTTTTATTTAAAAGTTTACTTAAAAAGAGAGGATTAAATGATTAATCTAAAGGTGGAATTTCATCGTTCTGTTTAGTACTAATAGTTGTGGCCTTTCTGGAGTACTATTATTAATAAAACGCTGGATTTCATTCAATTGGATTGGCAACATATAAATTTCTAGAATTTTATGGAACAAAATTCAATCCTCATTCTATGGGAATTTTTTATAAAGGATTTGATTAGAAGTATTAATTTTATTAATCATTAATAGTCCATTTTTTTATTTAGAAAAAGAGGACTTCTAGTTAACAATAATTAGTCCTATTACTTATGATATCATTAGTCAAAGTAGTTCATTTGTATAGACTATACTTTAAGATATCAATGGATTATTCAATGCATGTGAAAATGAAACTAAATTCTTCTATGAGAAAGCTAAATTTAATAAGAAAAAGAGAGGAAAGAAAGAGGAACGAAATTTATTTTATAAAGAATTTGCAAAACTTACACCACTATTTAGTACTTGATTATATATATAAATATTAAATTGAATGAGTACACCAATTAAGATTGTGATGCTTGGAGAGGGTGAGTCATATTGATTTAATCTTTAGGCAGAGTAGGCAAGACTTGTTTAACTTTAAGATATTGTTAAGATCAATTTAATGAGAATTAAGAATCATCAGTCAATGCCACATATTTTGATAAAGTTGTAGATCTTGGAGGTGGTAAAGACATTAAATTAGCAATATGGGTATATAAATATTTAATTTTTAAAGGACACTGCAGGTTAAGAAATATTTCATGCATTGACCACAGTATATTATAGAGATGCATATGGAGCTGTACTTGTTTATGATGTCACTTATAAAGAATCATTTCTTAAAGTATAACATTCAAATCAACTTATAGGTTGAAAAATGGGTAGAAGAGTTAAGACAATTTGGAACTAAAGATATTTCAATTGTTGTTGCAGGAAATAAATGTGACATGAAAAATTAAATGTAAATTGATAAAAACGAAGTCGAAGAATATTGCAAAAAGATTGGAGCAAAACATTTCTTTACTTCAGCCAAAGCTGGGATTGGAATTACTGAATTATTTAGATCTTTAGGCGAAAGTATACATTAAATTAACTTAGGCATCTCAATCAAAGTCTAGGCTTAAGAAAGCAAAGGCAAGAAAAAGAAAGGTCTCTAAATCAAAGATGTTAAAGACACTAAGAAATCAAACTCAAAAAATGATGGATGTTGTTGAATTAACATACGGAATTCTTCATAAATATATATTTTATATTCTATATTATAGAATCAATCTAATCCCTCAGGAATCCCTTCATCATCTCCTTAAATTGTTTTAGGTTGAACTAAATTTTAAGACATCTTTTTTATAGTATCAATCTCTAAAAATACTTATTATGCATACATGTATGAGCCTTTCTATTTTTCCTTTGAAATTCTGCATTTGGTTTTTTAATTCCTTTGGTTACATAACCTATCATTTTTTGAAATCCTGGAATTTAACCATCTCCCAATTCCCAGATAGGCAATCTACCTTCACTGACTACATCTTCACTTTGATGATAATTATTCATTTTGGATGTGGCAACCGAGGGATTTAACGAAGGTAAATAATCTATTAATCCACTTGAGTTTAATTAAGGTATTTGCAAAAATGAATTTTATTATGGATATGGTTTTAGATTTAAGATTCCGAAAGAAGGCATTTAAGTAGGAATTTCAGGTTCTGCTATATTTATCATAATAGGATCTTTCTTTTTTGTTTTATGACTAATTGTTTTTTTAGTACTTTTCTTTTTCTTTGTATCTTGCATAATTTATTCGAAAGTCTAAGGAACTGCTTTAGGTGGTTCCTTTTATTTAACTAAATTAACTTTTTCCTCTTTGCTACTTTATTACATTATATGAACTGTAAGATGCTTTTTTTTTTATTAGTACTCAGGAAGTTTCTCCCAATCATATTAAAATTATCCTTTCCGTTCCTTTTGAATCTATTCCAATTCCTCTTAGAAATAGCTCTTCAATAATTAATAATTTGGTTATTATTTAAATTCATAACCTCTAACATCTTGCATGAACTTTGTGAAACACTATTTTATTATAGAAATTAAATACTCTTGGCAATTTGGCACATAATACCTCTGGTTTGATTGATTTCTTCATATAATGGATTTTTGCATATTTTAAATCCTTCTATTCAATCTATAGATTCATCCATGGTAGAGTACCACTTGCCAAATATATCAATACATATCCAATACTTTCTAAATCATCCTTCCTTGATTATTCCATTTCATCATGAGCACTAATGCTAGCATATCTGGCAGTACCAATCAAACCTGCTTTCTTTATATATTAAATGTGATCCCCTTTTGAATTCTATATTAGTTATATCTAATTACAATATAATGTTTTGAAAGTCCAAAATCAATTAGATAAATCACTTTAGGTGATGGGCCTGCTTCAAGTACAAAATTATCAGGTTTTATGTCTCTATGCAAGAAGCGACAATTATGGAGGGTTTCAATTCTATCTATCATCTATTAACTATATATTGTATCATTAACCTACTTGTATTGCGATCTTTAATGACGTTCCCAAATCAAAATTGCCTCCACATTTTCTTACTACAGATTCTAAATTCTTTCCTAGCATTGTCATTATACAATATGTGAATCTCTTTTCTTAACCATAAAACTTTATTTAAGGGAAGCCAGTTTTTTTTCTAATATTTATCATCCTACTGTCTACCTCAATTCGATCAATACTTTGATTTCCTTCTCCAACATACTATAATCTTCTTCCTCAACTTCTACTTTCATTGCCATTACCTAATCCCCACTTTTCTGATCTATCACTTTATAAACCTACCCGAAAGAGCCCTCTCCAATTTTCTAACTTATACTGAATCTTCCTTAAATTACATCTCCAATCTAATAATTTTGAAATCCATTACTTTCAATTCTTCATCATCTTCATCACTTTCGTAATGATGTTTCATCTGTTTTATTATTAAATATAAAAAATACTTATGACTGATATTCATAGATACAAATATATATTATCATTTTTATCAATAATGTTTACTTATTCTACTTTTAAATATATAAATTGTATCCAAATAAATTCAACAAAATCTATGTTTAAGATTGTTTTGAAATTCTACTTTATAAATAAATAACAAAAAATACTAAATTGGATAATAGTTTTTATGATAAAAATTAATTGTTGTTGAAAATAATTAAGACTTTAATTTTTGATAATACAAATATATATAAATAATATATATGATTAAATAATTGAAATTTATTTTAAAACCTTATCGTATTCAATACAATAATGTAGTTTACATTGAATTATTTTACTTTTTCAACTTTATTTTTTTTATATTCTATTATGATTTATTTAAATTAAGATCAATGAAATAATTATAGATTGATTAAGTTATTTTTCAATTTTATAATTTTTTATTATAAATTTATTTAATAGATTTAAGTAGAATTAAAGTAAGAGAATTTATTATTTGATATTAATTCTATTTTCTAGATATAATAAACAAAAATAAGAAAAGATTTTATAATTTAATAAGATGAACACAATTATTTTATAATATCTTTTGGATAATTTAATATATACTTATATGTTTACTACTTATAGAAAAAATAATATAGTTTAATTCATTATTTGATAATAAATTCATTAATTCCATCTTCTTACTACTTCTGTATTTAAACTAGCTATAAAGTTGACTACTGCATTGCCTTGATCAAGGGAAATTTCAGCAGCTTGTACACCTTAGGCTAATGCCATTAAAAATTATGAAGCTGCTCTAAATTAATTCCAAGTGTTGGCTTATTTAGCTGCAGCGCATTAAAAAGAAGCATCTTTAATGAAATACCCACCACATTTGTTTAAATGATTTTTACAAAATATATCACCATATTAGCTAATAAAAGATTACTCAGAACATTCTTTATGATGCCAATTTCGTATATCTGAAGATTTGCATTAACAATCAGGGGGGCAGCAGCATTTCAATGGTATTACTTAGCCCCTATTGACTCCTCCTTTTGGTGGATAAACTAACATAAGTTAAGAAATATTAATAATAAATTTAGAGGAAGATCTTCACAACTTTATAAAAAAAAATATTCTATTAAATATATATTATTTTTTCTTAAATTAATATAAAATGATCATATATTTATACCAGAGTTAATTTTAATTCAAATATAAGTATAATTTTTGATAAAAATAATATATAGAATAACAAATCTTAGAAATCAAATTTTTTCTTACACTCTTTCCTTCATTTTTGCAAAATATTAAACAATAGGGTAAAAAATACAATAGTTCTTTCAATTAAAATTTGAAATTCTCCCAATTTAATCCCACAGATAAATGAAATTAACCTACATTCCTTCCTATTCAAGTTTAGCAACTTTAATTTAAAAATAATGAAAAAAAATAAAATAATCAAATTTCTATCTTACGTAATCCATGAAAAAATAATTAGTTCCACCCTACTTTTATAATTCTTTAATCTAAATTTTGGAACCATATTTTGAAAATGATAAATTAATTTATTCTATTAAATATAAATTTAAATGAATTGGTCCCATTCCTCTAGTGAAGTTATTATGCTTGACTTATAAACATATTAGTACACTGTTTTATGTAACTAAATACTTAAGAGAATATCATAAATAAATAATAAATTATGTTTTTTATAATATTACAAATTTCTTAACATAATAAATATTATTAATATAAAATATGATTGACGATTAAAAATATATTTGTTAAGAACACAAAATAGAGGCAACTTTGATTTGTTGTATCTCTTAATGGCATTGTGAGCCTTTATGTGTTGAATGTATACCAAATCACACTATGCAACACAATAAGAATAAAACTTAATCATAAATAAAAAAATATTAGGATGTTGCACAAGAATGCTAATAAAAATTCAATTAGTTTAATAATGAATTAGAGAGTTTAAAAAATCAAATTATTTAAGTTTATATCTTATATTAATTAATTAGGAAATAAATAATCCATATGAGGATGACAATTTAAAGAATCTTAAACTATGGAAGGATTAATACCTTTCATTTTTTGAATCATACTTTAATAATTTAATAGCAGATTACAATTTGAAATTAAAATAATTTAAGTAGAATCAAACTGATTAATTTCAAAAAGTAATTCAAAATATAGAAAAATTATCAAATCAATATTAAACATTAAAGAGTGAATTGAATATATATACCTTATCTAAATAAAAAGAATTAGATTAACTGAAAGATAATTTTCAACAAATATAACAATTAAAGATCAAGCAAAACTACTCATTAAATCTTTTTGAGTAATAACAAATTAAAAATAAGATAAATGATCTCGTTTTAATTGAAGATAATGACTAAAAGGAGTAAATTTAATAAAAGTAAGTTAAGAAGGATTTTGTACCGTAAAAAAGTACTGTATGTCCCTAATGTGGCACATAGATGACTTATGTAAGTGATTTTAAGAAACACATGGAATGTCCAAAATGCACTAAGATCAAGAGGCCAAATACTTTAAAAAAATGATTAAATACAACAACTACATATATTATTGTTATGTAAACAATATTTGAATTTTTATGTATTTTAGTATTTCAAAAAATATTGAATTAAATTAGTAAATGTAATCCATTACATCCTTATGTACNTGAAAAAAAATAAAATAATCAAATTTCTATCTTACGTAATCCATGAAAAAATAATTAGTTCCACCCTACTTTTATAATTCTTTAATCTAAATTTTGGAACCATATTTTGAAAATGATAAATTAATTTATTCTATTAAATATAAATTTAAATGAATTGGTCCCATTCCTCTAGTGAAGTTATTATGCTTGACTTATAAACATATTAGTACACTGTTTTATGTAACTAAATACTTAAGAGAATATCATAAATAAATAATAAATTATGTTTTTTATAATATTACAAATTTCTTAACATAATAAATATTATTAATATAAAATATGATTGACGATTAAAAATATATTTGTTAAGAACACAAAATAGAGGCAACTTTGATTTGTTGTATCTCTTAATGGCATTGTGAGCCTTTATGTGTTGAATGTATACCAAATCACACTATGCAACACAATAAGAATAAAACTTAATCATAAATAAAAAAATATTAGGATGTTGCACAAGAATGCTAATAAAAATTCAATTAGTTTAATAATGAATTAGAGAGTTTAAAAAATCAAATTATTTAAGTTTATATCTTATATTAATTAATTAGGAAATAAATAATCCATATGAGGATGACAATTTAAAGAATCTTAAACTATGGAAGGATTAATACCTTTCATTTTTTGAATCATACTTTAATAATTTAATAGCAGATTACAATTTGAAATTAAAATAATTTAAGTAGAATCAAACTGATTAATTTCAAAAAGTAATTCAAAATATAGAAAAATTATCAAATCAATATTAAACATTAAAGAGTGAATTGAATATATATACCTTATCTAAATAAAAAGAATTAGATTAACTGAAAGATAATTTTCAACAAATATAACAATTAAAGATCAAGCAAAACTACTCATTAAATCTTTTTGAGTAATAACAAATTAAAAATAAGATAAATGATCTCGTTTTAATTGAAGATAATGACTAAAAGGAGTAAATTTAATAAAAGTAAGTTAAGAAGGATTTTGTACCGTAAAAAAGTACTGTATGTCCCTAATGTGGCACATAGATGACTTATGTAAGTGATTTTAAGAAACACATGGAATGTCCAAAATGCACTAAGATCAAGAGGCCAAATACTTTAAAAAAATGATTAAATACAACAACTACATATATTATTGTTATGTAAACAATATTTGAATTTTTATGTATTTTAGTATTTCAAAAAATATTGAATTAAATTAGTAAATGTAATCCATTACATCCTTATGTACAGAACTTCTTAATATTATTTCCATACTAAAATTATTCAATAAATAATATTTATTAATTAATAAAAATTCAACAACAAATGAAACAAATATATTTTAAATTTTTACGCAATAATTTTTAAATCAAAATTTTTGTAAAAATGATTGTTAACCTTAAGAAAACTTCAAAATGAAAAGAAATTTTAAATCTATATTTTTAATACTATTTATGGGTCGTTACAATTTAAATAATAAATTATTAAGGAAAACCTATGGATTCATTGATAGAAAAATGGAAAAAGACTACCTAAAGTGCTTCTAGATATAGTGAATAGAAATTAAAAAAAAAAGAAAGGGATTCCTCATCATCCTCAGAAAGCTCTTAAGAATAAAAAATTGTTAATAACATCAATAAGAATTCACCTCAAACTCTAAATACTAAGAGTTTACAATAGTCAATTTAATCCTCAGGCAAGAAAGCAACCTAATAATCTTTACCAAACTCAGGAAATAAGAAGTTTCTCAAACCATAAACTTTTTCATAATTACTTGATTTTTATACATCCTAATTCTAAACCTTATTTAAAAGCAACATATTACCATCATAGTTAAATGATTAGATTAAGACTATTTTAGTAGATTATGCTGAAAATTTATAATCTCTAAGTGCATCTGGATTTTCAGGAGCCTAAATTGAAGAATTGCAAAATAAATTGAATCAAGCTGAATAACAAATATTTACATTAAGAAATAGCAATGCTAAAGATGATTTTAGCAAAAAAATTATAAATGAATTAGAGGATAAGCTCATGGATAGTGAAAAGCAAAAAGTCAAATTAAAATAATAAAAAGAGTAAATGCAAATGCAAATTGAGAAAATATCAGAATCCTTAGGAAAATATTAAATTAATTAAGAACTAATACATTAGCTGAAATAAGAAAATTTATAATTAAGAAAAAATAATGATGTCTTGGTTACTTAAATTTCTGAATTAAATACTCAAAACAAAGAATAATAAGTATTATGGAACTAATAAATAGAAGACTTAATTAAAATGATGGATATTTTAAGAAAAACCTAGAGTTCTTGAATATTTATATATGAATCAATTTTTAATCTCTTTAAATGATATATCAACATTATCTAATCAAATAAATTCATAATACAATTATTTACATCGTAATCTGCAGTCTATATTAATTTAAAAATAAAATTATTTATAATTATGAAATATAATAAATTTGATTCAATTCAATATGGTAATTTTTTATTATTAGGATTTAAAATTTAATTTCTTAATGATTATGATTATTATGATTATTATGATTATTATGATTATTATGATTATTATGATTATTATTATTATTATGATTATTATGATTATTATTCAGTAATTTTTGTTTATTTATCCTTTTCTCTGATAATTTGTTATGTATTTGTATATATCAAATTAAGTATATTTTCTGAAGATTAAGTTTTTAACAGTTAGTCCTTTTTATCAACTATGGATTATAATTCTTGTACAGTTTTTTCAAGTTTGAAAACTTCATCTTATTTTATTTATAGTTATTTGCATTGTTCTAGGAATGTTTACTTATCTTACATTTTACAACATTTAAGCTTTTCTTCCAAATTTTTTTGTACATGATTTAGTTACAATTATAGTTCTTCTTCTTTAGTGGTAATGAATTATAACAGTAAATCGCCAAATACATATTTAGTATCTTAAACTGACAAATTAATTTCAAATTATTATTAAAGACTCTTGATATTTTCAATAGTAGTTTCATATTTCAAATATTATTCTTTCTGTTCAACTTTTAACTAATTTATCTAGTCATTAACCAATTTTTAAGTATTGTCTTTAATTTTTTGTTTTTCATTAACTAAAAAATTTTATTTTATTTTCTATTCTTTTTTCAATTTATCATATTCCTCTAATAAATCATTTTTAAAATGTTCAACATGAGTAGTTTTGCAGCATCTTAAACAATGATAATCTAAATCGCTTGATTATAAGCAATTAATGTCTATACAAATTGAAGATTTAGTTGTGAAATGCTGATTGCAATAGCTGTAAGGAAGTTTTGGCTAAAAAATTGATTCTATTTGAAATGATTGCAGTTCAATTTCAATAATTTTATATTCATTAATATCCTATTACTTGAGATATTCTAATTTTTAATTGAGATCATCAACTAAATCATTAATAATTTTCTTAACTTATTATTTTGTAATTTCTTATTTCCTTTGAGCTATTTTATCTGAAAACTTAGCAAAAAATATATAGATATCAAGCGAAGGATTTGAATCTTGCATTAACTATTATGCTTTAGTTTTATTGGTATTTAATTTTTAACTTTATTGATCAACAAAAGTAAAAATACTTTTTTACAAATCAGAAAGCATTTTCATGATCTTTCCTTAAATCTCTTTAATAGATTATTCCACACTTTTTTTTAAGTTCTCATTTTCATCTATATCACTTTACAAAATTTAGATGTATTGATTGTAATTATTAATGGCCATCCCTCTTAATACATTATAATTCACCCCTCTATGTTAACACAAACATTTTTAACAGAGAAGTTTATTATTTTTAAGGTCAATACATTACAATTCATTACATATATAATTTAGCTCCTCTTTATCATGTCCCTCGATCAAACAAAATTCTTATTTCATGATAGAATTTGAGATTAAATAAATTAATTAATTTAGAACATTTTATTGAACAGATTTAAATTGTATAATTCTCTTTCTTTTTTATATTTACTTTATAACAATATTTCAATAAGTATTTAATTTAATACTTCTTTCTATTCAATTTATGTTAAATTACCAATATTTTCTAATTATTTGTACTAATTTTACACTTGAGCCAATAATATAATGAATCCCTTCATCAATTAATTCCAATAATTCCAATAACCATAGTTACGGTATTAAGAAGCTAACTTGATAACGATTACATAATAAATCCAATTTAACTTAAATCCTGTTTTAAAAGGTTTCCTTTACAAATGTATACAGTAAAATTTATCTAATAACCTTAAGATCAAAATGAAGAGGATTAAAATTTTGATTATTAGCCTAGAGAAGAAGAACAAAGTTCAAGTTAAGAGTATTATCTTTAAGAAGAAGATATTTTAATATTAGTTAATTTTCAAAATTTTATTTCTTTATATCAAAATCTTTGACATTAGTTTGTATAGAATAATTTGATTATCTAGAGTTTAATTTATAAGCAAGCTTAAAAATTCGTGATCAAATTTGATATCATAATTGTATATTATCCTCATATTACTATTTTTTACTTAATAATTTATAAACGTTTGTAATTATTTCTCCTGAATTTACACTAATAAATTACTAGTGTTAAAGACTTAACAATCTAGATCTTAAAGTCTCTAAACCATTATTTTGATTAATTGTTAATTGTGGTGATTAGCAGCATAAATCTATAAAAGAAGAATTAAAACAATTTTTCAGACATATTCAAATTTTCAAATATTTAGTTTTCTAAGATGAGTAGCTGTTTCTAATTATCTAATCAATTATTCTATTTCTACATCTTGAGAATTAGTCTATAAGAAATTTATTAATTTATCCTCCAATCGATCAGCTCCATTTCCTATTCCAATTACAATAGTAATTCTCTTTATTTGAAGATACGTTATTTTAGAAATAAATTAAAATTATTTTAGTTCTATTAGGTTTATCTAGAATTTCTTTTTCAATGAAGGATCCCATAATTGTCTTATTTTACTTTAAATAATATATTTATCCTGCCATTCATCAGAATCAGAAACAGGATACAATATATCCTTATGATATAAAATTTATATCTATAGTTTTCCATGTTTTTATTTAAATTACCAATTGGGAATTCAGTCAAAGTCTTTTAAAGTTTATCTAGAATATAACATAAACTCTAAATGCTATATTCTTCTTGGAGAATATTGGATTCAATTAATTGTTAAACATTGAGAATTGCAATAGGTTCTATTGAATTTGATAAAATGGTTTCCATATCTTAGAGATTAATTTTAAAAATTCAATCCTTCTGTCGTTATTTCTTTGTATAAAATATACTCTGTTTAATATTTAAGAATTTATGCCAAAAATAATATTTTATATTATTCTGATTATTTTAAACTCTTTTGTAATAGTGTTAGACAAGTTTGAATTACAGATTCTTTTAGGTGAAATCAATAATAGTAGTTGTATAAAATACAAAAAAGAGCCTTTTGAATTTTTTTCCTTAAAACTTTGAATCCTCTAAAAGCTCAGATTGTAAATGATCTAAATAGATTTGGAAGATTCCTCTTTGATTAGGTAAATCTAAATTTGAGTGTTAATGTTGATTTAATTGTAATACTGAGAGTTATGAATTATATGTGATAAAGTTTTTAGAAAATTAAAGTATAAAATCTTTTACTAATAGATTTGGATTATAGAAGGTGAAGGAAATCATTTAAAAATAAACTTATGACATTAAAGAGGTCAATTTAATTAATAAATTGAAATTAGTCTTTTTCTAAGATGATATTCAAATCGTGTAGAATTTATTAACTCATATAATTAAAACACAAATAAAATCTAAATTTTCAATATTTGTAATAATTTTTATTAATTATATTATTCTTAATTAAATTATAAATTCTAATTAAAATAATTTTAAATGGTAATTACTTAAATGATAAGAGAATAAATTACAATTATGCAATTTTCTAATTAGGAATATAATTTGAATAATCTTGTAATATATATTAGGAAAATGATCAAATCCTAGTATTTATCTTAATTACTATATATGATATTATTAATTCCAAAGAAATTTTTGATATATCTATTTGATCTTCAAGATCATTTTTGTTATAATAATTTTTAGCGTGTGAATGTGCTATTTTGTTTATATTCTGATCAATAAACCTAATTATTTTTATTCTTATATTGCAAGTTAATTCATGATATCGCTAAGCCTCATATGATTGTGAAATAAAAATATTCCAAGCTTTGACATTATTAAGTTTGCAATAATATCTCATCAGCAAATTAAAACTGTTGTATCTTAGAATACTTACAATTAATACTTTATTTAAAGATTATCTAAATAAATATTATAAATATCAGTTCTATTTTATCACTTTAACAAAGGATTTAAATACAAACAAGAAATAGAGTCTTTTTATTAATTAACTTAAATTTCAAATGAATAAACAAAAACTAAAAAATAGATTTTTACATTTGGACTGGTTGTATTAAGTATTAATTTAAAATATAAATATATAAATTTATTTATAAATATATATATATATATTTCATTAAATAACTCAAATAAACAATAATTCTCTATATCAATTATAGGAATGATATAATAAATTCGCTCAAATAAAGTTAAAACATTTTCCCAGCAATCAATAAATTAAATACAACATATATAGTCATACAGTAATTCGTGAACATCATTATAGATATACAATTTTTATGAATACTCCCTGCCATATTAATTAAATATTATCACTATAATAAACCTTTAGTCTTCTTTGATTTTTGAGTCGATATTTTCATTTAAAATATTAATTGACTTTTTATTATTTAATTAAAATATTTATTATTATAAATATTCTATCTAACAAGAACTTTGCATTCTTTATATAAAATTAGATTAATCCACTAACTGATGGAAAAATACTAAAGATTGTATTATCTATTTTACAACTATTGGATTGCCTTGCGTAATTTCTTGAATTTATTTGTTAACATAATTATTACATATATATAAATGACTTTAGTATTAAAATTGTGTCCAATTTTCAACCTTTAGAGTTTCTCTATAAATTAGTTTGAGGCTTTATAAATTTCAGCCCTAAAATTTTTTTGAAATTTTCTAAAAATATAATAAGGAGTTTTTTTAATTACTATTTAATTTTTTCTAGCAAAAACATATTTTCACTTCTATCAATCAACTTGAACTACTGTTACTTCTATCTATGAGTTTTGAAGTAATTTTACCTCAAACCTATTGTTTTAAGCTTTACAGTTACCATTTTAATCATTAGGATATCTTAATATTGACTTTTCTATTTTTATATGATTTATCTGTAAAAATCAAACCTAAGTTCCAATCCTTATAATACTTCATCAAATCTTGCATGATTTGGCATTTCTGGAATTTTATTCTGACTATTCATGCTCTTAATAAAATTTTTCAAGTTTCCTCAAATGCAAAAATCTTATGCCTTTTCTATTTCTTTTGTAAATAAATTCTTTCCCAGGCTCTTCTGATTAAGCATAGCATTATTAACTCTCTTTAAATCTGTTAAAACATCTATTTAAAAGCTTTTAAGTTTAATATACTTTTGTTTTGAATTGAATCATTGAATTAATATATATTATTGAGAACCAGCAACACTCTTTATGATACCTTGTTTTGAGATTGATCTAGAAAAACAAAAGTTAAAAATATTAATTATGTCAATTAATTTTCAATTTTAAATCTTAATCAACTTTTTTTTAAGATTTAGTATGCAATTATCTAAGCAAAAAAAATTAATTTTTTGAGATTATTTAACCTCCCTTTATCTAATATTTTTTATTTAATACTTTAAATGAAGAATTTAATTCTCATCTGCTTAATAGCTATGGTCTTAACATAGCAAGTACAACATAAAAATCAGTGCAGTGATTGTGGACAATTAAAATCACAAAATGATTGTGAATAAGAAATTACTGTTACTGGAGCTTGTGAATGGGTAGCTGCAGCAGGAACAACAGCAGCAAAATGTTAGAAAAAGACAACAGTGGATCCTGTAGCTTCATTCAAACCTTATTGTGAGCTTGTTGATAAGCCAGAAACAAATTGTGCTAAGACATTAGGATGTGCCTATATCGATTCAAAATGTACACATTTTGCAGGATGTCCAGCATATGTTAAAACTACAACAACAGATTGTTAGGCAATATCCTTTTTTTGCGTTAGCGATGGAAATGCATGTATTGAAGCAAAAGAATGTAAAGAATACAATTAACAACAATGCGAATCAACTCCAAGTATCTCAGGTATTCTCAAATGTAAATGGGATACAAACTCTGGAGCATGTAGAGATTACTCTTGTTCAGAAGCAGATACTAGTTTAAATACTGATGAAAAATGTTCAGCTTGGTTGGCTGGTTGTGTGACAAAAGGTTAAGGTTGTGTTAATTCTCCAAGACCTGCTTGTGCTACTTATACAGGAGATGATGCTGCTTGTTAATCATTTATTGGATCAGATGGAAATTGTGAATTAGCAGCTGGTACCACAAATTGTAAAGCTAAGGAATGTGCAAATGCTCCATTATCTTTAGCTACTGATGATGATTGCAAAGCATATCAAAAGGGATGTATCACAACAGGAAAAGGTTGTGTTTTAGCAACAACAAAGCCTTTATGTTCTACATATTCAGGAGATAACACAACTTGCGTAGGATATATTGGATCAGATGGTATCTGTGAAGGAGATGCTGGTGGTTCAAAGTGCAGGGCAAGAAAGTGTGAAAACGGTACTTTCAATACTGATGAACTTTGCAAATAATACCAAGTTAGTTGTAGAACAAATGGCAAGACTTGTGTTTCAGCATTAACAGCTTGTAACACATATAAAGGTACTGCCACAACTTGTGCTGTATATATTGGTACTGATGGATATTGCAAAGGAACCAGTACAACAACTGAAGCTTCTTGCTTACCAAAAGTTTGTGATGAAGCTCCAGATACAACAACAACTGATGAGGCTTGTAATAAATATTAAGTTGGATGTGTTACTACAGGGAAAGGTTGTGTTACAAAAGCTAATTTGAAATCTTGTACTACTTATGATGGTGATGCTACTAGTTGTTAATCAAGAGTTGGATCTGAAGGAAAATGTATGTGGAAGAGTGGAACCAAATGTGTAGCTAGAGATTGTACAAGTGCAGCAACTAATTTAAATACTAATCCTCTATGTGCTAATTATTTCACTAATTGTGTTACTACTGGATCAGGATGTGTTTCATAAACTACTTGTGATTTAACAGTCAAATAATAAAGTTGTGAAGGTACAACCAATTGTTCATGGTAACCAATTTGTACAAGTAATGCCTAATGCAGTGAATTTAAGAAAAAATCAATTTGTTTAGCCAATTCTGCTAGAGTCAGAACTTTTGATAAAAATGATGATAATGGAAATCCATTATACATATATGTAACAAAAAAGTGTGGTTGGTTTAATAATGCTTGTAAGGAACTTGCTTGCTCAGATTTAACAGGTGCTTATTACAATACAGATGCTAATTGTGCAGCAGAATTATCAACATGTATTAGTAATAGAGTTGATGCATGCATAACTAAATTTGATTGTAGCAAACTCTTTGGAACATAATCCACTTGTTTAAGTTATCCAGGTTATTGTACAAATACATCAACAGCTACTGATACTACAGCATGTGTATAAAGAAAGTGCACAGATAATACAGATGCTACTGATAATGCCACATGTGCAACATTCTTACCTGGATGCATTAGTAATGGAAAAGGTTGTGTTGATTACACTACTACTTGCTAATAAATGAAAGGAACATAAGAAACATGTAATAAGCTATTTGCTTATAAATCTGGATCTAGTGATAATTTTACAACAAATCAATGTTATAACAGTGCATCAGCGACTGAAAATGATTCTTGTCAAATTAAAACATGTAAATTGGCTACAAACTAAACAGATGGTACATGCGGATCATTTTTAGAAGGTTGTGTTTATAATGGAAATGGAGGATGTGTTGATCCAAAAGCTGGTGACACAACTTGTGCAAGTTATACAGGTGTTTTAGCTTTTTGTGAAGCTGCTGTTGTTGGAAGTAATAGTACTAAATATTGTTTTGGAACATCTACTTCAGCTGCATGCAGTGTGAGATAATGTACAGATAATACTACAGCCACAAAGGATGATGAGTGTGAAACCTTCATGTCAGGATGTATTGCTAAATCTGAAGGAGGTTGTGTTGCTAGATCAGCAAGAACTTGTGCTTAATAATCAGGAACAGTTGCATCATGTCCTAATTTAAGTGGAGGTTTGTAAGTTTCTTCAGTTTGGACCAAGACATCATGCACTAAATATGATGCATGTTAAACGAGATAATGTGCAGATAAAACAAGTCCTTAATCAGCTTAGGATTGTACAGATCACAAATCAACTTGTAGATTCTTGAAGGCTGGATCACCATGCTTTGATGCAGCAGCTTGTAGTGTTTATAGTTTACCTGATACAGCAACGACAGATTAATAAAAGTTTGAATATTGTTCAAATATTAAAGATAACACCGGATTGTTATGTGGTTTTACAAAAGGAGCAACTAAGTGTTCATCTAGAACTTGTGAACAATTCTTGAGTGAATACACTACATCATCATGTATTACTTATTTATAAAAGAATGTATCAACAACAACAGATGATGTCTGTAAATTAGCTGGCACATATTGTTATCAATAAGATAAAACTGATTGTAAGTATCCTTTCCCTTCTGGCATTAGTTTGACAGATGCTCAAAAATTAGCATATTGCTAGAAATTTTAAAATGTTTCTGGTGTATTTTGTTCATTTAAAACTGGTGATGCTACTTGTACTTCATAAGACAGTTGTGAAAAAATTGTTGCTCAAACATCTGCTTAAGCTTGTAACGATATTCTAGGTTTCGGTAAAGGAATTTGCTAAAAAGTGACCAATACATCCTGTATATCTACAGTTGCTTTATGTTCAAACTATAATCTAGATCCAACTCTCACTAATGCAAATAAAAAGACTGTTTGCGAATCTCTACAATTGGTTGATACTGTTAGTAATTTTGGCACTGGAACTGCGGGATATAGATCATGTACATGGGTATCTGGTAATACATGCGCAGCATATACTTGCAGTTAAATAGTTGCTACTAGTTAAGAGGATTGTGACAACAAATAAGGAGGATGTTTTTATTACTCTGACACATGTTAACCAGCAGCTGGTGCTTGCCCTGCATCATTCCCATCTAATTTAAATTTAGATACAGATACTAAGAAGGCAATTTATTGTAAATCACTGTATGTAAATGGATAGGCGTTTTGTGAGATAAAACCTGATGGTACAGGTTGTCAATCTGGATCTAATACTAATTGTATTTTAACTCTATCTAGTGCTTGGACTAAAGCTACTTTTGATGGAGTTGCAGCAACAACTGATGCTTTCTGTATAACTTAATCAACAAAGCTTAAAGACATTTTCTGTATCAAAGATGGTGCTGACGCAACTAAATGTAAAGCAGGAACTTGTGAAGACATCCCATCTCCAAATAAACAAGGAGATTGTGATATACATATAATTGGATGTGTATTTTCAGCAACAAAATGTAGAACACCTAGACTTGCTGCATTAGCAAATGCAGGAGATTGTGCAGATCCATCAATAGTTCCATTTTCAGATGTTGCTAGTCTTGCTCCAAATCTCAAAACATAATATTGTTAAATATTTTCAAAAGATGGATCAAGTCATTATTGTACTTACGATGAGTATAATGATACAACATAAACAGCTTGTACTGAAGCAGGTGATTGTGATTCATACACATTACCATAGAGCGATGCAGAAAAAAGAACATATTGTTTGAGCAAAAGAAATGCTTCAGGTGGAAAATGCGGATTTACATCTGGAGACACTAAATGTAGAAATTATGATTGCTAAGATATTTAAAGTCCAACATCATAAGTTGATTGTGATATTTTATCAAATCGATTAAGATGCGTTTATTTTAGAGGAACTTGCGTCAAAGATGATGCAAATTGTGTAAATATTCCTGCTTCTGGATCTACATCAAGCGATAAGAAATTCTACTGCGAAAACATCACACTAGTAAATAAAACTAAATGTACTTATGCTATTGGTGCTTATTGTGCTAAATTAGATAGTTGTGATACTTATGATGTGAAAGACGCCACTGACAAAGCTGCTATTTGTACAACATTAACAGATGGAACGGATAAGTGTACATATATTACAGGTGATAATTGTGTCAAATTGGATACATGTGCTAACTACGCACCCGCATCTGGCTAAGAGGAAACTGAATGTAAAGCAGTTAAATCAACGGACGGTTATCCATGCATAATAGATACTACTGCTTCTTAGAAATGCAAAGCATAAGTTTGTACTGATAATGATGCCAGTGCTACAGATTGTGCTAATAATGCTGAAGACTGTCTCTATTATTCTAATAAATGTATTAATAAGAGTGCTTGTGGCAGTTATTCACCATAAGGTGATAATGACACAGCCAAATAAATATGGTGTGAAGGAGTTTAGAATTTATCAGGAGATTTTTGTACTTGGGATGCAGCAAATTCAAAATGCAAAGACAGAGCATGTAGTGATAAGTTATTCTATACAGATTTCGATTGTTCAAGTTATCTTAAATCTTGCAAGACAGACGGAACTAAATGTGTTTCTATAACTACTGCATGTACTTCATTTTATGGTTCAACTGAATTTTGCAATTCTTTATTAGATACAACAGGAAAAGATAAATGCAGACCACTTGCAACTCCTACTACTACATCCTCCGCATGTACAATTAAAACATGTTATGATAATGTTACAGCTACATCAGATTCTGATTGTGAAACTTATTTAAGTGGATGTGTCACTCGTGGTATAGGATGTATCCCAAATACAGCATAATGCGATTAATATAGAGGAACTAAATAATAATGTGAATTATTCAAAAGATACACTGGAGTAGATACTAACAATAATCCAACTTATGAATATTGTTCTGGTGATGCTGGAAATACTGCCACTAGTAAATGTAAAGTAAGAACTTGTGCAGATAACACTACAGCTATTTCAGATACTGAATGTGCTAGTTTTTTGAAAGGTTGTATTACCAAAGGTACTGGATGTCTTGATGCAACATCAACATGTGCTGCATTTAAAGGAGATTAAGCAACTTGTGCTAAATTCTTTGGATCTTCAGGTAAAGATTATTGCTGGAATACTTCGACTGCATTGGCTACAGCTAATTGTGCAAAGAAGAAGTGCACTGATATTTCAGGTAAAAACAACAAAGAATGTAATGATGGTATGCCACCATTTAAAACAACAGATGATCCTTTCTGTGTCTTCGATGGAACTTCATGCATTGATTATGGAAAGAATTGCAACACATTCAATGGAACTGAAGAGACATGCCCAACATTTTTGGCTAAAGATGGCCCATGCAAAGCTACTACAGTTGGAACTATCAAAGGAGCATGTACCTAGAGGATATGTACAGAAGCACCAAATAATCTTACAACTGATGCTGATTGCTAGAAATATCATAAAGATTGTTATACAACTGGTTATGGATGCTCAAGTATTAAGAAATGTGAAAACTTAACATCATAAGCTTCATGTAAATTAAGAGAAGAATGCACATGGGCTAACTAATGTTCAACTTCTAGTACATCATGTGCTACTTTTAATAATACTAATTATTCATAATGTACTAATTCTAAAGTAAATGGTAAGTTCTGTGCTTGGTAAGAATCTAATTCAACATGTAGAGCTTAGGTCTGTGAAGATTAATCAGCGACAATAGCTTCTCATGCTTAATGTTAAAGCTTTGCTGATAATTGTACTACAACTGGAGCTGGCTGTATCACTATTTCAGTATGTTCCTCATACAAGACTTAATCTATATGTTTAGCTGCCGCAACAACTAAAGATGGAGTAGGTAGATGCGGTTGGGATACTACTACAAATAAATGCAGAGCTAGAGTTTGCAGTGATAAAAATGGCTTAACTGATGATGAATGTAATACTTTTCTTTCAGGATGTAAAACAAATGGATAAGGTTGTGTGGCTGGAGCTTCATGTACTGAATTCTCTAATAAGCAATTCTGTCTTCAATCTAAAGCTGGACCATGTCTTTGGGTTAATGGATAATGTTATGATTATGACAGATGTGAAGATGCAGTGAAAAAGACACATTCTGAATGTTAAGCATTTTCACCATTATGTACAACTAATGGAGATACTTGCATACCTATAACATCTTGTGCCAGTACTACATTAAAGGCTTCTTGCGTTGTAGGAACTGATGGAGCTTGTGGATGGTTACCCACTGGAACATGCTAAAAGTTCGGATAATGCACAGACGCAGTTGCTGCTACTAATGATGAATGTGTCTCTTATGGACCTAATTGTATGACTGATGGAACAGCATGTATTGCAAAATCAACTTGTGGTAGTTACAAGACATAAACAGCATGTAATAACAATGGAACAGATGGTATTTGTTATTGGAATGCCACAGCAAATACTTGCAAATTGAAGGAGTGTAGTGATGAGCAAAAGGGTACAAATGATCAATGCAAACTTATTTCTGTCACTGGAGGATCATGCACAACCGATGGAAGCAAATGTATTCCATTATCAACATGCTCAAGCTATGTTGAAGCTGGATGCTTCAATGGAACTGATGGAGAATGCATATTTGCATTACCAGTTGGAGCTACTACAGGAACTAAGACATGCAGATTAAAATAATGTGAAGATATTACTGGTGGAACATCAAATGCTAACTGTATGGGAGTAATCACTGGAAAATAATGTGTATCCAATGGAACAAGTTGTATAGCCAAAGCTGCTTGCTCATCTTATAAGAATATTACTTCTTGTAATGGAGGTGGCTTTGAAAATAATAAATCTACTGTTTGTGCATTCACTCCAACTGGAACTGACAAGGTCAATGGAACTTGCAAGACATTTACCTCATGTCCTGATGCCAACAAAGATAAACTTGCTTGCACAACTAATCCATATTGCAAATGGACTGAAAACTCAACAGGAACATCTTGTGCTAATCATACATGCGATACTTTCGCCACAGGAACTGACTGCAGACCAATTCCAAGCTTTGATGGAACTTCATCAACTGTTTGTGTTCTCTAAAGTGGAAAATGTGCTGCTGCTGATCCAGGAACCATGACAGATTCCAAGATTTGCTACACTAAATCTGCTTATACTTATAGTTGGAATGCTGCTACCAATAAATGTGAAAGTTGTATTTCAGGATCTGTCAATCCAAATAATTCAAATGGAACAAATAATTAAACAGATAATGGAACAACAACTACCGACAGTGCCTTCATCTTGTCAGCTATTTCTTTCGGTATTTTGGGATTAATGGCATGATTTTGATTTTCATTTTATATAGGGAAAATATTAATATTACAAGTTATTTTTATCTCTTAATAGAGGTGTTTTTAGTAGATGTTAAATTCGTAAAATTAATACTTTTTATTTAGATTAATGTTATTATTATATGTTCTCTTAAAACTTCTATGGAAATATTTGAAGTTTTAATAATAATTAAACTTTTCCTCATTCCTCAGAGTAATTGATTATTTTTTGTAATTTAATAGCTCTCTATAAATTATTTTGTAACCTAAAAGAACTTTAAGATGATTAGGAATATGTTAAGAGCATAGAAGGTAGAATTCTATGTCATAAGATTGCTAAATTCATTATAAATTATTTTAGGATTTTCCATATTCTTCTAAGGAAGTCAGTATGTGATAATTTTAGGCCTATTCAGTTAATTTGAAACATTATAGATTTATATATTATCAAATCAGTAAATAAAGATGCTTAAAGATAACTAGATTGAAAATGTGATGACGAAGAATAAATTAAATAAAGTAAAATTTTGAACAGTTAAGGTTATTTAAGACTCTGATTAACTGATAATTTTTGAATTAGATTATGTTATCGATTAATTTCAAACCTTTTCTTAAGAATAAGAAATCTTAGATCAATACTTGAAATCCATAAAAATTAACTAATAAGGAGATTCTCTTAATCTTTTAAATTTTAATCAATGTTTGTATATTTAGTTTATTAAAACTAGAATCAAAAGTATGGAAAAACATAAAATTAAAGATTAAAATATTTATAAACGAAATTATAAATTTCAAAAATTAAATACCCGAAAGACATCTTAAATAAAAATTTAGGAAATCAAAATCTATAGAATATCTAAGAAAGCAAATTCATAAAAATTGGAATCAGAAATGTGTAAATAATGTATTTGATAGACTTTAAACTTAATAGTAGCATTATGATAATGGAATAATGTTTTAACCTTTTGTATTATTATTGCAAAAATAATTAAAATGGATCAGAATCAACCTTTTATATTAAAGAAAGAGACATTTAAATTTAAATTTTATAACACTTTGGAAAAATATTATTATATTAAAACCATTTATTCTTTTAGTATTGATTAATAATAAAATTAAGATTTGGCATTTTTCATAAACATTTGAGGATATTTTTATTTATTAAAATTTGGGGGAATTGAAAAAATTATTGAATTTGATGAGATTGAATTAACAAGAATTCATTTAGGCTAATCTTTGGTCATTGTTAAATCCTTAGATTAAAAAGTTTAACAATTGTAGTTGTTAAAAATAGAACATGAATACTTAGATTGGAATAAAATTTGGTTGAAATTCAATGATTAAAATGAAACTTTTAACTGTAAATATTCAAAAATAAATAATCCTATACATTTCACTGGTTATCAATGTCTAAATAATGAAATCAACTCATTAAAAAAAATACTAATTATTATAAAATATTTTTTCGATAACTGTTTTGATAATATAATACTAACATAACTCAAAGATGATATAACTAAAATATTCTTGAGCCAATAATAAACGAAATATAATAAACAATTAGATTAACTAATTAAAGAAATAAATAATTTCTTAAAAAATATTTATATGATAAAGAGAAATAAATCATTTCTATTTTATGAATATGCTGATAAAATAAATGAGAGAAGGCATGAAGGGAAAGTAGGATATAGTAATGACATAATAATTTATGTAAACGACATAAAAAATGGAAAAAAATTCCACTTAATGTATTTAAATTAGAATATTGTTAATATTCAAGGTATTCTTTCAATTGTTAAACACCTCAATAATTGTAAAGGATATTAAAAAATTTAGTATGACGTGGATAAGACTATAATTGCTATTGAATAAATTTAATATTGCATTTATTAGATTTAAAAATTTAATTGATGAATAAGTTTAATAAGCCATACAAGAATACATTACTTATATTTAATAATTTAAAAAAATTTCAATATCATTAGGAAGAGATTACAAAAATAATTTTGCCTAAAATCTACAACCATGCAATTATTAGATATTTTTACATTACTTATACATATAATTTTAAGAATACTTTCTAATTAAATATTGATAATTATGATACTTACAAATCTAATGCTAATAAACTTTATGAAGTAATGTAAAATGCTATTGAAAATATAATACCCTCTTTATGATTAATGTAAAGAATAAAAACAATAAATTTATTATTAATACTATTATTAAAATTCAATTTATGTACGTCTCTTTAAAGCGTAAATCACAATAGTTCAAAGCCGTTAAAACTTACTTTTCCGAAATTTATTAGATTAAGTGTTTTGGAGAATCAATTCTCGAGTGAGCATTTCATTAAAGTTTAAGTGGTAGAATAAGAATAAGAACTTTCATAACATATAAGAATATTAAACTTAAAATTGATATAATATTGTTTTATTTATCAAATTGAATAGTATGCTTATATCTTCAAGATTGAAAGAAGTTTATGACCAGGATAAGAAGTACCATTTTTATTGTAAAATCTTATTTTAGTAACAAGTTAGTCAGGAAACTTAATTACCTTTACAGATTAGGCATAACCATTAAAAATTTCTGTTTCTGTAATTCTATCATGTCCAACAACGAAAATTTATAAATCAGCTATTCGGTTGTCCACGTCCCATATTCTGATCCTAACTGTATTTATTTCATATGTTTGTAAAAAGTCAACAATAATAGAGGCATGTAATTCAATGTAAATATGTCCAACATAGTATTCGATATATGTAAAATAGTAAAAATTATCCCTTAAAGGACTTGCAAAAGAGTCTGCATAATAAAATTTGTTAATTCTGGCTGTTGAAATGATTGCCCCATTTTTTTCTGAAGCTACATCTTAATAATTTCCTCTCAAACTTGATTTGCTTTCATAATTTTTAGTACATTATGCAAATTGTTTACTGATTTATAAGCTCCATATTAATATAATAAAATATGCTTTCATTTTTCTTATTTCTTAGTATTGTAAATTATGATTGGTATAAAAAAATAATTCCTTCATGATAGTGAGAAAATATGTATCTAAATTATAATGAATTTTAGAATAATATTAATATAAGATTACTGGGTCTTTAATTCAATCAAAAGACCTAGCAATTAAACTTTTAAGAAAATATATGAATAATTTCTTTTTCATTGTAATTTGTATCGCAATGATTAGACCTTGAATAGTATTTTTCGGAAGTAATTGTTACTTTATAAAAAAATTATCATTTATAAAAAGGGCAATTCATCAATCCAATTTCATTGGTACTTTGATATAAATATTCTTATTGAAATGAAAGAGAAAATTATAAGCAAGAAGGAAATATAAACCTTGGAATAAATTATAATATGAAGTTTAAATTGAACCTTGGTTAAGAAGGTTTGAGGAATATCACTATCAAAAGGCAATTATCTTATTTTTAATTCTCATAGAAGCTGAAATTTTTAGGTAAATATTATTCAAAAATAGTTTGAGAATGAGCAAATGAGTTTAATATTATTTGTTATTTTCATCATAGAGATATAGTTTATATGAAGTTTAAGCCAAGAGTAAGAAGGAGAAAGCGGAGGTGGATGAAGGATGGATGTAGCAATGACAAAAGATAAAAATCACTATTAAATCATATTACTTTAACGTAAGTTACTCCAAATTCCTTAGGTTTATTACATATTCCCAGATATTAGTAGATTTCATTCACAGTTTTTTCATTTAGATATACATGTATTTATTCAGGTTTGATTATTGGTATCTAAAATAGATTCTTTTATTAAATTTTAATTTTAATATTTAATGGTCTATGATCAGACATTCTTGTTAACAAAGGCTAATATTTTTATTCTAAATCCAAGTTCTTCTATACTAGTATATAGTCAATCTATTTCCCTTTATCATTATTTCCTACTCTTGTAATTAGTTCAGTGAATATATTATAATAAGAAACAGATTAATAGTTTCTTATAGTAGAGTTGTAATCTAGGCCAACAGGCTTCTTGAAGGAGGGCTATGTCAGCTTACTTAATAAATTAGAGTTTCTACCTAGACATAGACCTAATGTTCCAACTTAATAAGTTAAGGGAGGAAGAATGAGCATTATTTTGAAATAACATTCCTTTGATTTCAAAGGTCTGAGACCTATTTTCTGGATAATGAGTTTCCCCATCAGGGTTTGGGGTTGGGTTTGGGGTTGGGTTTGGGTTTGGGTTTGGGTTTGGGTTTGGGGNAATTACATAATAGGGAACAAAGTATCATCAATTAAAGTTAATTTCATATCATATGATTTACCAATCAATTCTTTTAATTATTCAAAATGTTTATCTATAGTGTTAAATCTTTTTTTTAAATGGGCTTCCATTAAAGTTAATAAAGTTAAATATTTTTCATTTTGCTTTTTCTCAAAATCTTAGGATTTTGGATCCAATTAACAAGATCCAATAAATGTAATCATTGTAAAAAGTAGACTATTTCTATATTCTTATAAATATGATTTTTCATTTATTATATTATCTAAATAAATATAAATATATAAATACCTAATGCTTATTTATACAAATTATTTTAAGGATCAATCTTAACTGCTTATTCAAAAGATTTTTGTGCTTCTTCCATTAGTTTATCTTATTTGTATACATTTCCAAGTTAAAAATAAGCTTCAGAATTATTAGGGTTTAAATTAATGCAATTTTAATAACTATCAATTGCTTCATCAAATTTCATTAAAAATAGATTAGCACTGCCCATCTATATATATATTAATCAATTTATTACAATGAAATAGACTTATTCGAGATTTTCCTTACCAGTTTTGATATATAAACTTAAGTATTTTAAAGCGTCCATGTATTCTTTCTTTTCATTGCAACAAATACCAAGGTAATAATTGATATTTTAGGCATATTCATTTTTTTTTAACTATTTCAATATATCAAATGATTCATTAAAATTATTTAAATTAAACAATATAGAACCTAATAATTATTATAACTTAAACCTTTTTCATATAAGTATTATTCATTAGTTGGTTCAATGTTCAATAGTTTATCGTATATTTCAAGTGCTTTTTATTCTTATTTTGTATCTTTATACATTTATACTAACAAATTTAAGATTTCTAAGTTTTAAGGGAATTTATTTAATCCATCATTCAAACAAATGATAGCATCATCATATTTTTTTTGTGCTTATAGTAACCTCCCTATATATACAAATTTTGTAATACCTCTAATAATAAATATTTTTGAATCATCCTTGCTTGATTATGATGATAATTATTCATAAATGTTTGATGCTTCTTAAATCCTATCAAGCTTTATTAAAGTAGAAGCTATATAAATATTTTTTACACTAACCTTTCTTTTCTAATAATTCAAAGCTTGTATCTTAAACTATGATTAATTCATAACATTTCAAAACTTCTTCATTTTTGTTCAGATATTCTAAGATTGTCACTATATTCAAAATGATCAATTTTTATACCCTTTTATTTTAATGTATCTAAATCATTCTATTAAATGGTAAGAATTTAATCCAGTGTTACCAAACAACTTGCTTATTATTTTAATTCAATTTATATTTAAGCTTTTAATTTTAAGGCTTATAAATGGTTAGGATCTTTTTCCAAAATTAAATTTAAGAGACTCAAAGCTTAAGTGTACTGTTATTCTACTTGCAACTTCCGCACTATAATCTAAGAATTTGATTAAACCTTCTTTCAATTAATCTTCTACAGAAATTTACACCTATGAGACCTGTGGTTATTATTAAGATATTTTCTTTGGGATTTCTTATTAGCAATTTAATGCATATTAGTTTTAACTATCTAATTTAAGAACTTATTCACAGGCTTTTTCCATTTTTTCATATTGTTTTGATTAGCGATATATATATACTTATTAATGTAAATGATTAATATTTACCTAATACTTAATATCCATCAAGATATTGAGAATCAATTTTGAGAGCAAATTATATTGCTTCCAAAGCATTATCATATTATTTTAAATCAGATAAAGTAGTTGCTTTACTAACATAATAATGTTTTTGATTTGGGTCTTAATTTATCGCCATATCAAAATATTTGATTGCCTCACTCTTTCTTTTTAATCTTGCTAAAACATAGCCTTGGAATATGATTAAAATGTACCTAAACCGTAATTTAAGTCTGGTATGTTGGGATTAACCTAAAATCCTTTTTCTAAATATTCTAAGGCTTCTTTGTACTATTTTTCTTTGATCATTAAACTAGCTGAATAATAAAATGTTAGAGAGATACCTAATTCATTTAGAGCAAGAACATGGTTTGGTTATTTATCAAGAGAAATTTGAAAAGAAATTTTAGCATCTTCCAAATTGTTTTTGTTCAGTTCAACTATTCCTATTAAGAAAATAACTTGAAATATATATACTGTAAATAGCATCAGAGAGTATTTTAATATGAAAATTAAATAAATAAATAGAAAATTAAAGATCATAAGTAGAATTGCTATATTTTAGTACAATACCCTCTTCTGTATAACTTGATAGTTTCAGTTTAACATTCTGAAATTGAACTAATTCTTGAATGATTGATTTTTGGATGAATTTATTTATTCTGTTTCTTAGCATTCACTAGTTTAGCAGATCCGCAACTCATTAATAAATATTAAAAAAACTGATTAATTTTTTGTGTAATTATTCAATCAAGTAAATAGTTTGTAAAATCACTGATATTGTTGATAAATTGATGTATGGAACATGGTTCAGAACATATACCACAAGTATCACCTTGAGTAATTCTGCTTCTCCCCGAGTAGCTCCCCATGAGTTTCTGATCTTCCAAACACCATCAGCTGAGATACCAACAAGGACGGCTGCGTGATTTAAGTCTTTAGTACATTCTGAAAGGACACCACTTGCTAAAAAAATAAATTTAAATTATTACCATAGAACTACCAAGAATTGGCATCAACTGCAACAGCGACTGTTCTTTTTTAGATTGCATCAGCTAATTAACTGCATGTTTCATAAAGATAGTATCCTGCAAGATGTTAGAATGGTCTATTAGCTGAGGACTGGCATTCTTCATCCTTACCAGTGTATGGATAATCTTTAGCTTCAGTCAAACCATAGTCAAGAACATAGTGATAAGCTTAATCCACCTAACCGCCTTTGCATCCTTAATTGCCATATGATCTTGTGCAGTCAACTAAATCTTATTCAGACAAGACATATCTCTTGTTGAGTTCAATATCAGAGTTGATTTCAAGTGTAGCAACTGCAGAGAATGCCCATGATGGAAATATCTAAATTCAACCAGAAAGTTTAATTTAATTATATTGTACTTTTCATGATTGATCTTTTTTGGTTTGAAATCTTTGTATATTTTGGAATTTAATTCCAATTATAATTATTAATAAATGTATGTTCATTTTTATTGTAATTTTTATTAAAAGATAGTAGAGGATTGAATTAGTTTATTCCACTTGGAAATTATTTAAAACAATCACTACACCAGGAACAGGAGAGAAATTAATTGAATAAGATTTATCATCATTAGTTTCCTTAGATTATGAAAATTATATTAAGTAGTTTATAGCATTATTATCAATATCTAATTTGTTAATTAGTAGTTTTTGATTGATATTAACAAAATTCTATCAAAAATCGTTTATCTATGGCAGCATTGATATAAAAAATTCTTAAGTGTTTTACTAAGATAAATTAAATTAAGTACTCTAACATTTTATGAAGAAAAAAAAATAAATTAATCAAGACTGATAATAAAGCAGAAATATTAGGTGTAGACAAAAAAAATAATATAATAGTTTCACTTTGGCAATATGATAATTTCCAATCATCTTATTGTATTACATTGTTTTCTTTTTTGAGCTTTTACTAATCCAAATTTTATTTGAAATGGTTTTTTTAAAACATTTAAATATTAGGTGATGGTGCTTGAATGAAACTATTCAATATATCTTATTAATAAACACTCCAAAATTAAATTTGTTATGTGAAAAATGTTATAAGAGCTATTATAAATGAAATATTAAGATTAACTATTAGAAAATATTTTCTGTGCTCTACTAGATTATTTTTGATTTGTAAACAAGCTGATTTATATTTTTTATCTTCTAATAATTCCGAAATTATATTAAATCGCTAAGATCTT